CCCATCCCAGCATACTACTGCTGCTATCTCCTTCGATCCACCGTCCGGCATGCCTCGCTATACATCGGCTCGACCCCGAGCCCGAGCCGCCGACTGAGCCAGCACAACGGCCAGGCCAAGGGCGGGGCCAAACGCACGGCCAGGGACAAGCTCCGACCGTGGGAGATGGTCCTGGTGGTTGAAGGATTCATGAGTCGCGTGGGGGCCTTGCAATTTGAGTAAGTACCTCGCTCGTACTTACAATTCGAAGTTAATTGGTACAGATGGGCATGGCAACACCCGGACAGATCTCGGCATATCGACTCGGACGACGAAGATAAAATCATTGTTGATCCCAAGACGGGGAAACCCAAGTCTCGCGCCGCGCGCTCCAGGAGATCGTTGACAGCTCATCTAGAGGATATGCAGGCTCTGCTCCGTTCGGCCTATTTTTCTAGCGGGCCACTGAGGGTGCGCTTCTTCTGCGCTGATGTCTACCGTATTTGGAGAGTCTGGAGCGACCGGGTGCATAAGCAACTTCCGGCAAATATCCAGCTGATCCTGGACGGAGACTGTCCAGTCGTCCCTGACGATCCGCGACAAGACCAACGAGTGGGTAGCATTCACAACCTCTCGGTCGACTATACAAGACTCGGGGAGTATCTCGAAAAGTCCACGTTTCTCCTAGATGATGCCGAAGATCTACGATGCAGCGTATGTAAGAGTCCGGTCCATCCAGAAGCAGAGCAGATTGTGGTGTGTCCACGAGCAAATTGTCGCGGGGTCGGACATATATTATGTCTATCTACCAAATTCCTCGACGCTGCCGAACCGGACCGCCTAATTCCATCCCAGGGAGACTGTCCAACGTGTCGGCAAGTGGTGCAATGGCCGGACATGATGCGAGAACTCAGCCTGCGCAATCGGGCAGAAAAGGAAGCTCGAGCAATTCTGAAAAGAAAAGAGAAAAGAGAGCGCCAGGCAGCTCGCGGCGGTTCAGCCGAACCCTCGACCAAAAGTCGTTCGCAACGAGCACACGATCAGCCTGATCACTTGGACCCCGAAGACCCTCCGTTAGACGACCGTTGGTTTGAGGCGGTAGATCCGGCATCCGAGTCTGAATCTGAAGGCCGACAGAAGAACAAATCCGCTCCATCTCCGTCCAAACTGGAGATTGTCATTGAAGACAGCGAGTGGGATGACGCTGAGCTGGTTGAATGAGCTTAATTGCGCTCATGGGGTAATTGCAAGCGGTCCCAAGGCTCTCAGAGGCCCAATCGCGTCCAAACGCGAAATACAGTTCACCGCCGCGTCCACAATCTCGCCGGACACCTCATCCATCGTTTTCCCCGCATCAATAACATAGACATCGTCCCGCTGCCGGTCAATAATCGTCCCAAACAATTGGCGTACGCGACCCTGCATCGTCTCATTCTCATATCTCTCCGCACCAAATCCGCCCCGCTTCGCCGCCTCTTCGGGAGAGATACTGAGAAAGAGACAGATATCCGGTCTGGGCAGTCCCACCTCCGGCTGCCACGCCCACTCGAGCGAGAGCGTAGGATTGGCCTTTGCGGCCGAGTAGACTGCGCCGGAGTATGAGTACCGGTCGACGATCACGGTGGTTCCGTTAGCGATGGTGTCTTGGATGTGTTTGGCGAGTTCCCAGCGGTTCGCGGAGAAGAGCAGGTGGATGGAGTGGTCGTCTTGGTGGGAGGCATTGCGCAGGTAGCTGTCTATTAGCTTGCCGATGGGTGTTGTTCGGTCTATAGGCTATCAGTTCCATAGTGCAATCAATGTCGACATACACACCTGGAAACCGAATGTATTCAACCGCGTGCCCCTTGGCGAGAAGCTGATCTCGCAGCAGCTCACACTGACTCGACTTGCCGGCCCGATCAAGTCCCTCGACGATAATGAGCGCACCGCGTCGTGTGGGTTGGGATTCTAACAGGGTCATGGTGAACTGAAGTGGTGGTGGTGGTTGTTGTCGGAACAATCGAGACGGACCGAGAGGTGTTTATCGACGGGCATTTTCTTCCGATAAGGAACACCTTCCTTCTTCCTCCTCTTCCCTCTCCACCGGCCGCCATGGACCCCGAGGCACTGTCTCCGATGGTGACCTTCGCGCTGAGTCCTGCTGCCCCCATTCTGGCGCCGCGAGTCGGCTCCCTGGCCATTGCTGGCCGGAAGCCCTTGCCCACGCCGCACTATATCCCGCTGTCGTCGCGGGGAGCCGTGCCGCATATATCGCACGATGTGCTGCGCGACCACACTGCGCTGAACAGTATCTATGTAGGCCTGGAGGACTGTATGTTTTCCTCGAAGCTTTTGGGTGATGATAACTGACAGTAGACACCCCGGTCCGGGGCTGAGGTCAGTCGTTGAAAAGAAACACAAATCTCCGGTGTACCACACGCCCGTCACATCAGCGCAGGAGTCACCGCTGAAGAAATTCATGTCCATGTCTCAGGATATGCCGCTCATTCTCGGTCCGCGCAGGTTCCCTCCCATCCCCTGCCCGCCAACCAATACCGACACCTCAATCGCCGTCCTAACCACCAACGGGTTCGGCCAACTTTCTGCGCAGGAATATCTGGATGCCGTACAGCAGCTACGTCCGGATGTTGCAATTGGACTGTCTGATATTGTTCTGAACAAGCCTCCCGGTGTGAAAAGGCGTGGGAAGATGGTAGATCGTACGCATGCATTTACGCGCGATGCGCTGGAGCGACTATATAACCGGGAAAACAAGTCGAGGGCTGCGTATTTTGCACCAGTGCTCCCGCTGGAGAATGCACAGCAGTCTCTTTATCTAGATGATCTGGCCAGTGAATTCCGCGAGAACCTCTCGGGACTGGCGCTGTACGAGTCGGCCTCGCTGTCCTATATTCCAGAATCCTTGGGTGATCTGCCTCGGCTACTATTCAGTGAACCGTCCAGCCCGCACGAGGTCCTGCACGAGATCTCCCTCGGCGCAGATCTCCTAGCTATCCCCTTCATCGTTTGGGCATCTGACTCCGGAATCGCATTGGAGTTTGTCTTCCCGGCACCGCCAGCCGGACAATCCGGCCCGCTGCCCATGGGGCTTGATCTCTGGTCCTCCGACTATACAATCGACACATCTCCGCTGCGCGAGGGATGTGAATGCTTCACGTGCCGGAACCACCACCGCGCCTACATCCACCACCTGCTAACGGCAAAAGAAATGACTGCATGGGTACTGCTCCAATTACACAATCACACAGTTATGGATGCCTTTTTCGCTGGCGTTCGGGACAGTATCCATCGTGGCTCGTTCGAAGAGGATGTCGCTGCGTTCAGTCGTGTATATGCGCACTCATTGCCGGAGCGTACAGGCGAGGGCCCTAGGTATGTCGCGCTTCAATTTCTACTCGCATGATTTGCTGATACATGATGCCTACCACAGAGTGCGCGGCCACCATCTCCCCGCCGCACAACAAAATCAACCCCGACGCATGCCTCGCATGTATGGTCGACTGGACGACGCGGCGCAGAAATTCGCCGAGTCCCAGTCTTCCTCTGTTGTTACTCCGGATACGGATGCGGAGGGGCTGGAGAGGCATGGATTTGCTGAGAAAGTATAATTGCTGCATCGTGAATGCACCCGAAGAAGGCCTGGTCAAACAAGAGATATGCTTGGGCTTGCTTTATAAAGACCTGCCTCTTGATTTTGGCATATATTTGAAGTGCCCTGGGGGGTCCCTTCTAGCCCAGATATATATTCTGGCCATATGAAACATGAGAGATAAATTTATTTGTGATCTCTTTTCACCATCAACAATACTCCATCTAAGCCTATCCTAACAATTTTATCGCCCTGCTCCACCCCCGCTTCATGTAAAAGCCTTTCCATCTCCTTGCACATCATTTTCGCAACATCAGACTCGGTTCCAGCCATATCCGGATGAGCTTCACGCCACCGTATCACTGTGCCCCTAGTTCCAAGCATCTTCTCCGCATCCTGAAGGCCCACAGCTAAATAGCCAGGATCACTCTGACTCGCGAAGAACCCGTCACCCTCCGAGCACGGCACATCCTTATTCCAATCTTTGCGGTAGAAAGTTTCTCGCTCGAATCCAGAAATAGGCTCGGAGATAGACCACGGAAGACCGAGGTCGGTGTACAACCCTTTCGCAAGCAGCGTGCCGTGTTCCATATAAGGCTTCAAGTATCGATCTTCAATCTCCAACATGGAAGCCTGGATAGCGGCGTGATTGGGCATGGATGGATGCGGATATCCGCCTCTCGCAGCCCAGAGGGCAACAGTTCCTCCCGGTTTGAGGACCTCAGCTGCTCGACGCCAGAATCGCGGCATGTCAAACCAATGCGCTGCCGTGGCGGCGATGATCAGGTCAACACTGGAGTTGGGAATTGGCGGCATGCTCTGGGAACCGAGCTCTTCCGCAGTGGATATTTCGAACCGTATAGACTGGCCATTTGATGAAACACCACCGAGCGAGCGCGCGGTACTGATCATCCCCTCTGAGGGGTCAAGACCGATGGCATGGATGAAATGCGGCGCAAGATCACGGACGGCATTACCCGGCCCACAGCCGACATCAAGGATGGTGGTTAATTCACCGCCAGTAGACCGGTGGTGGTCGATGATGGTTTTGTACAGGCTCGGGTGGTAGTTCGGACGGCGTTGAGAGTAGGCAATACCCTGTAAATGGTTGTAGGAACGAAATGTCCTCTCTGGTGCAAATGTTGTGGATGTATTTTCAGCGGACGCCATGATCGCTTGAATTATCCAGAAGAGGTCAGTCAATACTTGACTCCGAAGATGGATTTTATAGGACCGGTGTTCGGCATGTCCCAATCCCGTAAACCCAAGTCCCGTGATATCCTGCATCTATGAACGGATTCTTCTCTATTCTTCAACTCCGGCGTTCCCCTTTCTATTGGCCTTTTCTAATTATCCCTTAAGTAATTTATTTTGCTGTTTTGCGTCCTGTATCCCTGTTCAAGCTTCGGACGTCTTTCCCTCACAGTCCACCATGGGTTTCGTTGGCTATGCTATCTACTATGCTTTCCACCCCATTGAATTGAAGTCAATTGTCCAATGGTTAGTGTCTCACTAAACATCTGATTTCACCTCAGTTTGCTAACCATCCTATTGTCACGTAGGAAACTTCGGCACCATGCACCACATGAGCGCAATGAAAAGAACGAGACCGAAGCACAGAAGACCTGCTTCAAATTCTTGGATACATCAGGCCGGAGTTTTAGCGCAGTGATCAAGGAACTACACCCAAAGCTACTGTTACCGGTCTGCATTTTCTACCTAGTCCTCCGGGGGCTGGATACCATCGAGGATGACACTTCATTGCCTCTGGCGACTAAAGAGCCACTCCTCCGAGAGTTCAAAGACGTCCTGACACAAGATGGTTGGAGATTCACTGGAAATCGACCGGAGGAGAAGGACCGTGAACTTTTAGTTCAATTTCACAATGTGGTCACTGAATTCAAGAACTTGAAGCCTGCGTACCAGGCCGTCATCAAGGATATTGCGGACAAGATGGGTAATGGTATGGCTGACTACGCCGTGAAGGCAGAGAAAGCCTTGAAGGGAGAGAAGGACGATGCTATTGTCAAGACTGTCAAGGAGTACGACTTATACTGCTACTATGTCGCCGGCCTAGTCGGCGAGGGTCTCACGCGCCTCTTTGTTTCGGCGGAAATAGCCGACCCAGGCCTATTGAAGCGTTCCAGCAGGTCAATGGGCCTCCTTCTCCAAAAGACCAATATCATCCGCGACATCCGCGAAGACTTTGATGATGACCGACGATTCTGGCCGAAAGAAATCTGGTCTAGGCATGTTGACAACTTCGAGGATCTTTTCAAACCCGAGAATCTCGGTGCTGCGCTTAACTGCAGCTCGGAGATGGTTCTCAATGCCCTCGAGCATGTCGAAGAGTGTATTTTCTACCTGGCTGAGCTACGGGAGCAAAGTATCTTCAACTTCTGCGCTATCCCGCAAGCTATGGCTATTGCTAGTCTCAATTTGTGTTTCCGCAATCCTGCAATCTTTCAACGCAATGTCAAGATTACTAGGGGCGAGGCTTGCGATCTTATGATCCAGTCGACTCAGAATCTGAATGTCCTGACTCGGACCTTTCGGCGATACACTCGCGCAATCCACAAGAAGAACACGCCCGAAGACCCAAATTTCTTGCAGATTAACATTGTCTGTGGGAAGGTGCGCATAATTTACCTTTCACTGCCCTCAATCTTTACTATTTTTGACTCAATGTATAGATTGAGAAGCGGATTGAGACTCTCTTCCCAACCCAGACAGCCGAAGAAGACGCAGAGAACAAACAGCACATTTACTTCATTTTGTGTTTGATAGGTATCATTGTCGTCCTTGTCGCTTTCCTTGTGGTATGTTTCACGCCCATCCTCTCATGAGATGCAAACTAACCACGATACTTTTCAGTCTTCGTAGTAGAGTTGTCTTGCAGTCTCTCCAGGCAGCCTTCTCATGGCATGGCAGTTTGTTTCCGACACAAGGAAGTGAAGGATGGAAGCAGGACACTCTAGATGCAAGAAATATTGAACTAGATAATTGTGCACCGTGTAAAGGACAAGTTCCTTGCTGAGATAAAATGACTCGTAGTCCTGATTTTGACAGGCTATAAAGTCTGCTGCTTCGTCTTGAATCATACACATTATCATTTTATGTCCAAGAGGCTATCAACATATCCAAAGAAACACGCATAGCATATAATTACTACGCATCAGTCTCACCCTCACCCGCCAAAACCCTCCACATCCACTTAACCTCATCCTCTTCCTCCTTCGAGCCCGGCTCGGTCCCTGCCCCAAACTGCTGCCCAACAACGCAAACCAGCCAGACATCGTTCTTGGTCTGGTCGATGAAGCGCTCCGTCGGCGATCCACGCGGGTAGATCCGGCGCCACTCGTCCCAGATCCGGAAGGCCTCCTCGCCCCAGGCGCGGAAGCTGACCTCTTCAATGATAGTCGGGGTGGCGATCTCCTTGCCGCGGAACACACCCCATGTGACGGCGTTCACGCTCTCTGGGTTCGAGCCAAGATCGTCAAGATCGACGCCTGAGGACTTGGTTGGGAAGGAAGATTCAAGAGTGCCTGTTGCATTCGTGGCGAACCACGTCAATTTGTCGTGAGTGTGCTTTTCGAATAGCGGCTTGAGGATGGATTTGTAGTCTTTCGTCGAGCAGAAGAACTCCACAAATGGTTTCTGGAATACAAATCCTTCGCGCTGCGGACCCCAGCCAAAGATCGGGTGGTCGCTGCGTACGCCGTTGACAGCGGGCTGCGAGGCGAGTGTCCACCAGCCGCGGCCGTCGATGAGTTTCAAGAGCTCGGGGCGAATCAGTTCAGTCTCTGGATTCAAGCCGCCGGACTCTTCTCCCGCGCCGCCTTCCGACCAGGGAACCATGTGTAGCTCGCCAGAGACGTGGCGCCGGAACAGTGTGTTCATATCGGAGACGTCAACGGGATGACCCCATAGGCGCAGGGCGACGGCGGAAGTGACATGCAACGAGGGCCCGTAGCCGTCGATTTCACCGAATGCAGGCGAGCGCGCATCACCCCACCGTCCATTGGGGAAGTCGTCCCATGTGGCTTCTCGTCCGAGCGCTCCCAGGCCCTCGGAGATCAGGAGAGTGGTGCTGCGGTTGGGAGGCATGGCCGGCAGTCCGGCGCTGTCTGCGCGTGCCTCGTGCACTGACTCCTGGGATGATCCCTTGCCAGAGAGCTTGTCGACAATGACTCGGTTGTGAGGCTGCGAGTTAATAGACGACGCTCGGCGTTTCACCCGCGAACGCACTGCATCGAGAGGCACTGAGTCACCGATATCGTCGATGGCGGAATCCTGGCAATCCGAGTACGGCGGGATCAGATCGCAGCGTTCAAGAATGAACGAGACAGTCTTTTCCAGGTTCAGGGTGTAGAAATGAAAACCTCGCGGGCCGGGGCATTGAAGCTCTTTGATCCCGCCAACGATGTTGCTAATCACATCCACACCTGCGCGCTTGACGGCGTCATCATCATGTTTCAAATCCTCCATGCGTTTGGCAATAGGATCCGGGATCTTGACGTGGCTGAGCTTGGTCACTCGAGTCAGGATTTTGTAGCTGTGGATGGGCATCAGGCCCGGGATGATGGGAATGGTCTTGAAGACGCCAGATTCATGAGTGCGAAGCATATCCTCAAATTTCCGATAGGCGTCCAAGTCGTAGGTAAGCTGGGTCATGATAAAGTCCGCGCCGGCCTGGGTTTTCTCAACGAGGTACGGCAGGTCGCGGGCGGGATCCTGGACGTCCTGGAACGAGTCGGCCGGATGGCCCTCCGGGTATGCAGCCACGCCAATGCAAAAGTAATCCCCGTGCTGCTTGCGAATGTAGCGCACCAGATCCACCGCGAAGGTAAAGTCCTTGTTGCTATCGTCTTCGCCGTGCATGTTGTACTCCTCGCTGCGAGGGGGGTCACCTCGTAGCGCCAGGATGTTTCTGATGCCCAGCACTTTCGCTTCTTCCAACGCCATGTCCACCAACGCCCGGCTCATGTTCGTGCATGTCAAGTGTAAGACCGTGGTGAGTTGTAGCTGGCGTTGGCAGACCTCGGCCAGCTCGAGAGATCGGGCAGCCGTGCTCCCGCCAGCGCCCCAGGTGACGGACACGAAGAGCGGGCGCAATGCCTGAGCCATGCGCTCCAGACGGGCGGACAAATTCGCAAAGCCCTGGGTGACGGTTAGCTATGGTATCACGGACATGCTCGCGGGGCTACCCCACCATGCGAGTCCTGGGCGGGAAGAACTCGAGCGAGAAATAGTTGGCATCTGGCGGCAAGGCCGCGATCTTCTCGGTGATCTTCTTCTCCATTGCGACGGGTGGTTGCCAATGGAGGAGGAAGAGGAGAGGTGGGGGATGTGACGAAGAAGAGAAGTTCCCCGAGTGGGCCGTGACTGACTGACGACAGCACCGAGAACCGGCCATCCCGCATGAACAGGACAACTACAAGGTGGTCCTCTATATACATTTTATCTAAACTGGTTTGATGAAGCTAAAGGCAATGACCAACAGCCAATAATACACGCCCCGTGCGATCCGAGGCGGCGCGGCTGAGGATGGAAGGATTGCGGATCTACACTATTCACTACTCTTTCTCTCTTCTCCTCTTCTTCCCTCGTCACGAGTCCTTTCACCCCCAACCAACCACCCATGACCTCCCGCTCGCATTTCCTGCGTGTGCTCCTTCGTCGGGTAGAACGACCGTCCAATCGTGTCTCCCGACGCACACTCTCGACCTCGCCCCCTCCTCCGCGCTCTTCTCCGTCCAGTCCTAAAGACTCCCGCTCCCGCCTCCGCCAGCTCAATGACCGTCTCCCTCGCTTTTTGCGCACCTTGACCACACCCCTACTTGGCGCTCCAGTGACTCATGTAACCTCATTTCTGATTCTCCACGAGATCACGGCCGTGGTGCCGCTATTCGGCCTCGTCGCGGCATTCCATTATGGGGGGTGGATGCCCGATCTCACGTCCGACGGGGAGAACAATGCTTTTGAAGAAGGGACCGCGCGTTTTGGAAAGTGGTTGCGGAAAAAGGGGTGGGTCGATGAGGCGGACGTGAATGCCGTAGCGGAGCATGAGGCTACGACAGATGCTAGTAAAAGGGACAAGGACCGGACCGGGGTACGGTTGCTTCTGGAGTTCGCGACGGCCTACGCAATTACAAAGGCACTGCTCCCTGTCCGCATCGCGGCGAGTGTCGGGGCCACGCCGTGGTTTGCAAGGACAATCCTTACGCCGACGGCCAATACAGCCAGGAGACTGCTGGGGAGGAGCTAGGGTTGTAGATCGGGGATATCGTACATATGTGTATAATAAAGGATTCATTTTCCGTAACTGTTGGCTACTGCATTCTATGCTACCGGGAGCTATAGACACGGTTTGAGTCGGCGGAAGAACGAGTAATTTACTCGTAGACCCAGGGGGCCTGGCTGGACTTCCACTTGATGAGCTCGCTGGGGCTGAACCAGAGGGAGATCTCCTTCTTGGCGTTCTCGACGCTGTCGGAGCCGTGGCAGACGTTGCGGCCGACGTCCTGTGCAATTGTCAGCATGAACAAACACAACGGGGAGGCTGGTCTTACAATGGCGTAGTCACCGCGGATGGTGCCGGGCGCGGAAGCGAGGGGGTTGGTGGCACCCAGGATGGCTAGAAATGGTTAATGAATGACTGGAATGCTGGGATCGGGAAACATACTGCGGCCGGTCTTGACGGCATCCTTGCCCTCCCAGACCATAGCGCAGATGGGGCCGCTCAGCATGTCTAGTGTGGAGGTCAGTGACTGTGTGTTGATTGAGTCGGAAGCACGGGAAACTGACAGGCAACGAGACCCTTGAAGAAGGGCTTGGTGGCCAGGTCGGCGTAGTGCTTCTCGAGGTGCTCCTGCGAGGGGGAGCAGAGCTTCATGGCAACGAGCTTGAAGCCACGGTTCTCGAAGCGAGAGATGATGGGGCCAACGAGTCCACGCTAATTGAGAGGTCTGTTAGCCCATTGAGCGAAGTTGTTGGGTCGGGGATATCCATACCTGGACACCGTCGGGCTTGATGGCAATGAAACTGCAGCGAGTGGGTTAGCTTGGCTGTTAGCAAAGGAAGGGGGGGAACGGGTAGGTAAGGTAGAGCAAGGCCAGAGCTGGCATTGAGGGGCAGAGGAAGGATCAATTGCTTACGTCTGCTCGTCGGCCATTGTTATGGATTGGAGTGGATGGGATTGACGGGGATGCGGAAGAGTTGAAAGTGAAGGAAGTGGGAGAGGAAAAGAAGAAGAAACTTGTTGGTGGGGCTGGAGGGGTGTGTTGGCTGTGGATGCCTGACCGCCTGAATTAAATGCCTCAGGTGTCTTACCCCAGCCTATCTCTCGGCCCCGTCTGGCCAGCTGGCTGGAGCTTTCACCCAACTCAACTGCACCACCACCCTCCAGATGCAGGGTACCACCTGATCATTTCTGAGATCTGTGTTAGCCTAGTTGCTTTGAATTATGGTCCGCAGCCGGCCTGCGTCCCGCTGGACGCTATTGCTGTCCCTGCTAGTCCTCGTCGGATGCATTGTTGTCCCCGGACGTGAGCATCGTCCTACCCCTGCGGGCAATTGCTTGTGCTAACGAACTCGGCGAATTGCAGTGACGGTCAAACACGAGAATTTCAAAACATGCGCTCAATCGGGGTTCTGTAAACGCAATCGGGCATACGCCGACAATGCTTCGGAGAAGGGCGACTCGTGGACCTCGCCCTATGAGCTCGACCCAGCCACGGTGCACTTCAAAGATGGCCAACTGACTGGAATCCTGATTAAAACAACCGCTGCCAATGAGAAACTCCGGCTACCCCTAACCGTGTCCTTCCTCGAATCCGGTGCTGCCCGCTTGATCGTTGACGAGGAGGCGCGCTTGAAGGGCGATATTGAACTCCGCCATGACAGCAAAGTGAACAAGAAGCGGTATGACGATACTGGGAAGTGGGTCCTTAATGGAGGCTTGGAAGTGTGCAAGTCGGCGACGCTGAATGCCCAAACCGAGACTGGCTTCACCAAGGTGCTCTACGGCCCTGGCGATGCTTATCAGGCAGTCATCCGTCACTCTCCGTTCCATGTCGACTTCCAAAGAGACGGGCAGACGCACGTACAACTGAATGACCGGGGCCTCTTGAATATGGAACACTGGAGACCGAAAGTGGAGAAGGAAGGAGAAGACCGCCCGGAGGAAGAGGATACCTGGTGGGAAGAGACCTTTGGCGGCAACACTGACTCCAAGCCGCGTGGTCCGGAGAGTATTGCCCTTGATGTCACTTTCCCGGGTTACAACCATGTGTTTGGTATCCCGGAGCATGCGGACTCGATGTCGCTCAAACAGACTCGGTAAGGCTTATAACACGAGTCTCCCCGAAAATGGAGCTAATAAAGCTATAGAGGCGGCGAAGGGAACCACAATGACCCATACCGCATGTACAACTCGGATGTTTTTGAGTACGAACTCAGCAGCCCCATGACTTTGTATGGTTCCATTCCGTTCATGCAGGCTCACCGCAAGAACTCCACTGTTGGTGTCTTCTGGCTCAATGCAGCCGAAACCTGGGTCGACATTGTCAAGTCAACCACATCTGCCAACCCGCTCTCCCTGGGCACCAAGTCGAAAACTAACACTCAAACCCATTGGTTCTCTGAGTCTGGTCGTCTCGACCTCTTCATCCTCCTCGGCCCCTCCCCGAAAGAGATTAGCAAGACCTACGGCGAACTCACGGGGTATACGCAATTGCCCCAGCACTTTGCTATTGCCTATCACCAATGTCGCTGGAATTATGTGACCGACGAAGATGTCAAGGAGGTGGACGCCAAGTTCGACAAGTACCAGATTCCCTATGACGTGATCTGGCTCGACCTCGAATATACCGACGACCGCAAGTACTTCACCTGGGATCCGCTGACCTTCCCCAACCCGAAGGGCATGGAGGAACAGCTTGATGACCACGAGCGTAAGCTGGTGGTGCTCATTGATCCTCACATCAAGAACGCCGACAACTACTTTGTGTCGCAGGAGCTGAACAGTAAGGGGCTCGCCATCAAGAACAAGGATGGCGATGCCTATGACGGGTGGTGTTGGCCAGGTTCGTCCCACTGGGTCGACTGCTTCAACCCAGCCGTCTATCCCTGGTGGTCTAGCCTGCACAAGTATGACCGGTTCAAGGGTTCTCTGCCCAACGTGTTTATCTGGAATGACATGAGCGAGCCTTCGGTATTCAATGGCCCGGAAACAACCATGCCCAAGGACAACGTGCACTATGGTGACTGGGAGCACCGTGATGTCCACAACCTCAACGGTCTCACCCTGATCAACGCAACCTACCAGGCACTTCTGGAGCGCAACAAGGGTGAGATGCGCCGGCCGTTTATCCTGACGCGCTCGTACTTTGCTGGCGCCCAGCGAGGTTCAGCCACTTGGACCGGCGATAACCAGGCCACTTGGGAACACTTGGGTGTCTCCCTGCCAATGGTTCTCAACAACGGCATTGCAGGATTCCCCTTCATTGGTGCCGACGTTGGCGGATTCTTCCACAACCCGGAGAAAGACTTGTTGACGCGGTGGTATCAGGCGGGCATCTGGTATCCGTTCTTCCGTGCCCACGCTCACATCGACACCCGCCGCCGTGAGCCGTACCTCGTCCCGGAGCCCCACCGGTCCATTATCTCTCAGGCCATCCGTCTGAGATACCAGCTCCTGCCAGCCTGGTACACGGCCTTCCACGAGGCCTCGGTCAACGGCACTCCGATCGTGCAGCCCCAGTACTACGTCCACCCAGATGACGAGGCGGGCTTCGCCATTGACGATCAGCTCTACCTGGGCAATACCGGTATCCTTGCGAAGCCCGTGGTACGCGAGAATGTCGACGTCGCTCATGTCTACCTTGCCGACGACGAGAAGTACTACGATTACTTCGACTACACGGTCTACCAGGGCGCCGGCAAGACCCACGCCGTTCCTGCGCCGATCGAGAAGACGCCCGTGCTGATCCAGGGTGGTCACATCATCCCCCGCCGAGACCGTCCTCGCCGCAGCAGCGGTCTGATGCGCTGGGACCCGTACACCCTGGTGATCACCCTGAACAAGAACGGCGAGGCCGAGGGTTCCCTGTATGTGGACGACGGCGAGACCTTCGACTACGAGCGCGGTGCCTACATCCACCGCCGCTTCCAATTCCGGGATGGCGCGTTGTCTTCGGAGGATATTGGCACCAAAGGCCCCAAGACGGCGGAGTACCTGAAGACCATGAAGGACGTCAAGCTCGGACGCGTGGTAATCATCGATCCGCCGGCTGCCTGGACGAAACAGTCCACCGTGGGCGTCAGTGCGGATGGGCAGATGGTTGGCACGGCGCCGCTGGAGTTCTATGAGCAGCAGGGCGGGAAGGCGTCGTATGCCGTGGTGAAGAATCCGAACGTGGGCATTGGAATGGCGTGGCAACTCGGATTCCCCAAGATCTGAATGAAATGTATATTTGCGCGCATCTAGAATTGTTGGTTTCATTCAATCCCACCCATCATTTTGTTTTCTTGTCACAATCGCCTTGGCAATTGCATCGATCGAAGTATTTTCTACATCGAAAATTGGACTCCACATACTACTGTCAAGGATAGATTACATCTTGACACACGAATGATATACTGTGGCACAATCCATCAATCTGTGACATTCACCGATATTGTAATACGTAACGAAAGCATGTTTCTTGCCTATTGGATCCGAGGCGTCACAATCATCTTCTTGGTTAGGGGCCCCAAGGTGTGGCTTAAAACAAGCTCCGGGATTCCTTCTGGGCCTCCATTTGGTGCACCGTGGATCTGCATTTTCAGAATTTGCAAAAAGGGCGAGAACTGAGAGTCACGCGACACTCTAGCCATAGGGCTGACAGCTCCAAAAAAGCCTCTTCCATGTAGCCCTAATACAAATGAGTACAGATCCTCTTTTTATGTATTGCATAACGGCTGGCACTAGTTCAGCCACACACGGTTTCATCGATCTGATGACTAAGCCCTTTTTTTCCCTGAAGAAGTGATCTGATCCACCTTGAACCTCGCTGCTTTCCTTCAACCAGTCACTCGCTTCCAAACGTCTTCCGTCTGTGCCGTATTGGACCGCTCTGTTCAGTCGCGTTCTGCTTTCCCTGGGACTCGTTGTTCCTGTCGCTCCATTGCCATTCATTAAGCCCCGCGGGCCTCCGGACCATCTGCGGCGTCATGAATCTCATCTCACTTGTCATTGAATATGGCGCCCCCATCTTGTACGTTGAACGCGATCCATCGATCTGAGTGTGGAAGCCAGAGCTAATCATAGCCCGCGTCTCCCAGTCTTATCACCTCTCCCCTGACCTCCTACGCGGACCAGATTCTCAGCATCCACCGCTCAAGGACATCAGCAGGGTTCTCGCTCGATATCCCGCTCATCATGCTCGTCGCCTCGATTATGAAGTGAGTCTTTGCTCCCGTGAGGAAAATTTGTCGGGGATATAATGTTGATGGGTATTGAATTAAGGGTCTTCTATTGGTTCGGCGCCTACTATTCAGGCGCATTACTGGCCCAGGCTCTCGTGATGATCCTGGTGCAGGGGACCCTGCTCAAGGTTGCGCTTGAGAATCGGCCATCTGCGGGCATGAAGAATGGGATCGAACATACACCCTTCAGCGGCGGGAGTGCCGATGGTGGGTTTGCGCGACCCTACGGGTTTTGGCAGTGGAAGAACACCAAACCGTGAGTCTGTATTACGCCATCCAAATTGACCCCATGCTAAGCTAGTCGCGTCATCAGATACTGGATGTTCTTAGCCTACCTGGTTGCCACGCTGACCGTGATCCACCTCACCCCGGTCTCCCAGTCCGAGTTCTACATCAATCTCCTGGGCTACATCGGCCTGGCCATCGAAGCAACGCTTCCCGTTCCCCAGATCATCTCCAACTACCGCTCAAACTCATGCAAGGGTTTCCGGTTGTCCGTGTTAGCAGCCTGGCTCATCGGCGACTCGATGAAGATGAGCTACTTCTTCTGCAGCCAGGAGCTGATCCCGTTGGCGTTCAAGCTGTGCGGTGTGTTTCAGTGCATGTGCGACGTCTACCTGGGCGTGCAGTACTATATGTTTACGCGGGCCTCTTACCGTGCTGGGGGCGGTTCGGCGGAGCAGGAGGGTCGTTGGGGCGCGCAGGAGAAGGACATTCGCATGACGTGAGAGCAAGCATTTGGGGAACTTTGTAGATAAACCGGGGCATTTCGTTACTGGCCGTGGCATTTATATATTTCATAGACTAATACTGTGTACGATTATCACTGGAGAGCAAGCGGAAGACCCCTCCGGATGTGGGGAAATATGATGACATCTTATCTTCTGGATCTTTTTTTTTACTCCCACCACCACCGCCAACGACAACACCAAACCAAGATGGACGGCCAGCCCACAATCCGCATCGGCTATGTGCCTGGTACTCTCCCTCTCTTAATCACTTCATTCGACAATTCACTAACTGGTGGTAGAGCACTATCTCGCCCCCCTCCACCTTGCCCTCCGCTCCCCCGCCGTATCCTCCCTGCCCTTCAAGATCGCGCTGACCCCCTTCCCCTCGGGAACGGGCCACATGATCACATCGCTGCGCGCCAATGAAATTGATCTAGCCATTGGCCTGACCGAGGGCTGGGTCGCCGGCCTGGCGGGCAAAGCGCAGGCGGACACGGACCCGAAGAATGGTGGGTACACCGTCGTCGGACATTGGGTGAATAATCCGCTGCGGTGGGCGATTGTCACAGGGCGGAATCGGAGCGGAATCGATGCTGTGTCTGATTTGCAAGGGAAGAGGGTTGGGATTAGCCGACCTGGGAGGTATGTGCTCGTCTATCAACATGGACTTCAATTGAATCGCAGGATTGACATGACATAACTCATCTGTAGTGGCTCCCACATCATGTCATTCGTCCTCGCCCAGCAACAAGGATGGAAACCCGACAGTCTCACCAGCGTCCCGCTGGGCCCCTTCGGCGCCCTCCGCAACGGCGTCACCGGAGCAGACCAGCCCTCCCCCACGGCGGAGTTCTTCATGTGGGAGCACTTCACCACAAAGCCCTACTTCCACGCCACATCGGGGGAAGCGCAACCACCGCTCAAGAAAATCGGCGAGATCTTCACCCCTTGGCCGTCGTGGATGATTGTCGCCTCGATGTCTTCCTTCCCGGACCCGCAGCATGACCAGAAACTGCAGCTTCTGTTCCATGCTTTTGATCAGGGGATCAAGGAATTCGAATCTGATACAGACCAGGTCGTGAGGCTCCTCGGGACGGGCGAGCTGGGGTGTACCTATGCGAAGGAGGATGCGGTTGAGTGGCTGAAAGATGTGAAGTTTACGTCGGGGACACGCGGTGTCGATCCGAAGGTTATTGAGGGCGTTGTGGATGTGTTGAAGGTGGCCGGGGTGATTGATCAAGGTATGAGCAATGAGGAGGCTGTTAGTCGGGTTATTGGCATTCCGAGGTAGGTCTCTCTCTGTCCCTTGTGGAAGGCATATTGAGCAGGAAAGGTGTTGAGGGCATTCGATGACTTGGTTTGTAGATTTGAGAAAATGGATACGGTCGTGACTTATGACACCAAGTAGTGTGTTAACACAAAAATCAAAAGCATCAATGATATATTTCTGTTGCAGCCATATTGATTGTCTGAGATGAAGCGGCAGATACCGTGTAAGGTGTCTACAGTGATGGCACTACGGATGAAGTGAAACAAAACATACGCAATCCATCAAGTGCAATATAAGTGCGAAGAAGGCCGAATCTCAGCAGGCGAGGTGAGATATAGACACCTGAGGCATATATAACTTCCTGATTAGGCAACTAACTGCGTCCAAAGCTGGCGACATCAAATCAAGTATAAGGATCAAGTCCTATTTTATTCCTGCATATTCTCTCCCCTTGCTTCTCCTTTTCGTAAAGCAAACTCATGACTGTCAATTTTTATGATCTCCCAAGCAAACCTGCAGTAAGAGAATAAGGCAATGGATTCATAAACAAAGACTCCATTCCGCGCACTCGCAAGGGAACTCAAAGCTACAAAGGACTCAGGTGCCTCTCTTTGTAACCTACAAAGTTCAGGGCAATTCCGGAATTATTGAAAAATTCAGCCACCGGCCGGGTATGGCTTGATATCCGCGGCATCCCGCACAATGCATCACCACCGGCAGGCACACAAGGGATGCAGAATCTCGACATGTCGCGGGTTCATTCTCCGCCATGCATCTTATCCCTAGAAACATAGACTAACCAGCCTAGACCCGCCATCTGTCGCACAGTGTTGTCCCTCCCGCCGTGCATTCTTCGACCAACCTCCGGCTGCCCTGACAACAAGCATGGAATGAAGCCTAACCAGGGAGGACCACATCACAATCCAATCAGCACACCCAAATGCCAAAACAACACACTGTCCAATAGATGAGGATCGTCGGCAATCCAAACCCGAAGCTCTCAAATACTGTTGTTGGCGTGGACATGGTGGGCCATACCTTGCACGCGTAGGGCTTAGTGACGCAAGAGAAATGGTCAGGCTGGGCTTTTGGTATGGGCAGATTCCATGTAAAAGAATAGGGAAAATAACGCTGAGTATGCTATTTAGTCCGTGGCACACGACTCCTAACCCTGCTAGGACCTTCGGGAGTTTTTGCGTCTCTTTGTTTTTCCTTCTTTACCGTTAGCGCCGCCAACCATTCATTAACGCGCCATTCTAATAGTAATCTGTCACAGTTATCTGTGACGCAGCTTGGTCATAATGCGCAACTATCAAGCTGTTCTCCCCTGGGCGGTGCTTCTCTCCTGTCTGGGGAAGGCCCAGGCGGGATTGGACTTGAACTCATCTTCGAACATGGCTGTCTACTGGGGTGTGTACAGAGATGAGGTTCTTTGAGAACAAAATTAATCAATTGAATTACAGGCCAAAACTCGGGAGGTAAAGGACAACAACCTCTAGCCTACTATTGCAAAAGTGAGTTGGATATTATCCAGTGGATACGCAGACAAGCTGACGAAGAGCTTTTAGACGATGCGATCAATGTATGGAGATTGGTTTGGAATTATGGATGATTAGCTGACTTGGTTCTAGGTCATCCCCCTGGCCTTTGATATGATGATCGATGGGCCAGGAGGCGCTCCAGAAGTCGATTTTTCGGTTACAAGTAAGGAGTGCGACGTATTTCCCGGCACTCAGCTGAAGAACTGCCCACAAATTGCGTAAGGTTATATGGTTCTTGTGTGAGGCTAAACTGACACCTCACAGAAAAGATATTAAAACCTGCCAGGACCAGGGAAAGACAATTCTCCTATCCATCGGCGGTGCCACATACAGTGAGGGCGGCTTCTCATCAGAAGATGAGGCGAAGGCTGGGGCACAGCTAATGTGGGAGACGTTCGGGCCCAAGCAGGACGGATCAGACGCAAAACGGCCCTTCGGAGATGTCGCTCTGGATGGGTTCGACTTCGACTTCGAGGCCAATGTTCAGAACATGGCTCCGTTTGCGAATGAACTCCGCTCCTTAATGGATGCTGAGAAGGATAAGAAGTACTTCTTGACTGCTGCACCGCAGTGTCCTTACCCAGATCAGTCCGACAAGGAGATCCTCAACGGCCCTGTTTCAATTGATGCCGTGTGGGTACAGTTCTACAACAACTTCTGCGGCGTCAACGCCTTCAGCAAGAACACCGATGACTCCAAGTTCAACTTTGACCAGTGGGACAACTGGGCCAAGAAGGTATCCAAGAACAAGGACGTCAAGGTCCTCCTCGGAGTGCCAGCCGACACGACCGCCGCCAGTTCCGGCTATATCCCCGCGTCCAAGTTGAAGGATGTGATCGAGTACGCTAAGACCTTCGATAGCTTCGGAGGAGTTATGATGTGGGATATGACACAGGCATATGCGAATAATGGCTTTATTGATGATGTGCGGGAAGCATTGGGATCAGGGCTCTCCAGTTCGTCGTCGTCCACTTCGGCGTCGGACTCGGCGTCTTCCTCTTCGTCCACTAACTCACCGCATCCCTCACCATCCTCCAAACCACCCGCGTCCTCGTCCTCTTCTTCCTCCTCATCTGGATCTGGGGACTCCTCCACTGGCGCTGAAACGACGACAACTACGACCTCTACCACTTCCACGAGCTCCGACGAGCCGAGCGCAACCCCCAGCGATAACGGCGAAGATCTCCCGGATAGCACAGCCACACCCACGCCGTCGAGTTCCAGCGAGTCGTCATCCTCGACCTCGTCCTCTACCCCGAGTCCAGCGCCCACGAGCCTGTCAACGTCGACCACTTCGACAAGCCAGGAGCCTCCCAAGCCTGCTACAACTACCACCAAGCCTCCCAAGCCGCCTACGACTACGACTACGACTACTCCCAAGCCACCTAAGACTACCAATCCTCCCGGCTCGAATGACGACAAGAATAATGATGACAAGTCCAAGGATGATATGGGCCTTGACCTTATCCCTGAACTCCTCACCAACAATCTGTTCAGTCTTCTCAGTACTCTCCGCCAAGCCAATGGTCGAACAGAAGGACGTCACGCGGGAGGACATCACCACGGAGGTCACCACCACCGTCGACAGTTCCGTGCTTAATACCTCAGCGCGGTATACTGTGAATAAATTTGCCAAGGCTTCAACAAGTCTCTTGGGATTTCCATTCAGCCACGTAGGTTGATGCGGGCTTGCTCCACATCCTATCTTCTCTTCAAGAGAGCCCGAATACCTACTGTCCATTTCATTTTGATTCTTCTTTCTCACTTTCTTCCTATAACCTTTGATTCCCCTTACAATTGGGTTACTGTCTCATGATACCCTTAATTCATAATCCCGTCGCCAGCCTACAACCCTCACCGTGGGCCTTTCTGGACTCTGCGGGCTTGCGTTGCTTTTTGTTGAAGATGGAGGCATTCTGATGATGTGCTTGCATATAATATACTATTTTATTGCATCAGTCCTACGTTTGAACCAAATGAATCTATATTTTGGTGATTTGAGATATGCCCAGTCAACAATAACAGGGCTTTGTAGATCACGTGCTTACGTGGTTTTATATGAGTCCTTCAAGTTTATGGAAGGTTTTAGCACGAAACATTCTTCAAACTTGCTTTATTCACTATCCATCATCCTATTATGTATCTAGAATTCTATGACTGATTTTCTTCAACGCCACCAATCACTCGCCCACGGTCCTGGGTCCCCTGTTTTTGGCAACATCTTAGCAGTTAACACCTTTCCGATAGAAGCAGCATGACCTATTGTAAATAGCAGATGACATTATGACTATTACTTAATGTGACAATTAAGAACAGGAATATATTTCGTTTCTACCCTTTGGAGATTACTGTACGCTATTGAGCTTCACACCATCCGCCTACCACTCTTCTTCTTGCTTCCTCTCTGCTTTCTAGTCGACTGCTCTCGCTTTTTGGTAGGATTAGGCCCATTGAGAGTTGTGTTGTAAGTAGCGTGGCTCGGAAGCACTTTGAACACGATCGTACTGTTGCCCTCCCGGTAGTCGCTCGTGGACGGTCCCTCGGTCCTATAGCCGCCATGTTGGCTGGTACATTCTTTTCCAGTCGCAATATTCTTTCTCGAGAGAGCTCTCTCAAACATCGTTAATGCAGCCAGGGGCTGGTAGAAAGGCACTTCGTGGCCGGATTCGTAGATGCGCACGAAGCTATACAGCTCGCTCTGCCGGACTTGTCCATGAACAATTCCGTCTGAAGTGGTAATGTTGGCAAATCCTGCCTTTTCGTATCCTGGGGCGTTAATTTCCTTCGCGACAACTTGTCCTCCAAGCCAGTTGCAGTTAAAGTCACTAGTTAGTAGTCGAATCAGCGCGGTTCACACATTTCATGCCACGAAAGAGGGATGGTTCTTACGCGTCCCCAAAATACATCGTGACCTGCACTCCGGCCTCTAACAGCCTTCTCACATCCTTTATTGTTCCAGACTCCCGGTCGTCATCGCCTGTGCTGCCAAAGCCATTGCCGACAGTATAAGAGTATTCCGAAAAGTTCTGATAAGCTCCAATGGCGGCTTGAATATCGGGGCGATTGAGGTAGTCCACGTAAAACTCGTATGGGAATGGATCGGGTGTCAGCTCACGCATGTCATACTCATCGCGCCCGGAGTACTTGTCATAGAGCGATTCAACTTTCGCGGCGCAAAAGTTGTCCGCCGCGGAGCAAATGTCGTTTCGGCCCGTGGCATAGCATTGCAGAGTCTGGTCAACGCAGTTTCCTTCACCGTACAGGTTGTTGTACCATTCTGCCTTCACCGACACGCTGTATGGGTCATAGTCGTATGTGTTGCCGGGGAATATGGAGAAGTTGTAATATGCCTGGTATTGAATCAGGGGATCGAACCAGCCATTTCCAATAAGAACGTTCTCAAGCTCAATCGGAATAGAGCCGGGAATTCTTTTCGCATTCTGCTCCAGAAAATAATCTGTTCCAGAGTTAGGATATCTTCTCGTTCATTAGCACCCGGGACTCTCTCTTACCATTGAACACGGGGCCATAGTGACCTCCGTAACTTTCGGTAGCGAAATTGAAGCCATTCCTTGAATACTGTGGGAAAGCCCCCATGAACCCCTGCAGAGTCTTCCACATATTCGGAGCTGCTCCTGCTGTCGAATTGGGAACCAAAGCAACGTCTGACTTGGAGTATGTGCCGCATGTCCCGTATTTTTGGGCGTAACTGGGGCATGTCTCGTCAGGGAGTTGGATGATATAGCCATCATTATCCTGGTAAGCCGGGACGGGGATTGTATAAGAAAGCCCAACTGTAGCAGGCTGGTCGACGAAGAGCTGGTGACTGGTGAGCAAGGTTTATGGGTAATGAGCGGTGGAACTTACCATATTGCTCACGTTGCTCCACGAGTACGGATTGTTGTATACTTTGCCCTTGTGGTCAACTCCGCAAGGTCCTAGTTCCTGAAATAACCCGATCATTGAAGACGATCCTGGTCCGCCGTTGATCCAGACCGTAAGCGGTGCCTGAATGCTGGTTGGTAAATCTCCTTGTAGTCAAGGAAGAGGTGCTGGAACCTACATCTTTCGGATCTCCATTTCTAGTCTCGAAAAACCACCTGCTCTAGTCAGCTCACTTCTTCTGAAGCAAAGCGCTAGCTCCGTGATACGGGCGAGCAATCGGAAAGGTTGTTTACCAGAAAATATGTTCATTCTCCCCAACATCAGCATAGCCAGAATAGCTCTTAACATTGGGATCTTGTTCACAGATCCCAGGGGGCACCTCCTTGTATCGCACGTTGATGCCAGCATGACCTTGCTTCGTGGTCAAGTCCGTTGGTGCAGACACGAATTGCGCCGCGACAGAGTGCGCAAGCACTGCTGCAGCTGCGATTGAGATCTTCGGATATGACAGCATTTGGAACTCTGAATTTCCAATCACACTGAGGTGATCGTAAGAAATTCGGGTCCTGGGAGGAGCCGGGGATTGATCTTAATTCATTCATTCGGAGAACCCCGCACGGCTAGGTTGGAGCAATGAGCTATATAGCTCCCCTGCATTTCGCTAGGATCAATCAGGAAGGTAGGATCCATGAATTCCGGCGATCGCCCCCAATCAGCACTAGCCCGTGATGATAACCACCAGCCTTTATCATTTATCTGCTCTCCTCTAATAAATGGATCCGTCGGATCTCCGGTCCCATCACCGAGCAGGCGCGCGCCATCTCTAGAATACGAGCAACTCTCAGAACACACAAGCGAACAGATTAGGTGTCGATTGGACTATCCGAATTCACAACCATTAGGTAATTAACAAAGAGAAAATAAACATCCCTATCCTTCCACCCGTAAACACCGGTCATAGATCAACATTATCAGCTAGGTCATCGACAATCTCACTCACTCAAGCGCAGACCGAATAGACATCGTCTAGTCTGCACATAAAGTAGCAACCATCTTCAAGAACAAGAACAGAACAAACGCGCGTAAAAAAAGAAAGAAAGAAAGGGACTTTGGTATCACTCCACATCCTCCTCTTCCTTGCTGGCAGCCAAGAAGAAGCGACCCTTCGGCTTACCAGGCTCCTCGTACTCAACCGTCAAGCGAGATAGATGGCCCAGTAGATTCTCGATCTTGATATCGCCCTTGCTGTGCCTCACGCGACCGAGATTATCGAGCCACTTGATCTTGTTAAGGGTGTAGTAGACGAGCGCGATGACGATCTCAACACCGAGCGAGTAGCCCCAGATGCGAACCACGGTGACGATGTCCGTCCAGCCATTTCTGGTCTCGACGAATTGGTCCTTCGGGATGGTGGGCATGTCTTGGTTGCTGAACCAGCCGAACAGACAGAAGAGGGTTGCCAGAATATCCACGCCCAGAATTGCGGTTACCAGGTGGATGGACGGCCAGACGTCGCTGCCGCGTGTTACGAAGATCAGCCAGTTCTCCGTCAGTGCCACTTGGAGGAAGAGCACTTCTTGGATCGCGCCAAAGTTTTGGATGATGCCGCCCGACGGCAGGAACATTGTGCCGCGCACAACCCATGTGCCCAGCGCGAGTAGAATGCCCAGGATTATGGAGATGACCCAGATCTTGGGGAGCTGCCATTCCACAGGGCGAAGTTCGAACGAGGCGTTGTCGTATGCGACGGCGACGGTAGCCAGGTCGGCGAATAGAGCTAGGAAGACGACGAGCTCGACTCGAATACTTTCGTTCAGGATGATCATCGATGTCACCAGGTAGATCTCCAAGTGCAAGCAAAGCGCGATACGGTACTGAATGTAAGCCTTCATGCGGTGGAAGATCTGGCGCGCAACTTTGATCGAGTCGATGATGGTCGACAGGCCAGGCTCCAGGAACACGATATCTGATGCCGACTGCGCAGCTTCGGAGGCGCCTTCGACGGCGATACCGCAGTCTGCTTTCTTCAGAGATGGTGCGTCGTTCACACCGTCACCCGTCATAGCAGTCAAATGGCCGCGCTCTTGCAGCATCTGCACGACTTGGAATTTGTGTTCTGGGAAAACTTCGGCAAAGCCATCTGCTTTCTCGACGAGATCACTAGCCATTGCGCCGCTTAGACCGCCGTGGATAAGCTTGTCTGAATTGTACACCTTGGTACCTAGCGCAAGCATTTTGCATGTTTCCTTCGCAATAGCAATAGCATCACCCGTCAGCATCTTGACGCTGATGCCGAGGTTCTGAGCTTCACTGATTGTCTGTGCCGTATCCTCGCGAGGCGGATCAAACATAGGTAGCATGCCAAGCAGAGTCCAGTCCTCGCCTTGTTTCTGGACGGCAACTCCGAGAGAGCGGAACCCGCGGTGTGCAAATTCCTGAGCTTTGGCCTTGTACATGTCGGCAGTGGATTTGGCGCATTTGGTTAGCTGCAGCACGGCCTTGGGTGCGCCCTTGGTACACGTGTATTGAACCCCATCGCAGGTTGCAACAGTCACAATGCGTTTGGAGACAGGATCGAACGGGACAAACTTCTCCGTTTTCCAACCCCGCAGAAGGATCTCGCGAGCTCTAGGGTACTGCCGGAGGGCCAAGACGGTGACCTTGTCGATGGGGTCGAGCGACCCGGTATTGTGCGAGGACGCGAGCACCGCAACGGCAAACATCCAGTCGACATCGACGCCTTCGGCCACGTACGGGTCGCGAATGCTCAATTTGTTGGCAGTCAGGGTACCGGTTTTGTCGGAGCAGAGAATATCCACGCCCTGATATTGTTAGCAACTTCAAGTTTTCTGGTTGAGGGATGACTTACAGCCAACGATTCAATTGCCGTTAGTTTCTGAACAATCGCTTTCTTCTTGGCCAGGTACGCAGCGCCCACTGCCATGGTAGTGGTCGTGACCACGGGAAGACCGACGGGAACACCGATGATAAGCAAAGACAGAGTGTAGTGAAGAAGTGTCTGCTGTCCAGGAGAGGCAATGGGGATGTGGCGGAAGAATCCACCGATCCAAGCTGCGAGGATCCAGGCCATAACAAGAACCAAGAGAGATGTTCCGATATTGTCCATGACGATTTCGAAGTGACCAGCGCCCTTGGCAGACTGCACCATGCTCGCAGTACGGCCGACGAAGGATGTTTTGGCCGGCGTCTGAACCACAGCGTACGCTTTGCCACGCTTGCATCCAGTCGTGTAGAATATTATGTCTCCCATGTACCGATCGACGGCCAGAGATTCTCCGGTGATCGCAGAGTGGTCGCACGCCAGGATGGGATAGCCGCGGCGACGGGGCTTCTGCTGCTCGGCCTCTTTGCCGTCAGCTTCGCCTTCCCCTTCTTGGTCCTGGTGCTTGTCCTCGTCGCCCTTCTTTTCGTCTTCTTCCTCGGACTCGGAGGAGCTGCCACCGAGCATGCCTTGTTCCTGGAGCTGGTTGAATTCCTCCCAACCATTGGGATCGTCGTATTCACAAATCACTTTGGCATCAGCCGGGACGACTTGACCTTCACCGACAATTATCTGTAGGATTATTAGGATCTGCTTCTATCACAGAGCAATAATAGACATACCACATCACCCGGAACGAGCTCTCGCGCCAGAATTTCTTGCTGGGAATTGTCTCGCACGACGAGGGCACGCATGGCAATATCTCCCTTGAGACTTGCAACCACGTCGGCAGCTTGCTTCTCTTGATACCAACCGACAGAAGCGTTCAAGCATAGAATACCGATGATGACACCAAAGTCAACCCAGTCGTCCAGACCAGCGGCAAGCAAGACCGCAAGCTCCATGACTAGACGACCATATTAGACATTTTTAAGTGCCAATAGATGAAGAAAAAGACATACCATAAAGAATTGGACCACGAAAGTACGATAGGACCTTCGCAATAGGATTCTCCTTCTCAGAGACCAGTTCATTCCACCCAGCGCGCTGTCTCCGCTTAGAGACCTCCTCGCTCGGCAGTCCTTCCCGGATATCGGTAATGAGCCAGTCATCGGGAAACTTGGCGCCAGCCTCATCAACCTTGCGCACACGGACCCTGCGCTTCTTCCAGGGAGCGTACCAGATGCGTTTCTCGACGAAATCGCCCTCTTCTTGCTCACCGGCTCCGGCATCGCGGAAGGTCGATACGTACTTGACCAGTTTGCCGTACTCATCGAGGTTGGCCCAGTCCTCCTTCAGTGACGCGCGGGAGATGCGAGAGCCGCGGCGGCTATCGGGCGCGCGCTCGACGTCGTCTTCGCCCGCCATATCTGGGGTACGATCTGCTTGGACTGGGATAGACGGGAACAGAGTGTAGCGGGGAGCAATGGTTAGTGGAGGGGAGAGAGAAGGTGAAAAGCAGACGAGAGTGAAATAGAAAGCAGAGCAGAAGAAGACAACGGAGAAAGCAAAGCTCCTCCAACACGTGGGAGGAAGGGAAAGATGGCGAGAGAGTGCGGGAGTAAGAGTAAGAGAGAAGGCAGGATTACTTTTCTTCGAACCCTACATCTACTACACCAACAGCTTTTCATGCTGACGTCGTGACTGCTACAGCAATCACCCCTCCCCTAGCCTGCCTGTGCCTAGCCTCTGGATTCATGGGTCTTGACGTAGGAGACGCTAGGAGAGTCTATCCGGATGAACCTTGTCTGGCAGGCCAGCAGAGGGCGTGACTCGGGGGGAGATCACATTGAGTTTTCGGGAGCAAGTAAGTAGCTGCGATAGCCATGGATCCGTGCGAGGGTTCCATCGGCAAGACCCTGTGGAACAAGGACATCCGTTGCACGGGGTTGAGCTTCAGGAAAGATTATCCAGTTGAGCAGCGCTAAAATATATACACTTCGATCATTATAGAACGGCTTTCCGGTGAATTTTTTAATCGGTGATGATTATCTACAGAGTCAAGACAGACAACATCCATCATGCCGAGTCCGAATATCCCGAGTGTCCCGACAGTCTTCGACGTCATGCGCGATTCCGCCGGCAGCCGCGCAGTAGGGGTACGGTGTGCCATGATTCATAGAACTTAGTTATACGTTCCTTCGTCTCTCCTAACCAGCCCCGTTACTACTCTGGAAGAATAATGGGCACGTTCTCTCGCCAGACTCACACAGTCGATCATTGTAGATCCCGTCCACGTGACCCAGCCCTATCGTGACCCACTTCGTAACTACACGATAGGGAAGATGGAGTGCACGACATGTGCTGAACTTTACCATGAATTTATCACAACCTTCCGGTCTCAGGGCTTTCTGCTTACGTGGGCGCGGGAACATGACACGGCTTGGTCACGATTTGGTTACCCCATACTCCGTCAAAACAACTCATCTTGTATTCTTCAGGTAGTTATTCTCTCTCCCTCACTTCCGCGTAGGCATCATCATCGCACATAATCTATTTCAGCTTGCCCGTGGGAATGTTGAAGAACACCGCCGGAGAACCAGGCGCGTAGGCCCGATCTAGACGGTAGAATCCCTTGCGCTCGAACTGGATGATATCTCCCTCCTTAAGCTTGGCGACGTTGCCGTCGGCCACGGCATCCTCACGGAACTCGGTGTGAGGGTTAAGGAAATCCTCTAGCTTGTCATTCTCATCCAGCGAATCCTTAGTGAGCAGATGGTCAAAGTCGACGAGCTCAACGGGGACCAGTTCCTGGCCCTCGGTCGATAGCCACGTCACCTTCTTCTCGGTCTTCTTGAAGTCGCCTTCCAGGTGCAGCTCAAACTCGAGGTGGGTAACAACATCGCCGTCGGTAGTGATCTTGCGCACAATCGCGTTGCCCCAGCTCATAAGCGTGATCTCCTCGTCCTGCTTGAAGAGCTTCGCATCCTCCTGCTCCAGGACAATCGAGCCGCTGAATGCAACGGTCTTCATTCCCACGGCCGCGTTCTTAGCGTGTTTGGGTTTCTCCTCCGTATACGCCGCGGGGGCGCCCGTGATAGTCGCCTTAACCATGCCCTTGGTGATAATGGCTGTGTGGCGCGGGCTAACGGGGTCAATGTACTTCTTGTTGGTGTTCCAGATGAGATCCCAGCTGAAATTCGTGACCGCCTTAGACGGGCCTTGCTTGAGGATAAACTCGCGCAGCGCGGGGATGGTCATACCACGGCGGCGAATACCGCGAATGGTCGGGAAGCGCGGGTCGTCCCAGCCCCAGACAGTACCCGTCTGGACTAGCTTGGTCAACTTGCGCTTAGATAGCAGTGTACGGATAAAGTTCATCCGAGCAAAGTCCCAGACCTGAACGGAACGCAGCTTAAGCGTATCTAGCATCCACTGGTACTGCGGGTTGCGATCCCGATACTCTATCGTCCGAAGAGCGTGAGTAACACCTTCAATGGAATCTACTACGGGGCACGCAAAGTCGTAGGTCGGGTAGATCTTCCACTTGGTGCCCGTGCGGTGGTGGGGAGCTGGGTTGCAGCGGTACTATTCGTGGGAGTGAGTGTGAGTTTAATAAGCGCAGGGGAGATACTCACAATGACTGGGTCACGAAGTGCCTTGTTCTTGTCGTCGGGAGAGATCTTAGCACGAATGCACCACCGCAGACCTTCCGGAGTGCCCTCCTTCATCTCCTGAAGATGAGCCAAGCTCTCCTCCGGGGAGAGGTCACGGCGCTTGCTTGGAATACCGTCGAAACGTTGGGCGGACATAGTTTCCTTGTCGGTGTCATCTGCATAGGCATTTCCTTCCGAGATGATCTTCACGCAGTAGTCAAATAGCTCGTCGAAATAATCGCTCGTGTAGGTCATCTTGTTGGGCTTGATTCCCATGAGCTTGAGATCTTCAACAATGGCATCTTGGAACTCCTCCTTCTCGTTAGAGGGGTTGGTGTCATCAAACCGGAGAAGAAGGGTTCCATTGTACTTGTCATGCGCAAAGTAGTCGTTGAGCAGGGCGGCCTTGGCGTGTCCGATATGGAGATATCCGGAAGGTTCAGGCGGGAAACGAGTCACAACTCCCTGCTCGGTATTGCGGAGAGCAATGTCGTAGTTGCCGCCCTCCTTGGACTTGGCAGACTTCTTCTCCTTGGCGACTGCGTTCAAAGTCTCGGCGGCAGAAGAGGCCCACGGGCACAGGTCCTCCAAGAACTTGTACCAACGAGTCAGGTTCACAAGCGAGCCCTTCTTCAGGGCCGCAAGAGCGACTCGGTTTCCACGGAGGGCACCCCAGATGGCGATGTCCGGGGTAGAGAGAGAATATCCGACGATAAAGGAGCGTAGCATCAGATAGGCGTTCAGGCGTTGAAGAAGAGGATCAAGCGCCTTAAAGTCCAGAGTAGCAAAGGCGTCCAGTTGGGAGATCCACTCATCCTCCTATAGTGATTGCATTAGACAAAGTACATATAGATAGTATCCATGTACACAGTATCGCAGGCAAAAGACTCACCAGCTTCGTATCCTTGCTACGCAGGAAGGGAAAGTGAGTAAACAGCTCCTGGACGGCATTGCTAGTGCCAAACACCGAATTGGCGCCGCTGGTCAACTGGACAATGGCCTTGTCGCCCTCGTTCAGCATCGCAGTGTCCTCGCAGGTGATCTTGATGACTGGAGTGGAACGAGCCTCGTTGATCGAGGTGGCAATGAGCACCACGGGCAGCAAAGCTGCATGGTTGGCACGCGTGGCCACAGTCAATTCGAAGGACGCCATTGTAGTGGTGAGTTGAGTCACGAATGGGAACTATTTTTTGGAGGGGTTGATTGAACCCCCGGGGCTATATTTCTCCGGTGCCGATCAGCTTTCCGCCGAAAAACACGAGACCATCACGCTTCATCCTCTGCCAGTCGCCATGTCGTCCGCCAGCTCGCTGCTGCCAACCGCAGCACGCGGGATCCTCTCATCATGTCGCCTGCCTCTACGACAAGCATCAATGGCGCCTCTTTTCCCGGCCTTCCAGCAGGTCCGAGGCGCCAAGGGGAATGCTCAGAAGGGCAAGGGCAAAAACAAGGGGAAGGACAAGGCCGTTAAAGCGGACCGGAGAGGGCCGAGGGAGTTCAGACAGAAGAACCTGAAGGATATGGATCAGTTTGCCTTGTGCGATGCGATGCGGTATGTCCTCCCTTTTCCTCAACCCCGTAAAATTAAACTGACGTCCGGACCTGAAGATACCTTCGGGCCGCCGAAGTTGGCCGGGAGCCCACCAATTTGAAATACGAAGTGCATATCCGGCTACGAACGAGGAAAGACGGCCCCGTCATCCGCAACATGATCCGATTTCCGCACGCCGTCCAGACCGAGTCCCGGATTTGCGTCATCTGTCCCCCAGGGTCCAAGCACGCCAAGGACGCCCTGGCCGCGGGCGCGGTGATGGTCGGCGAAGATGAAGTGTTCAATGCCGTCAAGGAGGGCAAGATCGAGTTCGACCGCTGTCTCGCTCACCCAGACAGCTTGGCTGCGCTGAACAAGGCCGGTATGGGCCGCATCCTGGGTCCGCGTGGCCTGATGCCGAGCGCGAAGCAGGGGACGGTGGTGGATGATGTGGCCTCGCGCGTGGAGATGCTCCGCGGCGGTACGGTCTACCGGGAGCGTGATGCGGTGATTCGTCTCCCCATCGGCCAATTGGCCTTCTCGCCAGATCAATTGAGGGATAACCTGCGCACCACCATTGAGCAGGTCAAGAAGGACGCCTCGGGGCTCAACGATCGCATCAACAAGGAGATCCACGAGGTGGTGCTGAGCTCGACTCACGGCCCCGGCTTCAGTCTTAACGGAGACTTCCAGTCCGAGACTTCCCCGGATCCCGCTCTCTTGACCGGGTTGTAAAATACTTACTTGGCTTTCTTATATCCTCCGTGTTGGCGTGTACAGATATATTTTTTTGTGTCATATTAGGAAAATGGACTTGGTGTATGATGGTATCATTTCTGTTCGATAAATAGTTGCTGAGAACGCCGATGCTATGCAATATATCTCTTTCCCTCTTCTAATGTAGAGTCCTATACCTTGAGGTTCTTTAGCGCAGCGACAGCACTAACGTCCTCACCCATGAGGTCGTAAAGACGCAAAACCACCATGGTCCGGCCATCGCGTTTTTGGCCCGCATGGCTGGCCTGTTCCAGCGCCGTTTTCAAATCTAGCAGCAGCGTCGATTGGACCTTTGAGACGCGCGACTGTTGCGCAACCAAGAACGGATGCTCCGCGCCCACGCGCTCCACCAGTGACTTGAGATAGACGAATTTCTGGATGTGCCGCTCCAGTCGCTTCAGCGACACGGTAGCCGTTCCATCGACCACCTCCTCGTCGTCGCTATCCCCGCTGTCACTGGCATAAACATCCGACTCCGAGGCCGACTCGTCCGCATCATCCGGAGAGGACTTGTCCTTATCCCCAATCATCAAGCGGTGCTCCAGCTCCTCCACACGATCCGCATAATCCAACAAGTCCTTCCCAATGTCCGCCTGTGTTCGTAGCCTCCTCTTCTCATTCAACAGTGCCTCCACCTCCTGCCGCCGCGCTTCGACCTTGTCCCGGATATTCTGCACATCGCGCTGAAAAGCCAACACGCCCACTTTCACCCCTTCGGTCTTCTCCTCGCCGCCTCGCAGCGCTCCACCCAGTGAGAGGAAATCCTGGTAGTTTTGGTTGACCAGGTCCAGCAGCTCCTTGTTCAGCTGCTGCTCTAGGCCGCGCAGTTCCTGGCGCAGATCCTCGAGGCTTTGGTGTCTGTTTGTGAGGGATGATAGGAAAGTTGCTGGGTCGAAGTCTGCGGCGAGGAATGAGGCGCGCGAGAGTGGTTGCGGGAAGGGGAGTCCGGAGGGGTCTTCGTCGAAATCGGAGGCGGACTCGTCTGAGTCGCCGAACTGAAGGGAGGTGTCAGTGACGATTATTCGAGACCATTGGGGTGGATTTTTCAAGAGTGCATACATTAAACGGATTCATGGTGTGTTGTTGGCTAGCGGAAAGAGTGGCCAAGCAGTCAACTGCGGATGCGGGTAGTGTATCCCCGTGACCATCTAGTTATCTTGAGCTATGTTTACTAACCAACTTCCTTCTGCCAACACATACATGCATTATTTTCTCGCCAACGTGTTCGCTGTCTCTGCTCGGGCCTTCGCTTACTGAGTTACATCGCATCCAATTATGGATGGCCGGCTGTCCTCCTCGTCCTTTCCCCGCCAAGGATGGCCCCGACTGTCGCCGTCTTATGCGCCGCCAGCAGTCCAAACACCCCGAGAATACCAGTCCACCACCACCGAGAGAGAAACGCAGCATCGTACACAACGGGAAGAACCCCCTAATTCAGGCCCAGCATCATCATCATCATCAAGAAAACCAAAAGCAGCTACCCAGCCCGTGCTCGTAAGAGCGTATTCCGGCGATGCGGAGCAGAACAAAGCCAAAGACAAAGACAGCACTCCCAAGATGTCACCGCGCCGTCTACTCCCATTCACCACGGGTTCGAAGGGATCCGCTTCCTCGTCCCGCGCACCACCGGGCCCTCCACGCCCGTCGGACTTTGACTTCAGCATCGAGAGCATCCTGCAAGCCATTGACCCCGAGATCCGGGGCACCTTGGATTCCATTGCAGAGATCTGCGGACGCAGCAAGCTAAGTCTCTCCAATGAATACGACAGCCACATCGCACCGCTGGGGGAGATCCGCGCGGCGTCCGGTGGTGGTCTCGTGCCTGTTGAGGAGGTGAGTTCCAGTGCTGAGCGGCACGCCGATGAGGGCGGAATGGTCACCTTTGATGATGAGCACGCTGCAGCTGCGCGGGCCAATCCGGGGAGGGAACTGCATCCGTTCTCGTTCTATGGGTATGTCGAAAGTCTGCGGCAGTCGGCTGCTGCGCATGCGCAGTCTGAGGTTCGGCGGTCGATCGATGCGCAGCTAAGTGCTACGCCTGGGATGGGTCTGCCATCTTTACCGGTGACGAGAGAGTTTGCGTCCAAGCCGAAGAATTCGAGCAAAGATCTGCTGGCGAAGCATCCGGAGCATGAGGGCCATCAAACCCAGGTCACTCCGGCTGTGGTTTCGGAGGTCTATCTCGATGCTCAGGCCGATGATGCGGGGTCAGCCAATAATGGGCCTCATGTTCCTGTTGCGGCGGGCACTCCAGCGGCCAAGGACGGACCGAGTGGTCCAGAGGTGGTGCGCTCTCTTCTTGGGTGGTTGAGATGGAGTGCTCGATTTGCTGGGCCAGATCTCTCGCCGCGATTGCAGTCTGCAGAGGGCAAACTGCGCGCTATGCTGGCCGATGAAAATCCCAGTCTACTAGCATGATGATATTTAACGACTTATGACTGCAGATGATGATGATAATGATCTATGTCTCTTATTTATATATTATATCCCCTGATCCACGAGATGACAATGCTTCCCAGTCCAATTAATGCAATGCAACCCGGATCAGATCTAGATATCGCTTCAAACTTTTCCTCTCCCAACTTAGGATCCAGCAGTGTTCTCCACACCACCTATTACCGTGCGCGCAAACTCCTCAAAGCGAGCATAAGACCAGCACTCCTTGTACCGATCAACGAGTAAGCGCGTATCCTCTTCCTGCTCAACGACCTGCTTTCCCTGTTCTTCTTCATCATCTTCACTATCTCCACCCTCCATCCTTCCCTCTACCAACTCTCCGAACTTCACATCAACAGGGACTCTCCCCAAAAACGGAATCCCCAATTCCCTTGCCATGACCTCCCCCCGCCGCTCGAGAACAAATTACTCACCTCCCCACAGCAAGGACACGCATACCCCGACATATTCTCAATAACCCCCAGGACGGGGATGCTAGTCTTCACGCAGAAGTTAGCCTCCTTGCGCACGTCCGATGTCGCAACCGCCTGTGGCGTGGTGACCAGCACCGCGCCGGCGAGGCGGGGGATCTGATTCTGGGCCGCGGTGGCCGCGTCGGCGGTGGAGAGGGTGAGGAGCTGTTCTGCGAGCGCGATGTGCTCGTCGCTTGTTCCCGGTGGCGTGTCGATCAGCAGGTAATCGGTGGGACCCCAATAAACGTCGGAAAGGAATTGCCGGATCATGGCTGTCTTTTTGGGGCCGCGCCAGATGACTGCGTCGCCGCGGTCGCGGAGGAGGAAGCCCAGGGACATGCAGCGGAGGGAGCCGCGGGGTAGTTGTGCTTGTGATTGTGATTGTGGTGAGTCTGTTGAGGATAAGGAGGGAGGGTGCACATCGACCGGTAACCACCCGCCTGGTGCTTGGGTGATCTTCGCATCTTCGAGGCCGACGAGGCGCGGGATCGAGGGTCCGGTCAGGTCGATGTCGAGGATACCCACGGATTTGCCTTGGAGGGAGAGGGCTAGCGCGAGCTGGAGGGTGACAGAGGATTTGCCGACGCCTCCTTTGCCGGAGAGAACCTGGAGAGGAATCCGTTGTCAGTCTTGCTGTACGCAGTTTCAAGATGTCGGCGTTATCGATAAGCGGAGGGGCTGCGGCGTTGTTTCTCTTTTTTTTCTTTTTTTTGGTTTGATCTTTTCTGCGCGCAGTGATGGGTAGGCAGTGCGTGTTGGCTCGAAGAGGATACGCACCAGCACGACGTTTTTGACTCCGTCCAGAGGCATGTTGAGAGAGTCAATGGCCGCGACACAAGAGAGATGTAGGAAGAAATCCAGATCAAGTGGGGAGCCGCCTCTCGGGAATCGGGCTTGCTTATCAATCGCATGTCGCCTGACTAACGACCTAACTATATCTTGAAAGAACACAGTTATTGACACCGTAGAGAAAGATGACCGGGTTCAGGATTCATCTAAGCTATGGTTCCTCCTCCTGTACCAAATAATGCGCCATGGTAATCCATTCTACTTGCCCCCTTTTGCACACCAACCCACCCATCCTACTGCCACTTCTGCACCACAACACCTCCGCGCTTGAACTCAGGCATATCGCCCAGCGCAGTACTCCGGTCATCAAGCTCCTTGCTGGGGAAAGTCGTCATCAGCACCCATGGGCGCATCTGCGAATCCGGGCTGGCAGCCGTCACAAACTCGTAGACATCTCCCACGGTATGCGAAGCGTTGAACCGCGATGTCAGACGCGTGCCATCCCCAAGACGCACCTGCAGCGTCAAAGTCGGCTGTGATTCATCAACCTCTGGTTTCGGCGCTTCGTCTGTAGTGGAGGGTCCCGGTGCAGCAGCGGCAGGCGCAGCAGCAGGCTGCTGGGTTTGAACCCCAGGTGTCGGGCTGCCGAGACGCTGTCCGGCTCCCGAGAAAGGTTTGTACTTGGGCTTTGGTTTCACGTATTTCTCTTCATGCTGCTTCAGATCCACGTCCACTTCTTGTCCGGGTTGCACGTTCATAATCGAGAGCGGTGCACGGCCTTGGCGGATGCCTTCCAGAATCTCAGCATTGCGGGGGTCGTCGGATCGATACAGCTCGCCGTCATCGACAGAAAAGCCATCCGCCCAGAAGTGGAGGGTCCGCTGAACGCGCTGTGCGCGCTGTGGCGCAGGCGCGGTGGTGTCTTCGATCACTCGGCTGGGGGCTTCGTCTCCGCCCAAGGTACGGGCAGTGCCTGTAAAGGCTGATCGTCGCGCCTCGGGCTCGTCTGACGGTGGTGGCTGCGCTCTATACTAATAGATTAGAAACGCCACGAAATCCCACGGTGTCCCGCCCAGTGTAAAATCTTACCGGCGTGCTTTCTCAAGAATCTTCTTCTTCAGATCGTCCGGATTTTGCACCGCCAGTCCCGACTTCTCACCCCCCGCAAAGAAATCCTGGTCCGTGGAGTCGTCTTCGTCCGATGAGTTCCCACCACTACCTCCAGATGCAAAGTCTCCCAATGTCGCGAACTTCTTCTTCGGTGGTGCGCGCGAGGCAGACGAAGACTCGGCGGCGGCGGAGGACCCAGCCGGTGCGGCATTTCCGCCTAGCGATCGGCCGCCAGCAGACGCACCAGAAGATCCCTCTGCACCCAGTTGTCTGCCGCCCCCAGTGTTCATGCCCTGTAGGGCCTCATCCTGCTCGGCGAAGAACTCGGTCACGGCGGCTTCCATGTCCCACCCATTGGCGCTGAGATATTCCTGGGCCTGAAATATGAGATTAGCAATAGCAACCACAGGTACAGGCCACACCGAGCTCACCTCTGCAGGTTGTGTGCCGGTCATGGCACAGAACTGAGACACGACCTCGTCGTTCTCGGCGGGGTTGTGGTCCATGCTTGAGCTGGGCAGATGGGTGTATTTGTGAAGGTAGAGCTGAAGGTGTTTCCGGAAAGTCTTGGGAGAGTTGTAAGGTCAGTCACAGGAGTCGAAAGCAGCAGCAACGAAGCGCAAACACGGAGTTGGAGAGAGGACAGATCCAAAGAGGCAGGTACGTCACAGCCATTGGTCAGCCGGACCACGGGATCTTCCGCCCCGAGCTATACAGAGAAGTTCGTACTAACTGTGAGTGGTATACGACCTAGAGCGTTGGGAATGCAAGCTGCTGGTAGTTGATCTGGAACTAGTGGATTGGATACTTGAAAGAATCTATGTATCGGGGTAAAGTTGGCTTGATGTGTGTAGTTTCTACTCAAATATATACATCGGCAATTCCCGGTGTCTAGGATCTTTGCTTGCCGCAACTGGAGATCTTCAATATTCCAGCCTGCAACAATATATTCCCAAGTCTCTTCCGATGCCTATAAGTTTTTGGTTAGTTCATCGGTTTTAAGAATATCTCCATTGGTACCCCCAAGTAGTTGCAGTGCAGTCAGTGGTGCTGACATAAGACAATCCCTGTATTCCGCCCACCAAAAGTGGATGGCATCATCTTCGCAACAACAGGCGCCAAATAATAACCGCGGATACACGATATCTGACCCGGGTTATCGCTCTGCCTCAATTCCCCTGCCACATCATTTCATCCGACCAAACAATCAATCAATACCCCAGTTTGTAACAGACCTTTTCCCGGCTGCCGCCCTCCGCCACCGATGTCCTCCGACGCCCCGTCCAGCTCGCCAGTCGAGCTGTACGACTCAACCATGACGGTCCCTTCCGACTCAGAGAACTACTCAGCAAATAACGAACTGTCAGACCAATCAAGCACGAGCTCCCCCTTGATCCTGTACAAGCCGCCGACCTTCTGGAGCGTTCTCCGGGGCGCCGCAATCAACCTCTTTCTGCCGTTCGTGAACGGCCTAATGCTGGGATTTGGCGAGCTCTTTGCACATGAGGCTGCTTTCCGGCTAGGATGGACCAACACCAAGGTATGCAAATCATCCCACCGTGTTGGTGGCAGTGGGCTGACCACTCCTTCTACAGATCTTCCCCACATACCGCCGCACACATCCCATCGGCCCCGGTGTCGACGTCCGGGAATTGCCTTGGGAGCGGAAACGCGGTGCTGCGGCTGGATTGAACGATACCGCGTCCCTAGAGTGACCGGGAGAGGGAAAAGAAAGTAACCAACTGCATCTACAAGGGAGCACCACAAAAATGCATGCTTAGCTTCTGTTTCTTGGATATAATGTGTGTACATAGACCGATGGGCAACGGGCGCAATGGATTGCATGCCATATAACTACCGTATCTATTCCTGCATATAGTTACCTACTTGTAGACATATCCCCTGTATCTTTTCGTGCCTGGATCCTTGATTTCCCGCACACCGCCCGGCAGAAAAGTCTCCCAAACGAACAAACGGCAGGAGGCTCTTCTCCATTCCTTCTCTCCCCAAACATTCGTTCGGACTACAATAATGCTGGGAGTTGGCCTGAAAGGGTCTGCTACCGCTGTCTCTGCACGGCAGCGGGTGGTCGCAGCTTATCGATCTACTCGATCGGTTCGTTCCCAACCTGCGCTCGGAACCAATTGGCATTTGACTGACTGTTTTTATCTCGCAGATATCGTCGTTCCGGCCACAGGGTCTGCGTACTTCAGGCCTGCGCAGCCAATTGACTCCCGTTACCTCGCGCAATGTGCCATGGCGAACGGCTGCCGTGGTCGCAGGGCCAGCCGCTGTCCGATTCAACTCGACCTCTTCCGACGCCGTGACGGACAAGATCCCCCAGGAGACCGCCCCTCCAAGCGGCCCTGATGTTTCTGATCTGTGGGCGACCGATATCACGTCAGTTCCCGAGAGAGTTGGGTACCTCAAGGAACTGGGCCTAGACTATGGCTGGGGACCGTCGTCAATTATGCAATGGATGATCGAGCACATCCATCTCTGGACCGACTTGCCGTGGTGGGCGAGTATCGTGAGTACTGGTCTCTTAGTGCGTTTGGCACTGTTGAAACCGATGCTCGATGCCTCCGACACAGCCGCCCGGGTCCACAACGTGAAGCCTATCCTCAACCCACTCAAGAATGAGATGATGCGTGCCGGAAGTGAGGGCAGACAGATGGACATGCATATGAAAAGAGCGGAGATCAAACGCATTCAGGCAGAACATGGCATTGTACCGTACAAGTCTTTCATCCCCATGCTTCAGATCCCACTGGCATATGGTTGCTTCCGCGTCATCCGCGGCATGACCTCCCTACCGGTGCCCGGCCTGGCCAACGAGTCCGTGGGCTGGCTTACCGACTTGACTGTCAGCGATCCGACTTTCATTCTGCCAGCGGCGACCAGTGCTATGATGTTTCTGACATTCAAGGTTAGTCGTGGTGCGCGTTGTTTCTCCTTGATTGCCATTGCTGACTATGAATGCAACAGCGAGGCGGCGAGACCGGTACAATGGACATCATGAGTACTGGACCTGGCAAAGCTATGATGTACGGTCTGCCGGGTATTTCTTTGATATTCATGTCGTTTTTCCCAAGTGCGCTGCAACTCTACTTTGTGGCAACGGGCGCGTTCGCATTCTGCCAGGCACGTATCATGACCAACAAAAGTTTTCGGACGTATATGAAGATGGCGATTACCAAGAACCATAAAGCCTCCGATGTTGAAGACATCGAGGTTCTTCAACATAGCAAGGGTCTCCAGCTCTTGCAACAGCGGCTTGCACAGGAAAAGGCCCAAGCTGCAGAGCCCGCGAAAGCCGAATTGGAGACCAGTGAAAGGAAATCCAGCGCAATCGACGGCTGGATGAACAACTTCAAGGGCTATCAACAGAAAATGGGACAGCAAATGAAAGAAGGGATTCGCGAGTTCCAAGGAAAGGGGCCTGCCACCAATGCTGACGGCTCAAAGGCGCCGGCGCCACGGTTGAGCGAAACTGCCCGCAAGCGGGCCGAGGACTACGAGCGCACACAGCGAGAACAGGACGACGCCGAGCGCGACCAGCGTAACTTCGAGCGGCAACAAGCTCACCAGCGATATCTCGACCAGCAGAAGGAGAAGGCAAAGAAAGGGCTGGACCAGCAGATCAAACAGGCTGCTGCGAAGAAAGCCAAGCGGAACGGGCGTGGGAAACGCAGCTGATCGGCTTGGTCGATGTGTATAAACAAACTGTAAATTAGGTGACGGTAAGGCTGCTCAAAAGGGCTAAGAAGCAGAATACCGATTTGTGAGAATCTTATTTGCATTATGTATCAAACTTCAGCGTAATCACAGTACACGTTGGTGAATTTGGATGTGCTACTACAACAGATCGTCCCTTGGATCAGTGTCCCCCAGTCCGTCTCCCACTGCCGCACCAACACCTTCGCAGCACCTGTGTGCTCAAGTCGTGCCGCATCCCACATAACATAACCCCAGCGACGGATGTCATCTTGCACGTAGTATCCATACAGGTTGCTATAGGATCCCCGCCACCTGCTTCCATCGTCCGGCAGGTACGAGCTCTCTGATTCAATCTCACGATCTCATCGAGATGCGTTATCGTTGACTGCTTTTGAAAGCCCAGAATACCTTCACTAAATCATCCAAAGACACACCACTAGTGCGTCTAAAAAAAGGGTCTCTCCTCATAGTATCCCCGCCAAAAGCCTGATGTACCACCCTAGCAGCGTGTTCCGAATCACTCGGCCCATACACATGCGCGGAAAACCCTTTCTCAATATTCCCCTGAGTGACAGCAGGCCATGGCGCCCGGGCGTAACAAAACTTGAACACGTCTTCTGCAAAAGCGATTCCCACTTCCTGACTGCGCGAGGGTGAGGAACTCGCGAAAGTTCTGGAATAAATATGCCCGATCGAGGATATGGTTTGCGCGGCCTTTCATGGGTCCTTCCCAGGGATTGCCTTCGTTGAAGTAGTATACAAATGCGCTGAAGAACCATCCTCGGGCAAATGATAGAGTTGGGGCGAAGAGTGCAATGCCATTTATGTAGTTGAGGATTGAGGATGTGGCTGTCTCGTCAGGGGTATCTTCGGTGATGCCGTAGGCATTCAGAATGCGGTCTGCCTCGTTTGGATGCTCGGAGAGTACGGTGCGAATTACACTAATGAATCGATTTGCAGCGTTGCTCTTCATGTCAAGATCCAATTAGTCAAATAAGCCGAAGCCAAGGTTTCAGGGGGCTCTGACATCCATCTGAGCATCGCCAAACATCAAATGCGGACACCAAACCTTGCCCTGCGGAACATAAGAGCCTAGGGGTTCAACTTCGCTAAAGGTAAGCTCCGCTAAAACCAAGTTCTCATCAACGCGTGGGGCCGTCAGAAGTGAAGACGGAAGTTTGGAGACAATATCGTCAACAGGTCTCTCCAAAAGTGTTTTGACTCACTCTTCCGGCGTGACATCCATCAAGCCTAGTGCCTCAATAACACTGAGATAGTTGTGGCCATGTACTTCATCGGGCTGTGGTGGGACGAGAAAGAAAGTGCCACTCATAACTATCGCGCCTTTGAAAAGCTGTTCGGCACCGTCAAGGAGGTACGTCACCGGTGCTGTGATGTGTCAATAAACTATATCATTGTTCTCAATTGCCCTGAGGGAAATCATGATTTTATGATTCTACAGGCAGCTGTATTTCGGCATGCTAATCAACACAATAAGCAATCACTAGCATGACAGCCATCATGCACTATGACCGCCAGAATACAAGTCCCATACTCATCACCCCAGAAGGTGTCAATCCGATCTGTAGCCCGCATACCGTCTCATTGTCTTCTTGCTCTCGAGAAGAAGATCTTTGCTTGAAAAAGTTGTTTTCCACACGTCCGAGTTTTAAATCTCGATTCAGGTTGGTGATGAACTGGCAGTGGCGCATGTCAGTTTCAAGTCAAGGGGGTAACTGCTGCAGTGAAGCTACTTACTTGGACACCACATAACTTGGTCGGACTATGCAACATGTCGACCAGGAGGGCAAAGTGGAGCTTCAGGTCTGTGATTTTCTCGTTCTCTTGCATTTTGATGACGCTGGCTTTCATGTCAGGGGGCGTTTGACCCACAGTCTCCGTTGACCCATCCGCGAAGGTGAAAGTGAAACCCTTGAATCCTCGACCACTAGGGTCCGGTGCATCTGGTGTTCCAAACGCTTCGATGGAATTTACGCGCCTTTCGGACAAGTTGAGGAAGTATACAGGCGCGTCGAACACCGGAGGGTCCAGACCCAAATTGTCAAAATCCACGCACGATGGATCGCCGTCTCGTGCCGAGAGCGAGTACTGCTCGAGGGGCCAGTCTAGAGGCGGATGACGACCGACCCATCGAGTGTTAGTCTGAAGGTCCATGGCAGATCGCTGTACGCGGTTGACCGGTGTGAGCGTTTTGTTTGCGGTGATGATTCCAAATGTTGTAATTGTTTCAGCCTGTATCGAATGATTAGTATGACACCATAACGACCAAGAGCTTTTGGGTGGACTGACATTGAACTCTCCCGTGATCCCTATAACTTCCATGCCGGACTCGGCGCGCAAAATTTGTATCACGTCTGGGCCATTCCATGCGCCTATGGTATATGCGGGCTCCGAGGGGCGATTTTCCACCACTATTCCTAGGCCGAACATTGCAGATTTGTCTTGGTTCCGCTGGAGTGAGCCAAAAGACATCATCACTGCGATGATAGGCGTATTTGAATTAAAGGAAATCAGATCAACTATGTCGCTGCGATTTCCGAAGAGGCGCCCTGAACCTTCATGTGCTAGTTGGAATTCGACACCGACGATGTGACCATCACGTGCGAAGTGAGCAATGATCTCTCTGAGTTGACCCTTCTTGTCCAGGTCCGGAATAAGATACGCGTCCGAGGTAACATCTGGCCTGTGTTCAAATGGTCGTGAGACAGACGTGGCTTTGCGAGAGGTCAAGCTTCGCAGATCAGTCCAAATAGAACCAGCTTGCTGTCGGGCAGTCGCATGTCGGATCTCAATATCCTCCAAAATTCGCTCACAATTGAGCCACACGTGTCGCTTGTTCTTCAAGCCTGGCGAATCTTTGGTCAACGTGCTTTTGTCCCCTCCAATATTCTCGGTAAGCGCCCATGAACCAGATTTGGAAGCTTCCTTCAGTTGGTGTAAGAGCTGATTGAAAAAGATATGGCCGCCTTTTTGGCTAGTTGTCTGTGCGAGCACCATGTCTGCACACCAAGGCTCATCGAAGAACAAGCGAGATTTCCAGAAGCTTTGAGGCAGGTCTCCTCTAAGTTCTCTAAAAGCTGAGCTTGCCAAGAAGAGGTCCAACACTGAGGCAGTTGAAAGCATTTCCAAAAGCGGAGCCTCAATTCCGATGGAATAGATGAGAAGCAATCCTTTCGTAGTGGTTGGCTCGAGTTTGCGTTCATATCTGTTTCATCTAATGGGAATTTAAATGACAGCCCGGGCCATATAGCCCTCGAGGCTTCGTCGATCACGAAGTTGAAACTGAAGGGCCTTTTTGGATCCATGACTGTCCACTTTACTTTTGATCAGATTACAGGCTACAGGAAGTTCGATCGAGAGATAGTCACATACCTCAGAGCCATCCACTGGATTCCAATTTTCAAAATCTTCGTAGCGAGACTCTATGCCAAAAGACTTGCCATGTCCCCAGTCAAAGAACTCATCGTCACGTTCTTCCTTGTGAAGCTTGAAGAACAGCAAAAGATCACGCAGATCAAACCGCCTTGTAGAGGAAACCGTGTCATGATGGACTGTCTTCAGCATGCCTAGGCAGGTGTCATGGATGAGAAATCCCTTTGATTTACCTAGGGCGAAGAGAGAGACCTGGTCATCTCGTGGATAGAAGAAGGAGCATCCTTGGGTATCGACACCGTTGCCCTACGTGTTAGCCAAATGTCAGCCTCGAAAAATGCAACATGAGAATAGGCAGAGGAACGTACAAGAGGAGTCAATATATCCAGATCTTCCGAGTCATCTGGACTGAACAGGTGAGCGCCAGGAATGTGCGGCGCTATCATGCGCAGATCTTCGAGCCACTAAAGAACGAAATCATGGCTTAATTAATCAACATTGCCTTGCAGACGACCTTGCAGACGGTGTGAAAAGTGGTTCAATTACATTGGTGTCCGACCGAGAGACCAATTTTGAGTCGTAGCCTTTCAAAGAATCACAGCGCTCAAAATGCATGTCGCGGCTCTGGTTCTCGACGTCAGGGCCGACTTACGCCCGTTATGAAGCGTCTCCCATTCGGCTCATACTCACTGGATGACCTTGCGCTGCGCAGTTGCAATAATCAGAAAAAAGATCGTGCTCTTCGTCGAAGTCTTCATCTTGCTCATTGATATCAGTGAATGTCGAATGCTTCAAGAGCCCCCGGGTCGTAGCAGGGCCGCCGCATATATTGCAGAAGAAAGGTTCCGGTTCCGTGAAACTCGTTACCGTGCCTTCGGCACGGGCGGCGATAGTGGAAAGCAAGTGCTCGAAGGAAGACATTGTGTAGTGAGGCTACTGCCGAAACAAGGTGATATAAGAGCCTGAGATTGCGTCTGCAAAAATCATTATTATTAAGTCTCTAGTACCCTTCGCTTGTTCGCACTAGTAATAAGATCTGCTTTTGTTTCCTCGTTTTGGTCTCTGAAACTCCCCGTCCCGCCTCACCACGTTTCCCGCTGTTGAACCCCCGTTCAAGATCTTAGTTGTAAAACGAGAACTTGTGAATTTTTTATTGCGGTAATTTTTGCCCATCACGATTTGGTGCCCCATAGGTCGTCATGTAACCCTCTCCTTGGTCTCTCCGACACGGAAGACCCGGCCTCGCCCCATTCACATTCCCATCCTGACCCCACCTCCTTCCTCACTCTATTTTACCCCGTCTCTACAATTTTGTCCGTCCAACTAGACTCCCCTCTACCCTTCTTTTCTGTCGCAATCCGCGGACAATATCTTGTTGCCTCCATCTCCAAACTCTTAGGATCGGGATTATTTTGCGTGATGCAGGCCGTGGCCCAAACGCTTGTTCAATTTCAAGAGGATCTGCGCTGAAATTTTCTTGTCGCATGTTTGCAGGGCCCTGAGTTGTTAAGATACTATAAAACAGTCTATAATTATGTGCAAACTTCTATCAAGCCGAAACACGCCATCATACTTGGAACTCCCCTGGTTTATTTGCCTTATTTATGTCTTTTGCAATGCTTACTTCCATCAGTGGTTCACGACATCTAGATGTTTGTCAAGCGCAGCGAGGATATGTAGCCAGGTTTGCGGGCTATTCTATAGTTCTTCAGCTCTGTGTATTCGGTTGATGGCACCGTATAACAATCGAATCTTCTACCATAAGAGTCTTATCCCATATCGTACCGGCCGCAGGGCACAGTTTTGGCTTGGCCCGGGGACATCTACACTAGCAGATCCGACTTTATAAGTACGTCTGCGACTCTAGAAGCGCTTAGCTACGGAGAATTTGGGCTCATAACTGTCAAAATCTAGACAGTATGACGTCCCAAAATGGAAGTGTAATTCACGAATAAATAAATCTCTGATCTAAAATGAATCTAGGGATGCCTAACTATAGAAAGGTGTAATAAATAGACCAATACAAAATAGGAAATAGTCGGCGAGAGTCCTATTCTTGTCGACTAGAAATACAACAAAGCCATGGAAATAATGGAACAAATTACAGTGGCCTGCCAATGCGATGGATGAGGCCAGCCAAGAGTCCCACTATCGTAGCCGATGTTCATGGAATTGTTTCCAAATCCTACCGTTCTGAGCCAAGTAGGTATTGTGCTGGTGTTGATCAGGGTATCCGAGTGGTAAGGATCGATGACCCCGAAGAAGGAAATCTTGATCTTTCCCTGTACCTCGTCCGGGCCTAATGGTCTATTTTCGCCACCTTCAGTATAGGAAATCCGATACGGAAAAGCAGCGGCATATCCATTCACAGTGAAATTTGCTGTTTGGCTGTCAAATTGTAAGTCAACTGCTGGATATGTCCAGTTCCAACCAGCATTGTTAGAGTAGTCGCGATCAACGAGCGACATGTAATTTTGGCTACTTTCAATAGAAGTATTGCAGGATTTTAAATTCATATCGAAAGTATCCAGCATTGCGTCTGCGTCCTTAATAGCGCCCGTCAGGTTATATGGAGCCTCCTTGGCGCTAGACGATAAGGTCAAGTTGAAGATATCATTGACGGAACGATCGGAGGGCGAGTCGCTTTCAGTCGTGGTATTTTTCGCATATATTACCCAGCTATAAGGAATTAGACAGAGAGCTTTATGTGAGTCATAGTCGAGTATGGCTTACGGGGCAGACTCGAGATACCATCGAAGGGATGGTGAGGTCCATAGAAACGTCGTGGTGGAGCTTGAGAGCGATGAAAGATTTGTGCTCGAGTTCCAGAGGGTTAAAAGCGCATTCACTGGGTTTGAGCCCACATTGTAAGGACCTCTTTCGGTAATAGCGAGGATAGATTGAAACTCCGCAGTGAACGTTTGACCTTGGAGATTTTGGCATACTGATGTGTTGGTTGTCGATCCGATCTCGGGTGTGAACTCTATCTTCGTTGTGGCATTGTAATATCTGTACCAGGGATTTAGTAACGGCGAAGCAGGGAATGAACTTTGACATACGATCCAACCCAAAGGTAGATATCACTCAGCCCTGTCACATTGCTTGGTCGGAACGGAAGAGATGCATTGTACTTCGGATCTGCTTTCGCAGAGACCATTAAGGGGTGAATAAGGCAACAAGCAAGGACCTGCAGGACTCGTCTCATCGTGCTGTCGAAGAAGAAGAAAAGTGGGTTTGACGCGAATTTCTTGTACAACTTAGAACTGAATGCGCAACAAAAGAAATAGCCAGAATAAAACTTGCTGGTGAAAGAGCCAGTGCAGACCCAAACTACTTACGAGGCCGGGGCGAACGGTAAAGGCCGAACTAGCCGGGACCGGGTCACACTAGGCGCCGGACAGGTCCAGTGAGACTAGGGCCGGATGGTGGCTAGCGACAATGTGACGCTGGACAGTTAGGATAGGGAGCATGCGACCCTGGCGGGTGGCCAAGCTAGTTAGTTTCTTTGGGTGGATAATGTAACTGGAGCTAATCTTTAGTTAGGACTTCAATTGAATCCAATGTGAATCACTTTTTAGATCATTCGCCTACCCCGACCCAAAATTCTGGTCGGATGCTACCCCGCAGCTGACTGGAATTGAAAGCCGACTTGTCCCTCTGGCCATCGTCTGCAGTATCAGGGGTAGTGCCAGACATGAACCTCATGATCAGGGCTGAGCACGGCTCGTTCCGAGCTAGCACATGGCTAAGCCCTGCTTAACCCAGCTCGCCCTAGACTCCAGCCTACAGCCTACCGCAGAAGAGGCGAACGGCAATGGTGTTTGCTTAACCCCCAAAATTGGGCACCACAAGATTGAACGCCTCACAGTGCACGAAGCAAGCTGGAGAATACTGAGGCTTAGTTTGACTTCGCCGAGTTTCTCGGCTAGCCCCTAATTTAGTATTCCGTATGAGAGGGTCCGATGCGTCATATTTTCAGGGAAAAGGGTCATCGGGGTCAGATCCCTATTCGTTTTTCACTAACTTATTCTGTGCAAATCCACTCAACGCTAGGCCCACCTCGGTAATGGACTTCGCTAAAGTATTCCGATACAAACGTAATATCCCAGCCTTTTAAACTTTCCCTTGTATAGATATACACCAAAACGGGAAGGGTCCTGGATTTGGCTGCAGAGGTGGGCCAATTCTGGCATCAAAAGCGGCCATTTTCGGCATCAATTTCACAGGTCCTCAGATCCTAGCGGTAGATTAGGACACTGTACTTGGCATTATCTCTTTATCTTACTAGTTTTGCCTTTGAACGGGAGGGAATATATAGTTTCCACTCAATCTATATTGGCTATTTACCCAAGTGTTCTGGGTATAGCTACTTGCTTGAAACAAAATGGATAAACATGTACAGCATATCTTCATTTCCTAGTTGACAAAGGTGGGAAATTGAGAGAATGAAATCCTCATAAAAAATGGGGAAGGCGAGAGTATAAAACTATTTACGTTCAAGTATATGCAAAGGCGTCGACAGAGCCCACTTTGTTAAGGATGGACCACACGGGCCAAGAGGGAACAGAACAAGAAGCCAAAATGACTCGGAAGGAGAAGGAAGATTAAGTCGTCGGCATGGGGAGCGACGTAGCAGGCAAAGGCAAAGAAGCCTTCTCATCATTCTGAAACATACAATCCTCCAATTTCTGAGTCAACCGAGCACAGAATGGATCAACGTAGGCAGTCCATAACGAAGCGAGGGCATATACGAGCGCGATCCAGATAGGGATGGAGATCGCCACAACCCAAGGCGGACGCAGCTGGATCCAGTCGCGGTCATCGTCCGTACCAGCCTCAGGTCCCTCCCAGGGCTGGCCCGTGATACCGTACAGCATCCAGACGAGCACAACGCGGAGCATGGTGCCGTGGATTAGATACACAGCGAAGCTTTGCTTGCCTAGCCAGAGTAGCAAGCGGCTGGCTAAGAACTCCTTTGTTGATGGGGACAGGTAGATGGCCAGGATGATCATGTCAACGCCCACCGCTGTGTATCGCTTGCCAATATTGACGTCTGGCGGGAAGGCGTAGTGTGCGACCTTGAGCATGATATTCGACCACTGCGCCCATTCTGGGTGCTCGCCTGGGTATGAGGCGATGAGGAGTCCTGCGAGGGTGAGGGGGATGCTGAGCGCTTTGCGGGCCCAGCGGTGGTTCTCGATCCAGTCTTTTAGGGTGGCGGAGTAGCTGAGGTCGCTGAGGAGCATGCCGTAGACGGCTTGCATTTGGAACGTTTCTGCGGTGATTCGTGTTAGAGGCTATCCATCTTGTTTGGCAGACTCTGCAGGAAAATACTCACCGACGTCCTTTGCGCCGTCCTGATGGAAGTAAAGAATCATGCCCACATAGATCAGCATTCGGAACCGGAACTTCACGAACATGGTCGCAGTGAGCAGGATATAGATGAGCATCGACGCAAGTAGCAGCGGCAGAAGTGCCCACTGGTGATCATCATAGGCCATAAAACCGGTCGTCCAGACAGACAAGAAGTTCTTCGGCAAGCGAATCAGTTCATCCAAGAAGGTTGGCGCTAGGTCAGGGGATGCATAGCGACACCACCAGCAGTCGGACCGATTAGCAACAACAAACCCGCCAAACTGAGCAACCGTCCAGGATATAAGTAGTGCAATAGTCGCCGGAAGAATCAGGCGTGGCGGTCTGCGGAAGGCGCTTTTGGCTATCGTCGTGAACGCTGCCTGTTTGTCTCCAGCTCGTGAGAGTTTGATCGGTTTCAGCGCGCAGACGTATCCAGTCAGAAAAGCAAAGATGGTGACTCCAATCCGGCCTTGCCAGGGGATGCGCAGGACAACCCACTGCAGGACCCGTGGCGAGGCATTTTCATTGTCGCGTGGTGAGAACAGGTCGTAGTCCCATGCTCGGGCGAGATGGGTCATGACAACCAGGAAGGAGGCGATGCCTCGGAGTCCCTATATTTCATAGTGGTATGGTTAGCACGTCATTCAGAGACAAGGTTAGGAGAAGCATACATCAATCCACTTGACGCTCTTTCGTGGATCTCCTTTCGCGGAAGAATCACCTCCGCTCCAAGGTAGGGCTGTCGGAACCGCATCGGCCAGACGAGTATATAGATAGGATGGTTGAAGGAATGACATTGTTTCAATAAAAAAGGCCACGGACTCATGAACAGAACATCCAGGGGACAGAGTAGACAGTCAAACGAGTGGCAGATCCCACGAGAGCCAAGACGAGAAGGAGATATCTATATCTCTCTTGCTTCTACCCAAGGATGAGATAGACAGACAGTAAAGAGTGGACAGGATAGACAAGAATTGCAACCAAACTGTGGCAAACCTGAGCAGCCAACCGCTATTATTATCAGAGACCAACACACGAGAACATGACCGCCAAGAAAGAAGGGGCTCGGGTATACCGTGAACCCACACTCGGGCAGGCAAGTGCAGCGCATGACCCTATACCCAGAACGAATGGCGCCATTCAAATCTAATCATGTCGCAGGAATCCATAAGGCCAAGAGGCTATTAGCCATAGTAGTGACTGGCCCTGAGCTGACGACATTTAATGTGTCTATTGCAGATACGCCCGAAATCCTCAGAATTGAGACAAGCCCCCGCCAAGAAGGGTCTTGGACCTTGGCGGATTTCCTGGGCGTGTAGGTTCTCGCGGTACCCTACGTGCGATGGATCCTGGGTGGCTGAGTGAGCCGTACCGATCCGATGGTCGATTCATTTCAGTCTCTCCATCCCGCTCCCATGCCCTCTGCACGACGGACAAGAGAATAACGTGACCGGGAGAAAGCGATCTATCCAGTGGGATACGGTAATTTCATACCCTGGTCGATAGCTGGGCTATCACAGCCGGTGGCAGCCGTGAAAGAAATTGGACTCGCTGACCGGAATAGCGTCATCCATGCAGCGTTCGACGTGCTCGTCCGAGGTCGAGCACGCCAGCTACGCTGCTCGTGATCAGTTTCAATAAAGGCCACCAAACGAGCTGAGTCCCCAGAATAGCTGCAACGCCCGTCGGGCAAGCGGCTGATGATGAAGGTCAACTGTCGTTCATTTGATCAGGGGCCAAAGAAGTGCCAAGACATCGTGCAGCCCTAACTTGAGCTTCTTTTTCCAGCACGTGAAAAATAATGAACTTTGTGCATTTACAATAACACAATAACAAAAAAATGAAAATTCCCGGCGTTATCAGACAAGGTAGAACAGACGATACAAATCTCTGCTGGCTCGTGTTCTCTTTCTCAGCCGAGCCGCCAAGGACCCCGACATGTGCTAGATGCTGCGGCATGCAACTCCTATATAACAAGGCTTATTCCTCGCCGATAGGCAGGACAGATGGCAGACACGAATAGAAAAAAAATAGACAGATCCAGCTGCCAGTAATTCATTTAAAATGGTGTAAAAAAGATGCCAAACCCGATCGAATACGCCTATGCAATAGGAGATACAAAAGACTAAGCGAACATCGTTCACCGGAACAGACGTCGCCCACCAACACTCCCCGAGTTCCATGTGAATGCACCCCGGACCCCAAGATTCTCCAAACTCAGACCTGAAAACCCGACGCCGCCGTCCTCTCCATCACGCTTGGTACGGCGGAGCGCCTCGCGAAGATGAGAAGGTAGAAGCTGCCCGCGGTGGGGGTTGGGAGGGGGCCGGAACTCGCGCTTCGGGCGCACAGGAGCGGGACTCGCACTTGAGTCGGCCGCGCCAGCGTTCTTGGGCGCGGGAGAGGAAGATGGAGGAGAGGCGGAATCGTGAGCCGGAGCGGCAGATGGTGTTGTCCGGTCTTGACCGGGAGACTCTTTCTTGACCCCATTGTTAACAGGCGCTGATCCCGATCCGGGAGCAGGAGTGGTTGCTGCTACTTTGGAACTCGTAGCGGCGGCCTCTTCGGCCTCGAATGCAGCACGCGAAGCCTGATCATATGCAACGGCCCATTCGGCCTGGACCGTGCGGGCCTTCTCGATGATTTCGCCCGCGAAGACTTTGGTAAACCCGTTCACGGTAGTAACCACACTAGCCGGCACGGACTGCGACAGCGCATGATTGACAATGCGACGAAGCGATTCTTTCCGCAGCTTCGCCCGCTTGAACAGATCGTACCGCTCAGATTGCATCGGATTGAACGCATCAACCAAAACCCTGCAAGGCAGTCAGATCAAGGCCACCCATTTATCATATCCAAAGCAAGAAAACTTACGCCAGGTTCTTCTTCTCTGCCTCTGTATCAGTAGTTCCTTCCTCCCTCCCCAACAGCTCCCCCTCATCATCATCCTCATCCTCATCACCGTCATCAGGACCTCCCGCACCACCGCTAGGGCCAGCTCTAACCGAGCCCTCAACATCAACAGAGCCCATGCGCGAGGCATCTTCGCGCTCGCGCTCTTTCTCCGCTTTGCTCTTTCGGCCGCGCTTCTTGCCGCGTGCCGCGCCGGCAAATACCCCGTCCGCGCTCATGTCGCCGATACTCCCCGTGAAACTGCCTGTCACACTGCCGGCATCGCTGGTTGCGGTGAGTCCGCGCTCGGCGTCGGCGGAGGTTGGGAAGGAGGTTTGGCGGAGGGGGTGCATGCGAGACTTCTTGGCGAAGGGCTGGGAAGCCGAGGATATGGACTGTCGTTTGAGAGGGTTTGTTGGGGTCTGGTAAGGTGGTGGTGATGACATTTTGAGAGGTTGTGCTGTGTCGAGTATGTGCTAATAATGTGGTGAGGATATCGTGGGCGCTTGGGAGGTGCGCTGTTGCGCCAGGCTGGAGAGCCGAGCAGCTGGATCGCAATTAGAATGTCAGTGATAAGCCCTTCAGATGACGCTGATAGTCGAGTCGTACGAAGAAGTTGGAAAGAAATCAATGTGTCTGAAGAAGCAAGTCAGTCTGGTTGCTGGAGCTTGCGAACCGGCGATAACGATCGGGATATGGTTGTTCCGTTTATCGTCGCCTCAGGCATCAACGGGTTCTACTGTGTTAAAATTGGCTTTCCTGCCCATCATCTGTGAATCATTCACAGAAACATTATATTGACAAACAGGGCTTTTCCACTAATGCAGAAACTACAATGCCTACAAGGGAGGATAATTCGACGCACAGATCAGACCCGAAGAAGACGAGTTGACCACAAATAGACAGTGGATTAAACAAAAGAGTGACAAGGGTAAGAATCACTAAATCACAAGAATAAAAACCGAAAATCACATCGCTGATGTCATCATTCAGCAGAAGCATGAACAAGAAGACCGAATCAAAAAAGGAACGAGTCGCTCAGAGCGGAAAGATGCGATACGATGCGATGGGTGTACGATAGCGAGAAGACACACGAACAAATATTAGAACTGTGCAAAAACCTGAAAAAGGGAACAGGTGAAGAGATGCTCGAACGGTTGGAAAGGTCCGAAAACGAGGAGAGAATGAATGGGCACGCTGCTCAAGAGGGAAAACCGAATTTCCCTAGCAGAGACCCTTCTCCCCGATCCGCGGAGCTCCCCCTTTCCAGTCGTTGCGTTCGTAGTAGCGGAACACAAGATCATAGCCGTTCAGATCGTGGACGATGCGGTCGACACGACGGTAGCCCTCGACATGCTCCATCTTGGCGGAGCGACGAAGAGCCTGGCGGTTCACATAGGCCGTGTCATGGAAGCCGTTGCCTTCGTCAGCAGCCTCGTCGATAGCAGGCTTGGTCTCAAACAGCGTCACGCTGAAACGGCCAGGCTTGAAGATGTTGACAACCTGCTGGATGATACCGGCGGTGGTCTGGCCGGTCTGCGAGTGCTGGACGTTAGTCTCGAAGGAGGCGTACGAGCACTGCGGCTCCGGCGTGACGTGCACGGTGAAGTAGTGGGTCGGAGCCTTGCCGTCCGGTGCGGGCACCACGCCGTTGGCGGAGAAGCCGCACGGAGTGAACAGGTAGGCGTCGATACGCGCATCCGGGAACTGAGTCTTTGGGTAGACGTCAGACAGACCGCAGGACTCGGAGACGACGGTACCCAGAGCGTGACCCTCAGTGGTCAGCTCAGTGGGCAGGAAACGATCGCCGTCAAGGTCCGGATCATCCAGATCGGAGGAAGTGTTGCTGAAGACGTCCACGTGCTCGGCACCTTCATCCTTGTCGAAGTTGCGGTAGTTCTTCTCGGCCACGGCAGTGGCATTGTCCAGATAGAATTGCTTCGCGTTGTCCTCATCAAGATCGGTCATCAGGACCTCCAGAGTCTCATCATACTCCTCACAGTCCACGGCGTGGACTTTCTCACCAGGGAAGCTGAGGATTTTGGTTTCGGTCAGAGCCTCCTCGACCTCCTGAGGGCTGGCGGGGGGCGTGAGCAGAGTGTGAGGCTCAGTCAGGTACAGGTACCAGTGCTCTCCGTTCATCTTGCCAATCATGTAAGCGCTTCCATTGAGGAACAGCTTGTCCATGTTTCGGACCTCATCACGCCAGCTGCGGTGAGGGCCACGCTGACGGTCAGGGAACAGATAGTTCTTTCGGCTGTAAAAGACCCGGTAAGGTGCCGCAGCCACAGAGATCCCACGGGAAGGCGGAGCCGTCGCGCGCGGGAACCCTGCAAACAGGGTGGCAATCTCCAAGATGCGAGGCAGTCCCGACAGCAGGGTCGTGGTGCCGCAAGTCTTGAGAATCAGCTTGTGCGGCCAGACGAACATGCTAGATTCCGACAGGAGGTAGGCGTCCACATCCTCAGATGAGACAACCGAGAGCACCTGGCAGTTGACCAAATCCAGCATGTCCTTCCAGATCTCACCGGGCACTTTCTTCAGGCCCTCCGGACCAGCGTCACCCAGGTCAGTGGCAGAGGGGGCGAACCACACCTCCAGCAGCTTCTCAGGACCTACAGACAATTAGAACGAAGTTTGTTAGGACCTATTGAAATTTGACATACCTTCAAAGGCCCCGCTCGAGTCTAGGTCCTGAGTGGCTTCATGATTGATGGTCAAAGAAGTGCCAGCAAATGAGGACGGAGAAGTGGTATAGTTCTTGGGAATACCGATGTAAACCATATCCGTGGATGCAGCCGTGGCTGATATAGCAGTAAAGATGAAAGAAGAGAAATGTGTGACGTCGGACCGCCCTGGAGATTGGTTGACGGAAGGAGAGAATTGAGGCTGTAGAAGCACTGTCTACTTACCCAGACGAACAAGGGGGCGGTGTCCGTCTGAGAAGAGAAGGCCCTGGGGCAAAAAAGTGAGCCTGGCGGACAGGCCAGGCAGGTGGTGCGTGTAGACAAGCCTGAAGGGCTGCTAAGGAGGGATGAAGGCGAACGAGAGGAGAAAGACGCTCCGCAAAGGAATTGTGACTATCAGTCGAGTACCCTCGTGCTGGAAGATACCGATACCGGTCAAAGTATCAGTACTAGCAGACGAGAGTATCTGCTTTCTTGAAAAAGGGTGAGTTGAAAATCGTTGAGAAACGAGGTTGAGTTGTGACGACCAGAGGGAGTCACGTTATCGAGGCCTGAAGGGAAGCCGAGATATTAGCAGACGTTGTCTTTTCGGGTGACACCATCACTGCGTGTGAGAAGTCTCTTCTAATGCTGCTCCTAGAGAACATTGAAACATTGACCAACCAGCTCGACCCGGAGCTGTAGGCCAGAAGAGACATTTTTTTTTTGCTCGGTCTGGGCAGGCAGCAGAGAAAAGGCACTTACTTCGCGGGCTTGGACAGGAATCGTAGAAGATCCTTTGGGCTCATGGAAGGCAGAAAAAGAAATTCGGCTTAGAGCAGCACGATGTAGCAAGGAGCCACAATCGTGAACATCGGCGGGATGTTAGGGTAGGAGGAGACTGTCGGTCAGACTCTCACAAACTAGCAAGCCAATGAGTGCCCGAGGAAAAAAGAAGTCGAATAGAATTCGACCGGTCAGGTAGACGCAAACAGAGAAGACGAGTCTCTCTGTTCTTTATACGGTGGTGGGAAAGTTGGTCAAAATAAGACCGTTGCAAGAGAAGAATGTTTGCAAGGTGGTTGGGTTGGTAATTCGGAAAAATATCTGTGGGCCCGCTGATGTCGTGGGGCGTAGCGGATGGAGAGCAGACTCTGTTAGACGGAGGGGCGTCAGTCCGGGTCTCCGGGATTGTGTTTGGAGGGGAAAGAAGAAGTTGGTGTCCCAACAGCTGAGAAAGGGTTACACACCGAATTGCCAAGTCAATAATAGATGCAGCTGTGTGCAGATCGTCTGGGACGATATTGACTGAGATCGAGAGGAAAAAACGGGCAGGAAATGCCTCATGCGACCAGGCCGGAGAAAGGGCGGTGGATCGTGGCAGAAAAATTAGCTTCCCGCAATTGTGACCGTGTCCCTGGAGGTGACGTAGTTGGACAGTCGATTGTAGCTAGACTATGCTTCTACTATACAGCACAATTGAACACTGGTTGCACCGTCAATGGCCATGATTATCATTGGTATAGTCTCGAAGCAAGCTGGCAATATTCTGCACCCAATGCCCCTTCGCAAAAAATCAAACACAAAGATCAAGTAAGCAGGTCCCCACATAACGCCCGAGTTGTACAACGCCATGCCGCATGGACCCCCAACCACCCGAAAAAAAGGCCGCTTTCGACTAGATCCAAAGAAGAAAGTTTAGGCTTCGAGAATTACATACGCCAGCTGCACCTCTCCTGCCTCTGCGATCTTGTCCGCGATCAGATCGCCCACCTTATCCACCAGGCGCGACCGGAGCTCCTCCGTGACAGCGGCGGGGTGGCCATTAGTCAACGACGGGCGGCCATCATTGAGCGATGCCAACACGGCCAGAAGGGCAACGAGCACCCGCTCGGCGGCCGGCCGCCGAGCGCTATCTTCGAGGCCATCGGCGAGTAATTTGGAATAGTCGCTCAGATTGGGAAGGATGAGCACGCGCACCACCTCCGCACCCCCAACAGCGTGCAGCCCGATGATAGCTCCGTAGTGGGCGCCGAACGGCTTGGAAGGATCGAGCCAGTTCTTCAGACACGAGCGTACCAGTCGCGGTTTTAGCATATGAGAGGAATGAGAGTATTTTTTTGCAATGAGGCCGAGTAGCGAGGCGGCCAAATCGCGCAGGGCGAATTGCTCGGCCACGTCATTCGCTCCGCCGAGTTGGCGGCCGATCAGACAGGTCAAGATGGAGGGGACAAGGGATGCGATCTGGGAGCGGTCAGCTTCACGGGGGTTCCTGCAGGAGCTTAAGAAGCCCGACTTACATAGGGGTCCACATAGAGGGACTTGTTCTGGACCAGGGCCTCGGCCATATGCATGACCTGAGTCAACACGAAGATATTCTTGAGGCTGTGGGTGACCTTTTCGGCGATAAACTGCACAAAGTACGGCACCAGCTGGTGCAGACCCGGATCCTCGCGCAGGCTGGAATATCCAGACGTCCGATAATCCTCGCTGGTCTCGTCTAGGAAGGCACTGCAGACTTTCTCGAAATACAGCTGCAGTTCTTTGGAGAGCACATGTTTCACCAACGGCTTGACAGCGACGTCGCCCGTGCCACTCATGGCAGCTAGCGTGGAGTTCGCATTGGGGCCCTTTGACACTAGCTCGAGGTTGCGCGAATCCGCGGCGGTCGGATTCTGGGGAATGGACGGCTGCACGCCTTCAACGGCGAGCCAATGGGCTGTGAGAGATATCATTAGCGACTCTTCTTCCCGTTCTTCCGGTGAGACTCACCAGTAAAAGAAACCTCGCGAGGCACCCGGGGCAAGGGCGCATTTATCAACTTCTCAAAATCCACCTCCTCATCCTCGACATAGAAAAGCGGTTGCCCAGGTCCCAGCGACGCCTCCCCAAACCGCAGCGGGCGAATAGATTCGTAGCCGTACAGCGGCTCCACGTCGAGCACCCGTAGCGCAAGGGAGATATCTTGCGTTGTAAGTACGGTGCGCTTGCCGTGGCGCATGGACTTGAGAGCCTCCTCCAGCACTTGCGCTACCCGGTACTCGACATCGCGCGCCAGGTTCTCGGTCACATCGTGGTTGAGGTTGGCGATGCCGACGGACTCGGCCACGTCGCGGATATTGTCTGGGTTCCAGACGGACATCGTGGAGGCCGTTATATGCAGTGCGAAGTAACGAAGAGCAAAGTGAATGGCTCGGGGATGCAATAAGGCGGGCGAGGCGAGATGAAGATGATACGCGGAGGCGAGTCGACTTCTGGCGGATGGATGATTCAGACACAGAGTCGCATGCTGGGAAATCGCTCGGTAGGAATTCAAACAGAGTCCAGAATAAAAGAGCCCCGTGATAGCGTAGCGACAGGGAGGGAGCGACCAGAACAATAGCAAGGACGTGAAGGTGAATGTGAATTGGACCAAGTCAAAGCGCGGCCGAATTGCGCAGGCGGCTGCGTGGTCTCCCGTAGAAGTAGCCCTAACCGCAAAGCTGTTGGCCCAGCTACATCCTACACTCTGAGAGCGTGCTTCACCACCGGATCACAGAGCTCAACTATTGTTGACTAAAAACTAATGATGATCTTATTTTTTTTACTCTGAAGAAGATCAATTTTTGAACTGGATTCGTATCAACCTCCCGTTTTCGAACTAGGATATCAAACCCCTTCTTTGACCGCTTTTTCCTTAAAAGGCATGGCATTGAGGATTTGCATTTGAGTTTGAAGAACTCGCATCAGACCAATATGCATCATTGAATCTGCGTTTTCCTCTCCCCTGGGCAAATCCAAGCGATTCAAAATCTTCCTAATTGAGCATCTGCACCAACCGCACTGATGACAGTGTCGAAGCCAGAAAGTTTATTCGCGAGATCTTGGATGCTATCGTTGAGAATACCTGCCACACAGATCTTCACATTCTGATCTCGCAGGATCTGCACTCTAGGCGATTCGGCCGATGAAGGACGGATGAGAGCGGAAGCATCCTGTCATTAGAGTAGCAACGACCCTAGTCATCGTCGCTGCCCATTTTGCATGATGGAACGGTGGTAGAGAACACAAAATATCCACTTTCCAACAGAACGTTTAGAATAGACGTTCTGTCTCACCTGCAGCACCCAGGATCATAACCTTTTGTTTTGTCATATTTGTGGCGGGGCGGGGAGGGGCGGCGTTGGGAAACACTATACAATCCGCCCCAGTCAGGTCTGGAGTAATGCCAAAATTTCTCCAACACCTGTCCAGCAATGTGCTCGATAGCTCCTTTTATATGGACGACCTTGATCTATGAAACTACATTTCAGCTTCATTATTTACTCGTTCGGACTCCAAGGTTCCGAGTGAATTTGTAACCAATCGTGTGGGATGCCGTTATGCTTTCCCCGGCCCGACGGCTCATCTTGTATCCGTCCCTGCCTTTGTTGATCCAAAGAAAAAAGGTTACCATGGGAGTTGAGTTGAGATTCAATAGTGGGCGACTCACACCGTGGCCCTGAAGCTGATCGTTGAGGTGGGGGCTTTCCCGTGCCCTTTAATCCCAAATCGGTGAAAGTAGTTTTCGCTGCATTCTATATCTCTCTCTAAACCCTATACATAAGGGATATGGTGGCAAGAGCTTATGTAGGTCGCTAGATCAAAGAGTTCAATTATGGACTACAGGCTAATAATAATAATTGGTCCTGATAGGATCAATCACAGAGCGAAAGAGGGTCATCCACCACTCGGGTATCTCAACTCAACGCATTGGCTCGCAAAGACAGACAGAGAGAAAGCGCACCTATTTGACCTCGGGGGCAGCCGGAGTGACCTCCTCGGTCACAGTGGACACATCATCCTTGGCCGGCTCCTCCTTGGCCGGCTCATCATCCTTGGCGAGCTCGGCATCCTTGGCATGCACTTCAGGGGTAGTTTTCGTTTCAGGTTCAGGTTCAGCAGGCTCAGCTACAGCCGTCTGTGCATGATCCCTAGCCACGATACCCGTATCGTCCTCCAACGCCAAAGACCTCGCCCCCTCCGACAGCTCGGGACCCTTCCCGCCATAGACCGTCGGGATCTGCGCCGCAATAGCAGCCGGGAACTCGCGCGCCAGATTGATGCCGTTCGAGATCGGGTGGAACTTGCGGGTGGTGTTGCGGCTCAGGATGAGCTTCATGGCGGAGAACATCCAGCCCATGATCGCGGGGACGTTGACGAAGAACTTCTCGCGCAGTAGCTCTGGGTATGCGGTCGAGAATACCTCGATTGTTTTCTTGGTGGCGGCCCGTACGGTGGGGTCCATTCGTAGGAACTTCACGTTCAGGTAGTCGTGGACTTGGTACATCTGGTACGGATCCTCGCCGTCGTAGTCGATCACGCTCGTGGCGTCTTTCATCTTCAGATCTTGCACCGCGAGCTCCATGAGCGCGACGCGCCATCTGATGAACCTGCACGAGATTAGTCTCTCGTCATACCTGACAACTAGGGGGAGACTCCATACTCATCCAGATTTTCAAAAGTTGCAGGCATGTCCTTGACAGCACCATAGATATTCCACGTAAACACCAGCGGCCGCCCGTTCTCCTCGTACTTCGTCACGAATCCGAGTCCCTCGAACTTGAGCTTGCTATACTTGCCCGTAGAGACCAACGCCAGTGGTTCCATCTCCTTGCGCCACGCGAGCGCCTTGCGGAGCTGCTCCTCCGCTGCCTGGAGGTTGCCGTCGTTGGCGCGCAGGAACTTGATCAGCACGTTGACGGTGGGCACGTCGTCGCGGCCCTTGAGGTGCACACCCCACATCTCATCGTGGCCGGTGCTGGCGAGGAGGGTGGGCAGCTTTTCGAAGAATGGCACCAGGTCTGGGTTCTTGACAAGGTATGCGGGCTGCTCATCAGGCTTGGCCGCTGCAGAAGTCGCAGCGTCGGCGCCGGTGGTATTGTTGGCCTCGTCGGTCTTGGGTGCGATGGTTTCCTCGCTTGCGTCCTGCTCGGTGGGCTGCTCGCTGCTGCCCTGCACCACATCCTGCGTTGCCGGCTGAGGCTCCGCGGGAACCGTCTCTTCAGGCTTTTGGTCTGCCATGGTTGGGTGAGAGAGGTGGGAAGGAGAAGTAAACCAAAGGGGTGGTGGTACCGGGGGCCGGGGGTGCACATAAATAGTTAGTCCACGGTTGCCTTGTCAATCAATCTCGTTTATCAATCAGCTCTAGGTCTTTCCCGCGCGGGCCCCACTTTGTTCCCGATGTTTGTATGCTCGATTCGCAATTGCTCTACAGGCTGAAGCTCGCCCTGTACGTCTCGACTCGGCAGTAGGCTCGAGGCCAATTGCTTATCTATGATGATGATGAATTGGATGTCTCAATCTGTATCTCTGCGGAACAGGAAACACAAAATGTGGACATGAAGAACAGAATGACGGACCAGGAAAAGACATGCGCTGGGGAATATACAAAGAAGGGAATAATTGGAAGAAGAGCGACATTAGAATTATCAAACCGAAGCAGCAAACCCAATGCCTATTGTCCACCGTTCCGGAAATGCGAGGGGATCTGAGGAACGGCGGGTGGGGGACCAGACTCGGTATCGTCCTCGTCTTCTTCCATTTCATCTTCCGGGTGACTAGGGCCACATTAGCAATGGGTAGAATGATCATCCACAGCCACATCGACTCACGCAAGAAGTTCCTTGATATTCTTCATCTCATAGTGCATCTTCCGCCGTTTCTCGAACTGACGGTGCTTCTCCCTCGCCTCCTCGCTGTTCAGGAGGTGATCCCCACTCAGCGCCTCTCCCCCATTGGTCTCTGCGCCGACAACGACATGCTTCTCTCCCTTGTGCGAGTCCGTGCTAAGACTGCGGTCCCGGTAGATGCGCGGACCCTCCGGGCCGCCGGACATCGACTCCTCCGCCTCACCAAGCTCCAGATCAGGAATATCGTCTTCAGAGACGCCCTTCTTGTGATTTCCGCCCTTGGTCGTCTTATCCAGCTCGTCAACCACAACGTCCTGTGCGTCGATCAAGCTCTCCCTCGCCTCCTCCAGCCGCAGCTCCTCCTCATCTTCGGCGGGGTCGTAGTGCGGGGCATAGGGAGTCTTCGGTTCGTCGATCTTCATCTTCGCCGTCCGCTCCTGCTCCGTTAGGTACAAGTTCGCTTCGTCCCACTTCAGGCGTGGCGAGTTCTCGTCGTATGCGCTGACGACCGACTGGCGGCGGGAAGAGCCCGGCCCTGTCGTGGACGAGGACCGACGCCGGCCTGCGTTCTGCAGGGTGTTTTGGAGCGTGAGATCCTTGGTGTCGGGGGGCTCTGCGATTGTTGGGACGGAGGGTGGGGTAGTGGCTGTTTCACCGGCGCCAGCAGCAGAACCTGCCTGGAAGGAGTGGCTGTTTTTCAAGATGCCTGTAGGTGAAGGGCAGTGTTAGCTTAACTCGAATCCTGTTTTTTTGGGCTTCGCGACGAAACCCCGCTCTTGGGAGCGAGTATGACAACACAGAAAAGGCGGTTCTCACCCCTTGGCCGCTGGTGCACAGCGTCGGAGCTGTGCGCCTTAGCGGGCATGTGCGGTGCCGTAGTCATCGTGAATAGCTGGTGGAAAATAGGCACGTGTGCCGCCCGATTTGCAAGTGGACGAGGGAAGAGCAAAGGGGGCGAAGGCCCTTTTTTGTATATTTGTCGTAGTCAGACGAGATTGTCGGGGGCTGTTCAGCTGGTGTATCCCTGTGGTTTCGACTAGCAAGTAAATCTTGGTTGAATACGACGTGTCTCAGCCACGAGGAAGGGAGAGTGTGAGAAGTGAGAAGGGAGAAAGCAAGAAGTCGCGAAGTCAGCAGATGAAGGCGGTCGTTCAAGTGGGGCATGGTCTATCAGCTGCCGAAGAAATGACGTCGGTCATTGGAATGCGGGTTAACTTAGTGACTGATTATGTATGATTACTATGGAATGAATCGTTACCACTTCGTTATTCTCCCACAATCACCGGTCTGATGTCCCACTAGGATGCTGCTCCCTCAAAGCATCTTTGACGACATCCTCCCAGGAACGCCACTATGGATGGGATCAACCCAGGCAAAAAACAAACATGTAGACAGGAAATATATCGCCCGCAACGGGTATATAAAGAGACAAATAATCCAATAAAAATAAGCACGACAGCAACAGAATAATCCAGATTCAGGTAGCTGTGTTAGAAATAGATCGGAAAAACGACGATGGAGGGCTTGACGCTCACGCGATCGAATCAAACTCCTCGCGCTCACGGAGTCGATTGCACGCAAGAGTGTCGCCCCCAGTGGCGGACAACTGCATCCAGTGCAGAGCCAGGCACATGCTTTGGGGATCGGACTTGGAGTCCTTCCCACGGCGGTACATCATCTCTGCCTTGAAGGTGTCGCGCGGCAGGGTGAGAGGCAGAGTCACGCGTGGCAGCAGCTCGGGGTGGGTGAGGTAAAGGATGGCCAGCTCGCGTTGTGCCACTGGATTCCCCTCTTTGGCGGTGATGATCCACATCCCCGCGGCGTCCTCGATGGCATGGCCAGGTCGTGGATAGAACTCGGACCCGGGCAGCGGGTGGCGCCGATCCAGTTCCTGGGAGACGATCCGGTCTGCGATCTCGACCATGCTGTTGCAGATCTCGTCCTTGAGGCTCAGTGCAGCGAGGCCGAATTGGAGGAAGGCAGTGCCACGATCGGTCTTGTTCAGCTGATCGGAGGGGACGAATGCTGAGATGAATTGAAGGTCACGGAACAGGGTCTTGGGCTTGACTTCCAAAATCAGGTCGCGCAGGGTCGAGACGATCTGATCCTCGGACGGCGCCGAATAATCGGACTGTCGACAACCGGAAGTGACAGAATCTGGCGGCGACGAGGAGGTTGCGAATGAGTCGGACTGGGGGAGTGTGGCTCTGGCCGTTTCCGAGAAGCTGTGGCGTGTCGGCCGACGCGGGGCTCCACAGCGACCGTTTCGCATTCTTTCGCTTTCACTGGATGACGACCTCATCCTATTTGTCGAGCAGCTAGATTCATGTGACGAGATCAGCGATGCAATCACCAGCGATCGTAGATCCCGCAACGCATTGAGTTTGACGAAAGGGTTTCCATGACGCGAGAACACTTCGATCAGCCGATGGAACACCGTCTGATATGAAAAGCTCGACTGGCCATCCGCGTCAGAAGTGGCCAAGGGCATCCTGGACGATGTATCTTCGATGGGTGTTGTGCGTGCACGTCCACTCAGACAGTCGAGAGACCTGCTCCGCCGACCTTTCTGAGACCCATGCTGTTGATCCCCAAGGCATTTTGACCGCTCATCATAATCAGTATAGAACTTCTGGATCCGAGCTCGTCGCTCCATTTGCACACGGATCCGTGTCTGGTCCAGGGTGTTGGTAAACCAGGCATCCGTTTCGCTGCCGCAACTCCACACTGGAGAGCCCAAGTCGCTGAGAAGAAGACTGGTCAATGTCTGTCGCACGTCATCCATAAATAACGCTTTGCCATGTGTCTTGCGCTCGGCGCGTCGGGGGAGCCGAGTTGCAGCCTCACTGAACATGGAAGGTGGCCGTGAATATATGCTTGACGCGCTAGCAGCATACATGGGATGTCGATGAGGTGCCGACCAGAACGTGCTGCAGGTATCACCAGTCGATGTTGAAGCCGCACGACCAGGTGAGCCTCCAATCGAGACGACATCAACAGATGGAAGGTCACGCGGAAGTCTCCATTTATCAGAAAGGAGGCTCTGGATGGAGGACTTGCGGCCCAGCGACGGATTGTCCTGGGAGATGCGAGACATTGGATCTGGAGTGTACAGATTTGTCCCGTGCAGCTGAGAGGCGTGCATCGCATCTTCACTGGCGGTTGTTGAAGGTCGGGGAGTGTTAGGCATGGACAATCCCGGAAACGCGCGAGCCCCATATCCTTCGTATCTCCCCCTCTCTGCCTGAAAAAGTTCGCTCGCCCAAAGTACTGGCGCCTCGGCCATCGTCTCGCCCACCAGTCGGCTGATGCTATTCCGGACCTCGTAGCAAAACCGGTGGATTCTTTCCTCGCCCTTGCAGAAGTTTTCAATGCCGTTGTGGGACAGCCACTTTCGTGTCAGATCCACCTGCTCGTCAGAGAGCTTGTTCGGGCCGCCTTGGCTGCTGGGTGCTTTCATCATGTTCATTACCTGTAGTTCTGGTTTTTGGAACAGAGATCCACCCAGCGATCGGGCACCTCGGGACCGAGAATCGTCAGGAAAATGATTGAAGAGCCGTGCCGAGTAGATCATGGTCTTGAGAGCCATTGCCACATGTTTGGCATCTTCGTAGCGCATGGAATTTTTAACATCCGTCATATACCACATCTTATTGCGGACCCGGGAAACAGTTGTCATCAGGCCCTTGAGCTGTGTTTGTAGACGGCGTAGGCTTTGATCCAGAGAGACAAAATCAATTTCACAGCGCTCAATGACGACCTGGGAATGGTTCAAGGACCGAGTGCAGGAATCATGCATAGGACCCAGGATCCATGAATCATCCACGGACGTCGATGAAGGACCTCTCCCACTTTGTCGTATTTGCCGTGCGGCATTCCACCAGTAGTGAGCACCAACAAAGTCCGAGTCATGATGGCAAGACGCCATGGCCTGGTTGAACCGTTGCCGCAGGGACTTGTGAGTGGGTTGCAATGTTGACGAAAAAAGGTCATCATCAAGTTCACGAGGGCGGTTTTCCTTGACAAGTCGGACAATGGCCGTCTGTAATGCTTCATGGTTCTCTTCTAGTCCGAGGGTGGTGGACCGGGCATCATCGTCACTTTCAATGACAGATGATTTTGTGGGCCCAGACTTGCAATCCGGGAGCAAACTCCATGTGAGACCTTGGCCATCACTGGCAATAGAGAAGATTGTCCAATCTTCACCTGAAGGATGTTGTAGACTTAAACGCTCATCTGGGTCACCTAGGTCAGCCAGCTCGAAGAGGATACGAGCTGCTCTTTGGCCAAGACCGTCTTCGGGAAGCGAAGCAGTTCGTGCTTCGGTGGAGAACAAGGAACCATTGTATGAAGGGGGTTGTGAGCCTGGGTCATATTTGGAACGAAGGAGTCCGGGCTCAACCGGAGTCTCCTGATCGTGCCTATAGGGCTGTGAGAAGATAGAAGTCCAAGCAGGAACTCCTGTGGCCGTTGTGGGAGAATAGGGTTGACTACAAGATTTAGGAAAAAGAGCGACCAATAGTGTGTGGATATCCGCGGCGGACAGCATCAGGAAAGTCGAAGGGGAGTTTTTCAGAGGTGCCTGGACGGAAGCTATGGAAGCGTCCGTCGTGGAGTGTTCTGAAGATACGACCGTCTCGAATTGGGAAAGCATATTTTCCACACGGTCTCTGATTGCCGGACGTGGGATTGAAAAGTGGTGCCTATCATTATTTAGCAATCACTCCTAGGCGACAGCGTACAATATGGGTGGCAACAACGCACATGGAGCGTAGGACAGCGAAGACTTGGGAATAAGCCCGCAATCCCACCTGGCCCAGGAGTTTCTCCCGGGCGTCTTTTGCAATATGAAAGTCCAAAAGAAGACCATGACTCTGATGAAAGACAAGTTGTGGTCAGCCCGCAAAGCTTCAGCAGAGAAATGTGATCCCTACCTCCGGATATGTCAGGGCGCCATAGAGGAACTTGGAGAAGAACCACTGGACAAACAGAAATTCTAAAACGCGATGGCGGCCTTCCGGTGTGTCAATTTTGCGCAGGACAGCCTTGGCAAACTGCAGGATAGCATGAGGGAAGCCAGCGTCGGGATCGTCCAGAACTCGGAACAAGCCTTCCACAGCGGAAGCAAAGAACTCCTCTGCAACATCAGTCCGCAGAGGATCCAAGGGCTCTGCGGCAAAATCCAAGCCGGAAGGGGGGTCTATATGCTCCAAGAGGAAGGCACCAGTTTGCAATATGTCCATCAGGTAAAGCTCAAATTTGGGGCGGGCCTTCCAATTACTACCAGCGGCCCAAGTGGACAGGATCTGGCCGATGAGAGGATAATATCTACTGCTGCCTTGGGACATTAGCTGGGCGCAGACAGACGACCACACTTCCATGCGCAATCGGGATTCGGGCGTGTCTGGGTCCACGGGAGCAGCAAAGACGTTACAGAGCATAATCGGCAAGGGATCGGTCCTCTCAAACGCCAAGGCATGGTCCTTGAAGGAAGTAGAGTGAGCTTGGGCACGGCTCAAGAAGGACTGGGCTCGTCCGCGGGATGAAGAAGGATATGAAGGGTCGTTAGAATCCAACGCAGCAGCTGGAGAAGATAGTGCGGCAAGTTGGGATGAAGTCAGGCTGCGCAGGCGATTGATCAGAAACTGTGAATCCGAGCGAATCAGGCGCAATATTTCCAGAAGATCAGTCCTGGACTGGGGGCTCAACTGAAGAAAGAAATCCGAGGAATGATCCAACTCGGACACCGAGGAGGCTCCCGGCTGATCCAGGGAATCCTGCTGGTCATCGCGCCGGTCCGAGGTGCCACAAGATAGATGAAGATCATGGAACGCGTGGTACAGGGCAACGAAAGTGGTCTTGTCGTCATTTCTTAGGGCTTCAACCAGGCCGCGCTGTACAGAGACCCCGACGCGAATCATGCGCGCCGAGACGCCGATGGATACCTTGGTAGCGCGCAGACGCTTTTCCAGACGCTTTCGTTGGACCTGTTTCCGCTGGCTCTGGCGATACCGGGTGGCAAAATCCTCAAATGAAATATGGGAATATGAAGGAGTAGGCATAGGGGCCACTGGGGTCGTCCGGGACATGGGTTGCCCGTCGAGCGGCCCGATTCTGGGACTGGAACGGGCCGAGCCACCCGACTCGCCTGGTTCCATGGCTGGTTCATCCACAGGAACTTCCCCAGGCGGGGAGGGCGCTCGCATGCCCTCTAGGGATGGAGAGGGAGGCAGAGGGATTGAAGCGGGATCTTCTTGCGATGGCGGATCGCATGGTGGTGGGTCGCGCGTGGCGGCTTGGAGCAGATCAGATCTGGGGCAGGAATCACGACCGAGTGACCTACTGGTTAGACCGGTGGGATATGGGGACCGATGCTCCCCGTGAGTGTCCAGCATCTTGCCATGGACCGGCGTGGGCAGATGTCGCAAACTGCCCCTGTCGGCGGGCGGGTGCTTATCGCATGGCTCTATCGCGAGGATGACGATAGGCTGGTGGCGCATCCGACCGGGGCAAGGCGAAGAGGCAGGGTCCAGGATGAGGAGGAGGAGGAGGAGGAGGAGAAGGGGGGAGAGGGATGTGAAGAAGAAGGTGAAGCAGAAGGAAGTTGAGGCATGGAAGCCATGAAGAAAGAACAGGACAGCGACGAGGCAAGTGACTCGAATCGGACTGTTGCAGGAGATTGAGGGAGAGACGGGGGGTAGTGGGACTTTGCAGCGAAGTACTTTTGTGGGTGTCCGATCGAGGGAAAGTACACAGCCACAAGTACCAGTACAAGGATGCGCTGGCACACCTTGCTGCTGCACGACTGCGCTGGCACCCTCCTCCCCCACCGGCCGGCCAGCCACTCACGAGCGCGGGCGACAGCAATGCACTGGACTCGTCAGCAAATCATGCGCCCGCACTCTTCCCTTGCGTTTCTCATATTACCTATCACGTGGGTCTAGAACAGAGGGCGAGGATGGAGACCGATGGCAGTTAAGCATAACTATTCTTAGAGGGATCCACTATAAGAACGATTCTGCCGCAAGAATGTATGTTGAGATGGTTCGCCAGAGATAATCCACGCTTCTATCAACTCGAGCTAAGGCTGGAGAAACTGCGCACCAAAATCAATCCCAAAGTTATCCGAAAACTGCATAGCAACATCGTCCCAGGGCTGCTGTGTTGACCAGTAGTCATCGAGCCCGGACTGTCCAACCAAGGTGAGGTCTCCAGAGTCAAGCGCCATAGTAAATCCAGCATCGGTATCCCAAGGGGAGTTCATAAAGTGTTGATTTGACGGCATGGACTGCCGCCCTGACTGGTGCGGCTCAACGTCAATGACCAAGATCTGATCAATATATTGATCCACGGTGCGGTGGGGGTGGTGAGAAAGTTGTCGCCGGTAGACGTGGATCGTGTCCATGAAGGTGCTCAAAGTTTCGCCGTATAACTTGGACTGGGGACTTGCTTCGCCAATCTTATTCAGTACATCCAGAATTCCGGTGAATGGTTCTTGGAATTTACTGCTTGACTCGGCAACGAATAGGGAAAGTCCAAGAATCAGGCCAGCCCCAAACGCCCACGTCCTGATGGCTAGTTAGCTTGGGTGCGTTCAGAAAGCGAGACGTGTATTACTTGAACAAGCAGAGGTTTCCGAACGGCAACTCTGACATGGTGACGGCTAACGCAGTTTTCCGACACAACTCACCCATGTATGCTGCTGAGCTCGTACAGACTTGCGCAAGGCCGGCTTCGTTTGGATGTAGGTTGACACTAACCTCATGACCCGAGCGGCGACGGAGTTTGGACATTAAATGTCGAATCAAGAACGGACGAGTCACAAGCATCACGGAGAAATAGTAAACGCTGGAAACATGTATTCGACCGAGGAAAGTCTGACGATCCACAGAGCTCATCGACGAGCCGTCAGTGCAGGAGAACTGGCGAAGGCAAGGCGGAAGATTTTGACTCCATTGGCGTAGTTTTGTAAGGAGGTCCTCGGCGGTCGGTACGTCTATCATAACACCGCTGCTGAGTATGCGACAAATGTCGTCGAGAAGGGCTGCTCCTTTTAGTACAGCGTTAAACTCTGGGGTATTAGGGTCCAGCGGGAGCGAATGGAGATCATGTCGTGTCGCCCTCGGCACAGTACAAGGCCGTCCTAGGATGGAGCTTGTCAATACATCTAATATGCAAAGACTATGCCATATGCGTAGCCTGATGCAGGTATCAGCATAAAGGCGAACCCGGCAGGGATAATTGGTGTGAAAGTCAGGTACCTCAAGTTAGGCCCATCTGCTTGTTGCTGCAGACTTTGCCAGCTCATCGGCTGATGTAGACCGAGAACGATGGCCGCTTTCGATGCGACACCGAGGTATATAAAGGCTGCATTCTGCCGGCACGCTCCAAGAGTAAAAAAGGCTAGGAGGAGGAATATTCTGACCATGCTTATACTCGGGTAAGCTAACATGTCTTGGAAAGCTATAGAACGAGCTCGCGCAAAGTACACGGCTGCGCATTGTGCGTCTCGAGATCCCGACGCGCGTGCTTGTGCGCCTATCGCTACGGTCATCTCAAGCGCGGCAATATCATCCTTCTTCAGTTCTGTGCTGGGGTGCTCTGAGTTTCTCCCCATAAAGGCGTCTATCTCTGCCGGCGAAAAGAGATAGAGAAGGGCACTTGACTTGATGAACGTGTTAGCCCCAACGGCCATTTAAACTAGAAGGGGGAAGTGCTTGCAGCTTCCAAATAAGACTGGAATAACTCCCCCTTTTCTTCAACAGTCAAGTTCACTTCCACATTTGTGGCATCGTCAACGTCGATTTCCAGCTCGAGATTTTGGCGTTCACCGTCGGTGAAGGGCGTTGCACCGACGTACGGTCTTAGATTACGTCGCAAAAAGTCCAAGAATGACAATGAAGCGGTGTCTCCTATGTATACTAGAGAGACCGGTTTGCACACTGTCTTGACCGCGACCACAGGAAGACATACATTTCTCTCCATTTGACCCGGTCACGAATCTCTCACTCGGCGAGTCCTGGTCTGGGTCTTTGGTCCAGTCCCCACTGCCCGCATTAATGCTCTTTGGCGACGGTTGCACAATCAAAGGAGGATTACTCGTGTAAGATTCCGCCGAGTTAGACACAGTGGGGCTATCTGTCCACACACCGTGTGCAAATGGACGTAGTCGTGAAGGTGTTGGTCCCGAACTTCTGTCGCCGGCCCCAGGCCGGGCCCGGCGGCTCGGCGGGATGGAATAGATGCAGTTGCCGGGGTGGTTTCGTTTAATGCACGAAGCGCAGGGGACCTGCGAATCGCAGCGGATTTTGGACGCTTTGCATAAGTCGCAGGCCCTGGAAGAGCGTAATCGGTTCTCTGGTCGTACTCTCGCTCGAGGCATCGTAAAAGCACTCCTACGGGGTGAACGGGGCGGAACAAAGTGTCTGGTATTCAATGGTTCAATAGATGGCGGGGAAATCCTTGGGTCCTTGGAGACGGCGATAAGGGATTGTACCAAAAATGATATACCGCTAGCCTGGATAGCACCGTGCCTTTACTAGCTAATACAGTCTTTTCATATTGGACCGGATGATTGAGAGTGGTGATAGCAAAACCTTGGCCTCTGCAACCAACCACTACATAGAACTTGCTTAATGTGAAGGTATCTGGGTTATGGGAATTTGATTGAATTCCAGTCGGGGTTTACGACCCGATTGGATAGCAGCTACAATAATAATATGATGGCGCGGCATCAGTGTTATCGCTTGGAGATTGCCGTGCGGGGTTTTGCGGATCCGGCAAAGCGACAATCCAATTCTCTTATCTGGGAGAAGCGATCCTTTCACTGTCGTTTCAGGTGCTCGGGCCGTACACCTTTCTCCCAAGGTGCCCGGGGTGCAGCATCCGAGAATAGGAATTGATCTCTTCCCGTTAGGGCCGACAATGACCTCACTCTATCGCCCATGCCGTGGTATGTATGCCTGGTGATTTATTGAATTTCCGACAAGTTTGGCATCTAGCCTATTAATTGATCTGCCACGGGTTTCTCTTAATCTTTCAAGGAGCAGACAGATGCTGAACAGTCGTGCACCTTCAACTCATTCGCGTAGTGTAAACATGGAACAGCTCTACGCCAAAATTGCGGAGGATACGGTCAAGTTCAATCTTGGAGACGAGGAGGTTTGTAGCAAAGAATTACAACCAGAAAAAGCCAAGGTCGATGCTGACCTCAATTCCTCAGACTTGGCGACAGCTATTTGAGCCTTTTCAAAGCGACGAACAGCCACAAGACGTGGAAATTGTCAGAGACCAAAGATATGGACCAGCGGAGCGAAACCTCCTAGATGTCTATGTCCCTGCGGACAATTCGACAACTGGGAAGCCGGTCCTACTCTTCATGCATGGCGGCGGCTTCTTTTCTGGCGACAAGGGGTGGAGCGACAAGGTGGGGTTTGAAAGCTTTCGGATAGCTGTATCAACAAGATTGACCATATTACAGTACTGGGCCAATATCGGGAATTGGTTTGCGCAACATGGCATCGTCGTGGTAGTTGCTACCCATCAGCTCGTTTTCTACGATAAGAATGAGGCCAGCGACAAAGAGGTCCCGTCATCTGTGCAGTACCCAGCGGGGGCTGATGACATTCAGCTCATTCGAGAATGGATCTATAACAACATAGCGGCCAAAAAGTTCGGAGCTGGTTCCACTGACAAAGTTGTCCTGTTTGGGCATTCGTCTGGGGGTGCGCACATCGCCATGAACTTGTATGCCGCGGGTAAGTGACTGACAAGTTCTACTCTTTATTTACATAGTGAGAGCCGTTCAGACAACCAGCGCTAATACACTGAACTAGGAGATCCTCAGAGGGCCTCGTCGAAAGAGGTGTTCCCTCCCGTTGCCGGCGTCATATACCTGAGCGTGCCGTTTTGGTATGACCGGTTGAGACCAATACGGCAAAAGATCCTGCAGCGGTACTATGGTTCCGATGCTGAAGACGTTTGGGGTGTAAGTTTGGTTGGACAGCTACCAAGGCGGGCAATTTACTCACTAGAATTCCCATACAGCCTCGATCTGCACTTGGACTATTTAAAAATCTTCCCGACGAGTCGCCAATGCTGTAAGCCAGTTATTTTAGCTATGTACTGCTCGAAAGGTACTCATCACCGACATCTAGGGACTCGTCCCGAATTCCGGTCTACATTGGAACTGTCAAGTGGGAGGTGTAAGTACTAAAAACATTCGCATGCCTTCTGTCAGGTTTGTGTTGACGGTTACCTACTCCAGACAAGAAGCCTGTGATGGTGCCATCGCGTTCTTCAACGCATACCGCGCTCGGAGCCGACCCTCTGGGACTCTTCCGATCTTCCACGTTTTGGATAAACACAACCATCTGAGGTAGCAAAACCAGAAGGGAATGAATTAATAGGAGGCTAATGTGTTATAGCAATGTCCTATCTATTGGCACAAGCGATACGGCGCAAGCAATGAGGTTGCTTGAGTTTATCCAATCTTGCACAGCCTTGAAATTGGACAGCTCCAGTAAGCCCCCAGTCAGTCTTCAATTGGTATTCCAAGAATCTGTTCGTGAAACTCACAGATAGTACAGGTATAGTCAGCGGGAAACCTTTGTTCACACGGGCGAGATTTTAATAGGTGGCGGTCAAAGAATACATATGCTCAGATTGCCGATACAGTCATGTTTCCAGCAGCTTGCAGATTGCAAGAGATTTTGAATATAGAAGAAGAAAATCAAACTACCCAATGATATAAAAAAGGACAAAATTGGGTAGCCTCGATTATGATGGCATTCTTGGCTCATAAAGGAATGAAAATGATGCCCCGAATAAGCTATCTGACCGCGGGATGACTCCATATGACAAAAGGAAGGAAAAAGTTGATTTGACGTACTCATGAAGTGGACACTGGCCATAATAAAGCACAAAAGTAATTACATAAAAAGAGCCCTGGTCGCGTGAATGCTCGCATATTTCAAAAGATAACAAACATGTTCTCCACTACCACGACAACTCATCTCTCTTACTCAGGATACCTCAATGACTTCTGGTGGAAATCGGTCAAGTCTGCAAACTCCTCATTCCTTATGTTTTCACGGACAATTCCGTCTAGAACAATAGGGAACACCTGTCAGTATGATGAAGCAGAAGGGCGAAGAAACTATGTAACATACTTTGCGCATCCAATACATCTTGCTTGTCTCGCCTCATGTTCCACAACTTGTGGAGAAGGCCATAAAACGCGAATAGAAACATGGAGAATATCAAGAAAGCAAGCATAGTATATTTGGCAATCTAACAACAAAACTGTCAGTCAGGTATGTTGGAGAAGTTCCATTACTCACTGGGTAGTTGGGTGCGTCAGACTCCCTGTAAGTCTGAGGACCAACGATGTTGCCAACCGTGTATCCTAGCTGGTAGGAAGCACCGAAAGCCAGTTTCTTTGTGCTACCGCCGACTCCCGCAGTCATGTAGGCAATAAGAAAAAGAATACAAATGGGGACTATAGTTTGTTAGTCACTGATGTTAGAACCTTTGCAGAGCCACTTACATTGCATGGTAAGGATATAACCTCCGTAACGAGCGACGTAGTGTGCTGAATCGATCGTGAGCATCATCGTAACACCAATGCACGAAAGAAGCAACGTAAAGAGAGCAGCAACGGTTCGATTAGTACGTTTCGCAACACCAAGAGCAAGGAAGGTGCCAAGAACCGCAGCCCCTCCCGGGGCCATGGTCAACAGTGTAGTCTGCTCTACGTCAAATCCAAAGGCTGAGATAATGGAAGGCCCTTTCATAAGTCAGTTAGTGGATAGCTTTAAGCTTGCGATGTGGCTGCTGCGAAATTGACTCACCGAAAACAGTGATTCCTCCATTCGGTAACCCAATCGAAACGAGAATGAGAAAAACAAGGTAGAAGCGAATGTCGCGGAAACACTCAATGAGCTGCGATTTGTTAAACCTCCAGACCTCGGTGCCGGTTTTGTTCCCTCGGACTCTCTCCAAAGCGATGACTTTCTCCTCCTCTGATAACCATGCGGCATCAGTAGGTGACGCGGCAAGGACAAACCAGAGCACCACGCCTAAACAGACTGTTAATCCTCCCTCATAAAGGAACAAGGCTTGCCAGCGAAATGTTTTAGTATGCCAAATGATCCAGGCAAAGAAGCCGCCGACCACGTTTCCCAATCCGGAGCTTGTATACCAGATAGCTACTCGGGAAACCTGCTCGGCCTTGGTATACCATGCACCGAGAACGTAGATAATGACTGGTGCAGCAGACACCTCGATCATTCCAAGTAAGAATCTGACCGCCAAAAGACTGCCGAAATCGTTGCAGGCGGCGTGGCACATCTCGACCATTCCCCATAATGTCACCATAATGGCAAAGAACTTAGCAAGGGGGACCCGTTGCATAAGAAACGTAACGGGAATTTCTGCAGCAAGATAGCCAAAGCTGTAACGAGCCAAGATGTCAGCCAACAGCACAGCACAACACAGCCCAGAGAATCTGAAGTAAGAAAGGACTTGCAGAAATGGTTATGCATACTAAACAATGGAACCAAGCCAAGAGTACTGGCTGTCTGTGAGATGGGTTTCCTCCTTAATATTCATGATATTTGCGAATGAAAGGCTGTTTTTGTCCACGAGCATGAGGGTGTATATTGCAATAATCAGGGGCATGATCCTATGGTCAACCTTTCGCAGCACTCGCTTGGCTTCGGACGAGTTTGGGTCGAATACCACATTGTGATCGTTCAAAAGTGCCAGTGCTTTGTCGTGTTTGGCAGCGTCCACGTCATCAACAATCTTCTCCAGCTGACCGTTGGTGATGGACAAAGTTCGCTGTAAGAATTCGAGTTAACGATCATAGAGAGAGCCAAGGCAGCGTGCGCACCTCAAGATCCATCGCCATCTTTAAGTCGACATCTGCACCATCTTTGGCCATTGTAAAGAAGACAGAACAGAAAGATTGCGACGAATAAGCTTGAGGATACCCCAATATCAGGATTCATCAAATTTCGCTTGGATGGCTGAACTCTTGCGGGAACGTAAACTATTTCTAGCCAGTAACTAAGCACCGGCCGTCGGAATGTCTTATCTTTGACACCTTGGCTTCCGCACTAAAGCCCATATCTACCCTTTTCAGGAGAGAGCAAAACTGTTCGACTGATCCTGGGGTATCTTCGGATGTCAGTAACCTTAACTGATTTTCTCTACTAATAGCCTTTGTGGAATTATCCATTTTTCCCTGGGCACGTGCATTTTGTGGTCGCTACCCGAGTGCTCGGTCTCCAAGTGCGCGGTCCGGGACAGCTCTGACCCACTAAGGGACTAGGCCTCTAGAACTGTTGAAGCTCCAGGTTGCCCAGGCCGGCCCGAATATTTAGGTCCAAGATAACAAAAGGCTGTCCACTTAACATGACAAAACATTGCTCATTGCGCAAAGACCGAGGTTTGTGGCAACTCGGAAGCCGTTTCAGATTAGCACACACGGCATGGTGACCAGGTACACCCTACTCTAGTGATCAATTCTGTCCAAAATTCGTCCACTGACAAGATGAAGATTGGAGGCAAGTCGGCATACGTCCGTGGCCAGTTGTTGGATTATTGTTCATGGCTACGTGTACGACGTGACAGACTTCCTAGACCAACATCCGGGTGGGAAGCAGATCATTCTCAAACACGCAGGATATGACGCTACAGAAGCTTTCGAGCCCTTCCACTCAACAGACACTATCAAAAAACATCTGAAACAAGAGTTAGTTCTCCACTGGAAAGGCTCGCATGGACAAAACTTACATTGAGCCCTCGTAGGCAAATTCTTGGAAAGGTGACTGGCCCAGAGCTCACCCGCAAGAGCACTCCACCACCAGCCGATTTGAAAAAATTAAAATCCAATAAAGGTAGTCTTCGAAGTATCATCAACATTTCCGACTTTGGGGTGGCTGCCTCGCAAACCTTGACGCCCAGGGCCTTTGCGTGTAGGTTACGCCAACTCAATGTGCAGTGTTTTTCAGAATGGCTAATCTCCCTCATACAGTTTTCAAGGCTGGTGCCGATGCCGAAATTACCTCAAATTGGAACCAAAAAGCATGGCAAGCTATCAGGTTCCGGCCTCGGGTCTTGGAGCCAATAAACAAGGTAGATATGTCTACCACGATTTTCAACGCACCTTTCACCGCGCCTTTCTTCATCGCTCCAGCAGGTGGTGGAAAGCTCGCACATCGAAGCGGAGAGGTTCTAATGGCCAAGGCAGCCTCCAAACATGGTATCCTTCAATGGGTTTGCAATAACGCGGGATGCAGCCAGCAAGAGATGGCAGATGCCCGTGGCCCAAATCAGGTACTTTTCTGGCAAATATACGCCATGACAGATCTGGCCGTGACGGAGAAGGAAATAAAGCAGGCCGTTGCATCTGGATACCGGGGGTTTTGTTTGACTGTCGATGCGATTCACGTGGGTAAACGGGAGCGAGATATGCGCTTGCACATTGCGGAGGCAGAAGTGAGCCTATCTTCGGTGTATGGCAGACTTGAGTAACTGACAATTACAGCAGGAACCGGAGGAACACGATGATGACGAAGCTGGATTGACTGGTGGGGTTTCAATATCACGCCCGTAAGCTAGATATCTTCTCCAACTTAGTTCCACGGGCTGACACGTTAAAGAGCAGTGTATTCCGGATTCAACTGGGTTGCCGCAGTGAACTGGCTTAAATCTATTACTGATCTGCCCATAGCAATCAAAGGAGTCCAATGCTGGGAGGATGCTGCGCTGTGCATGCACCATGGCGTCCACCCTTGGTTGTCCAACCACGGCGGTCGCCAGTTGGAAGGTGCGCCGTCAGCTGTGGAGACGCTCGTCGAAATTCGCCAACATTGCGCTGAAGTTTTTAATAAATGCGAGGTCATCGTTGATGGCGGCGTAACTCGGGGAAGTGACATTGTGAAGGCATTGGCACTAGGTGCCAGAGGCGTGGGACTTGGTCGCGGGTTTCTTTTCGCCTTGGTATTTGGTGAACCCGGAGTTTCCAGAGCAATCAGGATCTTGAAGCAGGAAGTTGAGACTGCAATGGCTCTTTTGGGTGTTTCATCCATTAGCCAGCTCAAACCTTCTCATGTGAGCCCTTCGACGACGCTATTGAACCTCTTGCGAGGCGGCCACGCTAACTTTGCCTCCATAGGTTGATGTTTCTGGTCTGGCATATGCCGCTGCGGTTACTCGAGCACATTTGTAATATCTAGATCTTTAGCAATAAATATTCCGCGGGCTTTATGACCTTCAATAAATTACGCTTCCTTACTTGCTCAGGTATAGGGATCTTGTAGGGGATTTGAGAGTTGATATTTGCGCTAAGAACTCGACACTATTATAGTTGGCTGAGATGTAACCAAGCGGATGTATTTAACCCCCCTCTGTCGGAAGAGGAGAATGTTGTTTAGCAGTTTGTTTGCATAGAATTTCCCCAAAGTTGGGAGCTATGAATCCAGAAAGGACCTTCGAAGTTTACAGAATGCCAGCAAGGAAATTTTCAAATTAACGAATTGGTTTCTTTGCAAGAAGCAAATATAAATCAGAAGTTAGCGTAATATCCTTGATCTGTGCTCACGGAGAGAAAGTTTGAGTTCTCCATTTCACTGCACTGGCTGTTTTCGAAAGTTGTGTCCAAACTGCATTTCCGTCTTCTCGCGGAAATAATCCCCACAAGTAATAGGAGGGCTGTAGTATAAAACGGGTTAGCAAGGAAGAATTTGAGAGTGTCAGAATTAAAGCACGTACTACTTTTTCAATGGCCCCTGCATAACGACCTTGTCCCGGCCAGTGTTAAAATAGGCAATAGAGTATCGGTCTGGGCTCTTTCCCACGTCTTTCGCTCGCACGCGGTGGAAATTTGCCTTCAAACGATCATCAGACCAGGCCACTAGGAACGTTTTGTCAGTCGTAATCTGGAAGTTGCTGGAGAAAGTGCACGCTTACTGAGCATATCGCCAATGTTTACGACAATCGGGCCAGTCTCTGCCGGCAACGGCGTGAAGACGTCTCCGATGCCGTGGTCGTTGTGGCTCTCTCGACCTGGGCAGATTTCCAGTCCATCCTCTCCATCTCGCTGGAACAGTAGAGTAAGGCAGCCAATATCTGTGTGGCTTCCCGCTCGCCAAGTACCGTCCGCACTCTCAGAAGCCATATAGTGAATCATCCGCATCTGTGTGAGGTTGTCGGGCGCATGGACATCCATGGCTTTCTTAAAATGATCCTCTGAAAAGCCGAGAGCTAGCGAAAAGCAACACACTGTACGATTCCATCAGCATAATGCATACTTCCTCAGCTGAGGGCTAAAAGAAACATGTATACTCACAGACTTGGTCAGAGATGTGTTCGCACTTGGCCATGAACTGCTGGGTAGTTTTGCGGAAGTTCGGGACTTCCTCGTCTGTCGGCCATTCTGAGTTGCGCTGGAGCCAGAAAGACTCCTTTTGGTCGGGTAACCCAGTGCTTGGCCGGATTTGTGACTGATACTTGTGTGAGTTGCGAGAGCTTTCTGATTAATGATGTCTGCGCGACTATATCTCTGAGATATATCGGTTTTTATCTTGCGTACCTTGTATTCCCAACCGTTGTTTGTCTCGATGCTGTGGGGTATCCTGGCTTTGACCTCATTAGGGAGCTGAAAGTAGGCCTTGGAGAGGGTAAACTGTGCGTTGATCTCCTCGACGCTAATGCCGTGATCGACCAGGGTGAAGAAACCAGCTGTTTCAGCTGCGTCGACGAGCTGCTTCGTGATCTCGTGTTTTCGAGAGGCAAAATCTGTAGCTGTTAGCCATTTATCCTGCGCCTTCTAAGTGATTAGCTGATTTTACTCTTAAGGGAGATGGCAGGAACCGGTGGTGCTTGAGACATGACGGGGACTTGTGACAACAAATGCTGTAGCTCTGGTACACGAGATGAAGGTTGTGTGTGAAGTGTGAATTTGGTCAAGACTTATCAAAGTTTCAATTCTTCAAATGATATGCCATGGCTAGTTCCCTTATCCGAGAGTATAAGCTCCGGGAGGGCCAGGAAGGTGAGCTTTCCTTGTCGAACATCCGAGCCGAACTAATATCCGGCACTATTAGGTATCTGAAAGTAACCTTGCTGGGATATTGGCTTGGGCCCGGAACATGTTGCGGGTGCTCGGACCGAGTACTGTTCTGGAAGCTATCAGAGGGCGTTTACCGAAGCGGATCCAAGATCGGCACCACGGCAACTACACCTAATCTTATCTTCACCGGAGGGTAATGGGAACGACAAACGACTCGTATCCAGCCCTTGACATCCTGTATCATGGTATTAGGAGATTACACCGATACGGCTGCCCACGTTTTGTGTGAAATTGGATATATGAGGGAATGAAATGAACTTATCGCATATTGACCATTCAAGTTCACAGCATAGCTAGAGTAGGAATACTATATTACGATCGATCTTATCTAAAAGATATTTGCTCCTTCCTGCTCCCTTTGGAGCCTGTGCTAAACAAGAGCGCGATCCCAAACAACCAGCTCTCAGCGTTCTATCCGCTCTTGCGCACCCTAAAGCTAAACATCTCATTTGACTCGACGGAGTTCCTGTCTCTCATCTTCTTCGCTGTGTCGACGCCAGCAGCGGGGACACGATATTCGATCGAAGCACCCTGGGGGAACTCGTATCCCTCTGGTAAGGTATGGGGATAGGGAAGGTACTCCGGAAGGAGACCAAGTTGCCGTAGAACCGAGCTCTGGTCCCAGGCTATATGCTCGTGATACAGCCTGTCGCCTCGAATGTTAACCACAGCTGTGAAAGGAATTTCAATCTTCAAATTCGTAGGCGGTATACCTGGCGCGCTGCATTATCAAAAGATCAGACCTTGGGACAGTTGGCAGAGACGAGGGGGGTACTTGCAGCCAATCAATCCGCTGATCATGTGTAAACTTGTAAATGAACTCATCCACCACACGGTCGATGCCAATGGTCCGACTGATGAGTTCCAGCACCGTGTCCGCGGAATTGTTGAAGATGAAATGATCACGGTAAAATTCCGCTAAACGATTGCGGCCGATCCCTCCAGTCATCTACCCATTGTCAGGTCAGGAATCAATCATGCCAGGCCTGCGACGAAGAAGAGCTACATACTGTAGGAACATGATTCACGTAGGGTTCTTGGACCATGGTGCTCATCGTGTGCTCCACCGAGCGGTCGGCAAACTCATAGTAAGTGTGCTCATCCCAAATGGCCTCCAGATCAAAGTATGGCCCCCCTATTTTCGGCTTGAGGAAAGTAAGGTTCCTGGTGTGCGTCACGGCCTCGGTAGTATAGTCGAAATGATCATGAAAAGGCGTTGCGAACTTGAACGACTTCACATTTGGGTAATAATACTCCGTAAGTTCTTGTGTCCGCTTCCGAGGTTTTGTCGACGTGGACGCAAGATGCCGCAGGACGGGTACGCTGCTTGAACAAGAGCTAGGTGTGTCCTGCTCGTCCGCGTAAACAACTGTGCCGACCACCTCTGAAATCTCTGACACAGAAAGGGATGCGAGTTTCCACAATTCGGGGTCATAAGCTGGTACCACGCTGTTAATCGTCAAATGGCGAGACTTGACTATTCGAGACTCACCAATCATTCCGACCTTGCCATTGTAGTCACACTCTGCACATTGTTTCAGGCCCTCGAGGGCCCTATGGAAGACATCCTCATTCTCAGCTATCGCCTTGGCCTGGATCTCGACCACTGCAAACCCTTCTTCGGCCCACTTAATCAGCAGGCCGGGGACTCCGTTATCGATGGTTAAGGAGGAAGTTGAATTTGCTACAAGCAAGAGAAGCCCTGGCCCTCGGCCAAGCCGAGACAATGGGGGCAAAAGACGAAGGCCAGGTCCTAGCTCTCGTGGCTTCGGCTGGGGAAGCGGGGGTGTAGGTTTGCTGATGTCGGCATACATAATTGTTAGAACTACAGCTGAAATATAGTCAGTAAAAAATTGGGTGCGAAAAGTTTTGAACGAGCAGAGATATTTAAGCTAGCTAGCTCTAATCAGATATAGCTTGCGTCAGCCTGATAGTGCTCGGTCCGCCGCCGGGTCGGAACTCCCGCGTGCTCTACCCGCCCTGAAGAGCCCTGCTTGGTTAATTTATTTACATATAAATCTGAGGGCCTGTGAGATTGACGCCGAAAATAGCTGCTTTTGTGGCTAGAAGTTTCTTCGCTAAGCCCCTGGACAATTAAGAAGTCAAGCGATGACAATCTATGTGTTGAACACCTTCTCCTACCACGGATGTTGAATTACGTTTTAAGACAAACCAAATCTTTCAGGTCTAGGAGCCGCGATTGTCAACTTTAATAAGAAAGGTTTCGCAAACTTCGAAGCTGAGTTATACATATTATTATTCTGCATGTGGGTATATGAGCAATTCATATATTATTAAGTAGTCACCTTGATCTTGTCAACCATAGCGTATAGTTCATCCAGACTTGGGCGTTCCTCAGGCCTATTTCGGATACAAGCCTTCACAACGGCATCCGAAGGAGGGGGAACAGGCCATTCCACTGCGTTTGTAATCGGGACGTTTCCGTAACTTATATCATGCCCTTGAGAAGATAGCCGAGGTCATAGATGTCCGACTTCTCCGTCCAGCCAGCGTCTAACACCGGTTCGCGGGAAACCTCAGGTGCCAGACGATTTCCCCAACGACTCTCGAGATCGCAAATAACCATGCGAGAAGTATCAGAGGAGAAGACAATATTGTCGATGCGGAGATCACGATGAACAATCCCAAGGGAATGAAGGCACTTCAGTCCGGAGATGATCTGCAGAATCCAGACTTTATAGGTAGCGAGAGGGTAGATGTACACTAAGAAGTAGCGGGGCTTGAATTTCTCGAAAACCAGCTTGCTATCAAGCGATTTTCCCAGTAACTGAATGATGTGGGATGACTTTGGCACTCCTGGGCAGGATCCACCTTGACATTTGAGCAGATTCCGAATCTCGCTCTTATATTTGCCCTCCTTGACAAAATATTTGCTGGAATCGACTCCGACCACAGAGAGTGAGGCGAGGACTGGACCGAGTTCCTCGGAGTCGTCGTCGGGCTCTGGAAGCGGTGGTGCATTTTTGAGGGGACGTATTTGGTCACCGATGATTTCGTGGTCGCCGTCTAAGAGAGGCAGGTTTCGATGTAGGCGGAGAACATCACCAGAAAGAGTGCCCGGTATATCAGCCAGCCGGATGCACTGGCCTGACGGTTCATACCAATAAGTGTAGCAGAAAACACCATCAACCACTCCCAAACTGAGGTCCATGATCCGTGGGCCAGCAGTGGGAACCAGACTAGACCGCGCTCTTTTCACCTCGTAATCAGCTCTCAGCTGTTGAATTTCCTGAGTCAAAGGATCGTTGGGTGGTGATTGGCTCATTGTTGGTCTTAGAAGGGACTCTAAAGGTAGAAACACAAGGAACTTTTTGTTAAACTGAAAATTTTTGCAGTGACAGATGCCAGGGGAATTTGAAAGGTCAGTACCCAGTGCCAGGTTTATGTATACAGAGAAACCCTCAGGGTGGGGCATTGGGGTTGTACCTCTATAGTGGGAGCAAAGCTTTCGAGGTCTGCGATGCTGAGGTGAAGGGTGTTTACGAGACTTGGATCCTTCGGACTTGTTGTTGTTCACCGTCTTTTGTTGCCCGATGACAGGGGTACCCATAAGTTTCCGACCAAACTGATGTACCTTTCTTTCACCGTCTCGCTAATGTGGCTATACTACCCTTGAGATCTGCTTAGGAGTGGCCAGTCTACAGTTTCCAGCAGGGTAAGTATAGTAGCCTTGATTCAATCTAATTAGACCACATGCAGTTTACCAAAATCTTGAAGAAAACATGATCTGATTTGATTTGATTACTATTTAACCTGTCTCGGCGGGTCACGCGGATTGACCGTCACCTAGCGTTGTGGTGTAAAGAGGAAAACATTTTTAACAATGAGGTGGGGTATATTCATTGGTATATCGAGCAACAAAATCTTCAATAGCACGTAATACATGATTCATCAACGAGCGTCTTCCGCGGATTCAATCCGGGTGCAAAGCAAATGCAGGGAAATGCAAAATCTCTATAGAGACAGGTCTAGAGAAAAGCGTAGACCCCAACCCCAGGGGCCAGACAGTATATACAACAGAGCGTAGTCTTTCAACTCCAGCCGAAACAAACCCGCACTAATTTAGCAAGGCGAGCCAGTAGTGAGGATAGACTTAGTTTCCTGGGCAAAAGTGCACTCGCCGTCCACGTTGCCGTCGGAGAAGCCGGCGTCCCACATCATGATACCGCCGAAGCCAGAAGAAGTGCTGTTGGCGCCAATACCGCTGACAATGGTCGCCAGTGCGCTGGGGTCAACGTAGTACTGTGCGCCGGAGGAGGTGCCAGTGGCAGCATCTGCGGAGGCGGGAACACCAAGGAAGATCTTTGCGCCGGAGGAGGGAGTGTTGGCGACGTTCGCAACCCACGAGCTGAAGTTGGGGGCGGGCATAGAGCAGCCGGGGTTGTTGTAGAACTGGACCCACAGGTAGTCGAACTGCGAGGTGGTGATGATTGCCTGCATGTTCGGCTCGGGAATCGGGCACTGCGGAGCACCAGAGATAAGATAGGTCTTGCTCGAGTCTTGGGTAAACTTGGAGCGCAGACTCGAAATTAAGTATTGGTAGTTCTCGTTTCCAGTGGGGACTTCGATGTCAAAGTCCCAGCCATCGACGGCGGCATCACCGAAGGGACGGGGAACGGTGCCATTGGCGCCGCCGCCGTAGGCAGACCACAGATTCGAACCAATGGTCTCAGCCTCCGACTGCGAGGCCAACCCGTAAGATCCAAAAGCACCACCAAGCGAGACAAGTACCTTGACGCCCGCCTGCTGGCAGGTCGTGATGGCCGAGCCGATGGACTCACAGCCCTGGCCCTCACCGGAACTGGTAACACGGCAGCTCTGGCCAAAAGAACCACTAGGAATCATCTGGCCATTGCCAAAGTTATCAAGGAATGATAGTACAAGGACATCAATTCCTGATTGTCCGGTGCAGTAGGAAGACATATCGTTGTTCTCGACGGCACTGCCGCCGTTCTGACCCCAGTAGACAACGTTCAGGGGACCGGTATCACGGCGAATCTTGCGGTGCGGCACAGCCGACGCCGCGGAAGCCATGAGACCGATGCTAGCCACAGTTGTGAAACGCATATTGGATATAAAAACAGGGAATCAATCCGTGTTTAAGTACAAGGAATGTATGCTGATGGTATTCAAGTCAAGGAATACCGTCGAAGATTTTGAAAAGGAGATCAACTCCGATAGAACAGAACAAAAAATTGATTATACAGCTGATTCGTCAAGAACCAGGGAAAGAAGATTGGAAGAAGCTTGTCGACGTTGAGGATGAAGAAAAAAATCCATCGATGGCGTGAGCAAACTCCTTTATTTATGCACTCCACTCGAGGAGCTCGAGAAGGGACAGTTGGACCCCATTAGCAGGTGGATCTCATCTCTCCGTCCATCCACAAAGTCAGATGTAGGATGGCTACGTTATGATGATCGCCACATGGTGTGCCTGTGGCTTGGAAGTTTCGGGGAGGTACATCCAACAGAGAGGTCCCAGTCAATACGTGACAATTTGCCAGAGCTAGCCCCGAGAATTGGAAGATCACTCCATCTCGTAAAGAGGCAGTGTATAAAATTCCAAAGAGCTTGCCCACGTTTTGGCGTCTGGCCCCATTTTGGATCCTGGCCCCCTTGTTCTGCATGACGATCGGGATCTCACTCAGATTGGCCACGGGGCGTGTAACGTAAGAAAGTTGGGGAAAATGGATGGGATCCATGCCTGAATGGAGGCATTATGACACTACCTAGTAGCTACAGTACAGTAGTAGTTCACTGGCCTGGTCGTCAACATGAAACACACACTTACCCGATGTAGAAATTCGTGGTGAAAGGGTTCAATAATATTATTACAACAGGACAAATCGAATTACCTCCCGTTGTTAAACATGTCGTCCATGGTTGAGCCGTGGCGCGTAGAAATGAACGGGTTGACGAACGCAAAGTCGTCGGGCTCGGTAGTTAGCCCTAAAGAACGGGTTCCTGGCTGTACATCAACCGACCTACTTCCCCGACACTCACACACTCAGCCATGCTAGCCTTGAAACATGACGATCTTGAAGACAAATGACGACTATAACAAGATGCTGAAACCCAAAATATCCAAGAAAAGAAACTCTGCAGGGTATTTCCAGGCCCATCGCCACCGAGTCGGCACGGCCGGCACTCGGGCGCGTGGGATGGTTAGTGGGGTCGAGTGAAGCAGCAATACAACCTGACCCAGGGGTAGCCTAAATAACCAACATCAATTCCACCTCCCACGACGAAGACAGGCCAGAGAGCTGCACAATTTCCCATGTAATGCCTGCCAGAGTATTCAGGTCTCAAGCTTGGCCCCCAAGCAAGTGGCGGATGATCTACGAAGGATTCACGTTTAGCCCGATTGTTAGCGCCACCCTGAGTAAGAGCAACTGCTTCTGAGCAGGACACTGCCAAGACGGAGTTGGAGCGAGCCTGACGATCGGGGATTTTCAGGCCCAATGGCAAATTGTGCATTCCGCCTGAGTGCCTGCATTAATAAGTTGCTATGAATAGTTAACTACCGACATTGTCACGGACCACTTCGCGGGAGGATCCCACTGCTGATGTCAATCCGGCAGAGCTCCTAGATCTGGCAGAACGCAGCTACATAAGGCCCTGTATATTCTCATTGGCAGAGACGCCGTTGCAACATGGGGGCGTGGGTACAATTCCATTCTACACCGGACACGGTGATATGGCAGAGTAGTAGTCTGTATTGTTCACTAGACTGGGACTGGTTGGCATACATAACCATAACCGTAAAATGAAACACGCCATGGGTACAGATGTCTTGGGAATAGGATGCTTCAGAAGCAGATAGCACCGGAGACCGCACAGTCGTAAAAATTCGTAAGCATGCAAGAGGGTCGTAGTCGTAAAGAGGCGACTTGTTGGCTGCGAGTCATATCATCGGCACACCCACTTCTTGTCAGCCTCTTTCTGGCCCACACGGACTGCAACCTGGTCAAGTGTAGCCTTCAGGGTATCTTTCGACACTTTGGGGAATCTGAACGAGACGGGTCAGCATGGACGTTACAATAAACACATCAACACGTACTTTTTCTTCAAGATCTCGACAAGCCCGATTTTGCTGAGATCATTGCCCTCTACCGTCTTCTTGAACTCGTCCAGCTGTTCCGGTGGGAATGGTCGCTTAGCCTTTGACACCGTGGCCGGCAGCACAGCTCCCACGGTTGGTGTTGCCTGGCCCGCGGGGCCCCAGGAAGCAGGGAGTGTTTGAGGACCCAGGCTTTTCGGCGCAACCCGCCCCTTGGCGGGACCAGGGTTATTGGGTTGGGGCTTCTGCCAGTACTCATCTGAGTGTGGTTTGATGGGGAATTTGACGGTCTCGGAGATGGTTTCAATCTGGTAAGGCCGAAACTCGGGGTCGATGACACCTGTCGCCCACCGAATACCACTACACACCGGCTCAAGGTCGCCAACAATGAGCCGTCGCTTGCCCCCTGCCAGAGCATCATCCTCATCGTCCAAGAACCCTTCGAGATCGTCCTCCCCTTCGTCACTGCCCTCATCTTCTTCCTCAGAGTCCAGATCTTCCCCTTCTTCAGGCTCCTCCCATTCCGCTTCCGAGTCATAGTCGTAGTTTGTGTTAGGAAGTCCCCGATGGTATGGGTTGCGGGACAGTTTCATGGCTGAATCTTCAGGAATATTTCGTGTGAATGTCCCCTGATAAGGAGGCCGGACATCTTCAGCGAATTTAAGGGACTTTATAGGAATCTGCTGCAGTAACTTTTGGGGGTTTGAGCTCGTGTTTGTATCCGGAACATCACTCGCACCGTCCGTAGAGCTATGCATGCGTAAGAGGATCTCTTTCACCGAGGCAGCTTGTCTCCCTCGCCGGCGACGATACGACATCATCTGGAACACCTCAGAAGGACGGAAGGGACGGGACTCGGAAGCACTGCTAGCCTTCAAACAGGCATCGACCGTCTGCTGCACGTGTAGGAGGGCATCTGCGTCTCGTTCAAAGCGATGTGCAGGTGCAAGAGTGGTGTGAGATTGTAAGAAGAAGTCAGGGAATGCGCGTTGATAGTCTGTCTGTGTGCCCTGCGCAGATTCCGTGGAAACAGGGTCACTCTCGGCAGGTGGTTTGCTGGGAGAAGCAGTGACGTTGGGTTTTTTGGGAGATGCAGAGGGAACGGGAGGTTTGGTAAAGAAGGAGTTGAGCTTCATTTGTGACTGGAAGGATCGGTGGTCAGTTAGCATGGCGCAGGCAGCATGAGGATTGCATTCACATACCCTCGATTTCTTCTCCTTCTCCTCTTCCTTCTTGCGCTTCTCCTCCTCCTTGGCCTCCTCCTTCTTGCGTTTCTCCTCTTCTTTCGCGGCCTTCTCTTCATCCTTAACTTTCTTCTTCTCTTCACGCTCAGCTTCGCGTTTCTTCTTCTCCTCTTCGCGCTCAGCTTCTCGCTTCTTTTTCTCTTCTTCCTTGCGAGTCTTCTCTTCGAGCCTCTGGCGCTCCTTTGCCTCCCTTTCGTGTTGTTTCGCCTCCTTGCTAGCTGGTGAGAGCTTCCGCTTCTTGGGAGCAGGAGTAGGAGCAGGGCCAGGCGTGGTTGGAGCAGTCTCCTCACCAGAGGGCTTTCGCGGTGATATCACCACTTCAACAGATGGAGAAGGCTTGGTCTCCGAGGACGCCGAGACCGATGGGTCTCGGTTTTCTTGATTGTCGCCATTAAATTGCACGAGTGGACGTTTGGCTTCGGGGGCAGGAAGCGCGCCGTCATCTACTTCGTGAATTGAGCGTTTGCGTGGCCCCAAAGATGGTGATGCCGGAAAGGAAAGAGTGTGTGGTAGAGGCGAGAGACTCGTGTTGGACTCCATGGTACGTGTTTTGATTGATGACCCCCAGATAAACTGGCGGGAGAGAGCGTGGTGATATGGGAGCGCGGTCGCTGTTGTGGGAAAGAGGATTCGTCGTGCATTCAATTCATGAGGAATGACGGGGGGGTTGATGGGTGAGAGCGAAGAGAGGGAGTTCTGTAAAAGATGATAAGGGAGTGTCGATGAAGGAGCGAGGGACAAAGGGAAAACAAAGCGTGCGGGATACCAGCAACAGTGGTGGTGAAGCGAAAGGGAGAGAGACGCGTGGATCACGCGCCCGCGTCGCTGAGTCATCAGCACTATACGATTTCGAGTGAATAACCACGAACTACAGATCGGATTATAAAAATAATGAAGAAGCCCTCGCTGTACAATTAATATCCCAGATCTGCATTAGAAAGTAAGGAAAAGGCTATTAGGACACACAATGCCGGGCAGAGGGCGGCTCCGGATGCAAGCACAAAAAAAAAAAGAAGACAAGAGACATATAGACATTGCAAGAGCACCACCACCGACGCTTGTCCTAGTTCGGCCCAGCGAGGAGTTTCAGCGAGGTTAGAGATTATGTGCATCGTCCCACCAGGGAGAGAGAAACAGGCAAAATCATAAGGAAATAAAGGGGAAATAACAAAAAGAAACAAGAACCCATAAAGAGGAAGTCAGGCGCCCCGGGGGGTGGGGAATTGGGGGGGGATTAGTCGCTGAGATCCGGGTTCGCCACGAATAGTCGCACGTTGGTCATGGAGGTAGTTCTTTCGTCAACACTGCCGCGGCGTCGCAACTCGTCTACCTTCTTGGCATTGTAAGCGGCTGCGACGGCTGCGCTCGGAGCCTCCATGTCGGGCACGAAGTCTTCCTGCTCACTGCTGTGAGCGGCACTGCTGTGGGTGGTAGCAGAGTCGTCTTGGACTAGAGACGAGACTCGACTCTTCTCCTCGGCCTGGATCTCGGCAGGTGTATTCTCTGACACGTCAGGAAGTTCCGTCTTCTCATTGGGAGGCGTGGTGTTACTGCCCATCGTGCCTTGTGCTCGCGAGTATCCGCTAGGGTATCGCTGGCTGCCCAGGGAGCTGCGGCCGCTACCAGTCCGGCGGTGCCTTGCACCGTCATTGCTGTGCGCGTCGTCCTCGGCATCTCCGACTTCATTGGCGCTCAATCGCACCGGCACCTTCGCGCCCACCAGATTCGACGGTGAAAACTCCTTAGTGCCCTTGGTTCCATGGCGGATCTTACCGCTGGCCAGTGTCCCTGTCCGCCCGGCGCCCGCGCCATGGACCTCCAGGTACGCTCGCTTCTTGTCCCGTAGCGTTTGTTCTCGCACGCGCGGATCTTCCGGCTGTGCCCGGTCGCACCAAACTGTCGCCTTCTGCCGCCGCATGAGAGCCACGTACCCTACCTGCGCGTTGCCTGAGCGAGAAGAGATGCTACGTCGAATGTCCGGGCCTCCAGGTCCTGCCTGTGGCATATGGTTGTTGCCGGTGGAGGCGGTGGATGTCGTCGTGCTGGACATGCGTCGGGCAGACGGGTAGTTTGTCGGAGGAGCCATCGTCTGTGAAGGCAGCGGCGCGGCCGTTGCGGTCGTGTACTGCTGCGAAGCGGAAGAATAGGGCAGCACGTTGGAGGAGGTGGTGCGGGTCCGGCTGTGCGCGGTGGGGGCGCCGGCTGAATGGGGAGCAAGTTGAGTCCGTGGAGTATCGTAGGGTTGCTTAGCGTATGGTTGCGCCATGCCGGGCACTGGCTTCCGTGCAGGAGGGCCCTGGTGGATGGGCAGTCGAAAGTCCGTCATGTTGGGCGGCAGCTGTACACCGGCCATGCGACGTTGGCAGATGCGACCGTGTGGCACAAAAAAGTTCTCGCGGCCGGCAACCGCGTGCTCAAAAAGAAGAGCTCCGGTGCAAAGTCCCTCACTGTTTGGACGCAGGAGGAAAGTTCCAAGCGTCCGTTGCGCGCGGCTGACAGGCAAAGGGATCTGCGGCTTCAGCACCCACCAAAGTATACGCAACTGCAAGATCGGCTCGACGGGTGTGCTTCTCTGAAGGCGTCGCTCATTCACGGCGATCCAGGACAAATTGCTGGCAAATTGTGAATGTCAGATGGTTGGCAAGTGAAAAGAGATCGGCTGGCGCCCACACGAGGGTCAAGTGCTTGGCGGTACCCAATTGCCCCTCGGGTCGCTGCTGGAGGTTTGCAGTTTCTTCAGGGGATGACAGCGAGCGAAAAGTCGGGGGACGGCAAGTGTCGCCAACCAGCCGATATCAGGGAATGGATCAGGGGGAGGGGGAAGTGGGCACGGTGAGGGTGAGCAGGAGTCGAGGCGAGCAGGGGAGGGTGGAATAGTAATGGGAGACTACGCAAGAGACTTTGGCCGCCTCGGGCGTGATTGGCTGGGGGCCTTGGACGGCGGAACCTTACGGCCTGACTCAGCACCGCCACTGAAACATCATGACCCGATGACTTAACAGCGTATGGACAATTGTGGGGGATTTGGGTTAATATGTAGAACAATCAGAATTAAGGAGACGAATTAGATTCCTTTTCTTCTGAGCTCATGAGGAGGAGCGCAGACAATAATAAGCATAGATGGACTAAGAAAGTCAACCCCCGTATGTACCTGAGCACGGCCATTGTGGCGGTGCGAACGGCGTTATTTTCATTTCAATGTACCAAAATCAAGGAACTGCTCAGGATTTGGGACGATTATCAGGGATGGAAACAACTAGTAACGACTAACGATGAGACTAAAGATGTGCCTCCCGCCGACTCCGCGAGTGCGCAAACGCAATATGTCCATACTCCCGGAACCCCTTGTTATGCTCGCGCAGGATATTCACTCTACGCCGGAAATCCTTGGTTTCATGGTAGGCATCGTGGATCTCAATGCTCTCCCAGCCGACATACACCACATAGCAGGGGCTCGTACCTTCCACCGGTTCCACCATCCACCCACCCGTCACGCCAATGCAGCCGGGGATGTTGACCACGATGCTGGTCCATAGTGACCACATCTTCTCCCATGCCCCCGGATCAGGAGTCAGATAAATGGCCGTACCGCTGACGGGGGCGCCATTGCCCAGGGCTCGGGGATTAGGCGAGAACTCCGAGATCATGGCATGGCGGACGGTGAGATCGGTGGCTTTGTTGACGCCCAGAGGCTTTAGGGCTTGGATGATTTGCTGCCATTCGGGTGAGGCGATCAGCGCGTAGTGCTGGTGCAGGTTATCTCGAGCTAGACGTCGTTATTTGCGTGTTTTTCCTCGCTCTGTTGTTGTGGTCATGCACTTACTGATATGCAGATGTACTTGTGTCGGCTGCTCGACTTTTCGTCCCCAGTAGAGGCGCTTGAAACCCGGCCAGCTCTCGAAGGTGTTCAGCACCTGGGACCAGATCTGGCCTTCTTTGCTAGAGGGCACGTCGATCGGGATGTTTTCCTGGATGGGCAGGATGATCATCTGGGTGGGGACTGCGCACGCCATGGTTGTTTGGACGTTGATCTCAAAGCAATTAATTTCCTTCGAGTGCTTCAAATGCGTATATATACTGATCAAATGAATTGATGGAAATGTTCAGCTGCCGAGGCCCGGCTGCCGCGGGTTGATCCTTTGAAGATGCATGCATTTGTCCAGATTGCGGGGTTGCACGCATCCCTGTTGATGCACAAAATGCGGAGAACAGCCTACTCGGAATACGTAGAATTCACAATAGAAGGTGTTCGAATTGCTGGAAACGCAGAAGTTGCATTTTTGAAAGCCAGCCAGGCAACGGCGCTGATCGTCTTCACCACGTAGTTCAGCCAACAGTCTTCGGTTGGTACATGGAAACATCCCATCCGCAGGAGACTAGCGCAATTCCTTGATACGTTAAAATTGAAACCAGAGACTCTTAATTATTTGATGAGACGTGAGTATGAGAGCGGTTAGACGAGAGGGGCGAGGATCGGGACGTGAACTATAAAGAAGCGGCAGGATCAAAAGTCATCACTGCGGTGGCTGATCATCCTGACCTCACGTATTAATAACTTTTCTTGAACAAATGCAAGATCCTTTGTTCGAAATAATTTGCACTATAGCCAAATTTTCTTGCAGGTCAGTTGCTGTTCAAACCAGGATTCACTCTCAAGGAGAGCGCTAGGAGGCCAGTCTTCTTTTTCATACCGAGTGCCGTTCGTCTATTTCCAAGTCCCACGGTTCTTGGACTGTGCCTATGGATTCTGACAAGTTCCTTCCAAGGGTCGTTCTGATTCAAGGCATCATTCTAGAGCTCATGTCCCTGCATATCCCTGTCTATTCCTGTGTATCCAACTCAGTTTGATTCTTGATCGTGGATATATACCTCTTACTCCGATCCCCAGATGACGGCATGAGCAATCCTAGATCTGAAAACTCCAACCATCTGGGAGGCATTGAAGTCTCGTACTTCTTGCTAGAGTGTAAACGCAGAACTCGCACACCTACCTGGTCAAGCCTCCGAGGCTAAGATTCGAGCACACCGGTCACCATTTGGTAATTTGATTAGGTACCTCTCCATCAATCCATCATGGCTGGCGCCCCCCATTTATAACTATATATTTTTGCACGAGAGTCAATTTAAGATAGCCTAGCACTGGGCTATCTCTGATAAAACGGGAAATCCTAACGGCGGAATTTCGATCTGCTAGTCACCCAGCAAGGAAATATCGCAGGCTTTGCACTTTGCAATTGTAGGACCAGAGACTACTAGAAGCTGTGGCTGGAAGTTAGGGCACGATGGTTGAAATGAAAAATACAGTATTTCGAACGGACCAACGGCTGCGCCACACCCACTCGCGCCGCTGGAAATGTGCTTGTGTTGGAAATTTGCACTCATGACATCATCCGTTTCAGGGCATCCATACTCCGCAACAGGGCTAGGAACGGAAATAACCGCCGAGGTTAGAAAATGTATCTCTGTCTACCTAGCTGCATAACAAATTCGATGTTCTAAATCTTCACCACATTCAGAGCTTCGCCTTGTCATTCGCCGCGACCAGTGCTCCGTCGTCACGAATTTTGAAATCCTTATCTTGTCTCCACCCCATCCACGACGTGAGGGTGTCTATTCCACCATCACCAGGTGCGAGTCCGCCCCCGGACCAGCCGCCCTCATCCGCCCCGATGGGTAGGGCCGGGGTGCTTGCGAGATGTACTGCAGGCCGCTGATCGTAGCCCGCAGCCTCGAGCTCGCTTTGCTCTAGCACAGGAGTTGCACAAGCATCAGTGCCATCAAAGACAGTCTCCCATTCGGCCCGGGTCTTCTCCTTGAATCGGCGAGTGAATATCTCGCGAAGAGCAGGCCAATTGGCGCGATCCTCGCGCGCAGGGATAGCAGCCGGGTCTAGCTGCAGCCCACGTAGTAGCGCCGCATAGAACTGTGGTTCCAGGGCACCAACGGCGAAATACTTGCCTGCGTCTCTGGTTTCGTATGTATCGTAGTAAGGGCACCCGCTGTCTAGCAGGTTCTCGCCGCGCGGTCCATTCCACGCGGGACTCCGGCGCGCTAGGCGCGGGAACGTCGCGAGATATGCTGACCCGTCGACCATGTTCGCTTCGACGACTTGTCCGCGTCCGGTGTGTGTGCGCGCAATTAGTGCCAGGATAATCCCTAGGAAGCACATGGCGCCGCCACCTGCAAAGTCGCCCAGGATATTACCTGGGGCGTAGGGTTTGTCGCCTGCCCGGCCTAGCATTGATAGAACTCCAGACACAGCGATGTAGTTGATATCGTGGCCTGCCATGTCTTTGTATTTGCCGTCGCGGCGGAACCCCGTCATGCGCGCGACGATGAGGCGTGGGTTGTGTTTGAGGAGGACATCCGTTGGAGATAGACCTAGGCGTTCAAGGACTCCGGGCCGGAACGGGTCGATGAGAACGTCGGCTGCGGTGAGCAATCGCAGGAGAACATCTCGCGATTTGGAGTCTCGCAGATCGAGCGTGATTGAGGTCTTGTGTCGGGTCAGTTGATCGGCGCTCGCGGCGGAGGGGCGGTCGACGCGGAGAACGGATGCACCATAGTCGGCGAGCAGGAGACCGGCAAACGGGCCTACATTTCTGCTTTAGTTGTTGTTGCTAGAGGAAGATCGATTGAGGGAGTATACCTGGAGCTAGGCCGGCCAGCTCAATGACCCGAATGCCCTTAAGCGGCGGAGCAGTAAGAGTCATTGCTGGAATTGAACAGAGGTTGGAGGGTGGCAGGGTTGAGGGGGACAGTTATAGAATGCAGACAAGCTCACATTGTGACAGCCGTGTCTTTAAAGGATGACGAGGATCCTTTGCTGCCGAGGTCCGGGGGAAGTGGATGCGGGGAGAGAGGGCTTTGTGCATCACGTGATTTATACATCCGTTGAAATGGAATAAATGGTCCAACTCTATACCTTTTTTACAAATAGAATCTGAGTGCCTGTGAAATTGATGTCAAAGTGACCGCTTTTGAGACTAGCAAAGGCCACCTTTCCTCCTGTAACGTCCAGAGCGACTTGCCGCTTGACCACCCCCCCCCCCCCCCCCCCCCCCCCCCCAAAAACGTTTTGTCGCGCCACTGCACCTGCCAAAGAAGCCGCTTTCCCATCAAACTGGTCACATGAGCCATCAGCCGCACAATTTGGTGGGTTCTTTGACTTAGATTCGGGAGCAGAAGAAATGAGAAAAAGGTCTACTCTTTTTACTCTGCACCCCAAAATGAGCACTTTCTTTCGGTTTGTCCTATCTCTTGATCTATGAAGGAGACTTTCTTGTCTGTCGCGTCATTGACAGGAAAGATGGAGAAGTTTTCTTTGTTTCTGGGGAAAATTCTTGTTGTACCATTCAAATGCAACATGGGTCAGGCCAAGAACCTGCGAAATAGTGGCCCAAACCCGCGGGATTTACCGTAGGCGGCCAGGGGGTTATTGAGCGCAAAAACCGGCCCGAAGACTCCCACCAGACACCATTTTTGGCAGTCAAACTGTTCTAAGGGTGGTTTCACACATGTCGTCTAGAAGAGAAAATGTTTCCCGTCTCTCTCTCATTGTCTGTCCGCTTCTCATAAGTCAGTGAGACCTCTTGAGTTTGTTTAATTTCTTCCGCGCCGAGGATGCTGTTTTGACTGCTATTATCCCGCCAGTCGGTCATGGCAATAGCACCACTGTTAGAAATATACGGATTGGGGTCGTATACTCCCGACGGACCGGCGCGGTGGTAACTGCGGAATTTGCCAGATACCTTGTAAGTGCCGGAAGTAGGAGGCCCACTTTCATCGTAGCTAGTGCGGAAGCGATTGAACAAAATCCGTAGCATAGGGATGGACGCGGCGAGGATGGTAAGGCCAGTTTCGGCGGAGGCCCATATGATAATGCTAGAGCTGTAGTCTAGTGTTTTTGTAAGTACATTGCAGTGGATAAGTTAGGTATACGTTGCTTACAGGTGAAATCCTGAACCTTGGAGACATTCACAAGCTTCGAGGTTTTTATGAAAGCCGTAGCAGCAGCACTGTATTTATTTTCCGTCCGCGTTAGCGATACTCCGTCTTGAAAGCTGGCATGATCTATGGTAGTACTTACAAGACACCCAGGCTCATGGCGATGCCGATACCAAGTTTCTCATGTCGCTTCATTTGGAGGTTCCAGATAATGATCCATGGGAAAAGGGCGATAACAAAATCCATGCATCCAGAATAAGCTAAGGAGAAGAAACGGTAAGCATGTGTCTTTCCACTGTTTGCCTTTGAAGTAGGGCTATTTTACCTCCAGCCGTAAGAGCGATAGTTTCAAAGATATGAGTGGGCCAGCACTCCGCTGTAGCCATAAGCTTTGCGTTCCATAACGCTGCAGCTGGTTTGCACTGAAGAAGATAACAAATCGCGCACAACCACATGATCAGATTCATTGTGATGATGACGAACCACAGAAAGACCTTCATCCAGGCCTTAGTAACAATGCGGAGCAGTGTGATTGCGAAGGATGTTTTGGCTAGAACACATGCGATAATCACGATGACAAAACCAATGTAGAGAAGCTCCAGACCTGGTGGTACTTTGCTCGGCTCTGCTATGGTGTGGATGTGTCTTCCGGCAACTCCCATCTGAACTGAACAGGTGCACAAAACGGTGTAGACGAGAAGTAGAGTCTGCGAGACAGAGTTAACAGAGTGCTCATGAAATAAGATGTTAAGAGCAATCGGCCACAAACCCATGAAAGACAGATCACAAGGTCATCCCATCCATAAGATTTGCTGACCATCACTTTACAGTAAAGACGCAAAGCCATAACCAAGCCAGGAACCACAAGTAAGACCCAGATAGTCGCAAGGATCGTTGGTCCCTCATTTTGCCCAGCCAAGATAGCAGATTCTGATACCATGATCACTCAAATTCCTTCCCCCCCCCCCAGGGTTGTATATATCGGATCAAACAGAGAAAGTGAAAAGTATATTCACGACTTATATAGGGTCTTGCGGATGGTGAAGCCGAGGAACTTTAATAATACATTTTAAATCAAGTGATTCCCAGGGGATGAATATATCCCGTGGTCTACTCCGTATTTCCCCTGTCATAATAATCCTTGCACGGGACAAAAGTACTAATTTGACACTTGTATATCATGACAGGTGTCAAAAAAAGTCTAGAATGGGCGCTATGTCGTATGGGGCAGCTCTGAACGCTCCTCTTTCGCTATGGTTTTTTGGCCCCTGTTATATCGGGGCCAGACGGGCCGCCCGATCTGCGGGCGAGTGGAGCGCTCGTTTATGGAGTAGAAATAAAACACCTGAACCTTTTTTTACAACAGGGATCTATATCCCGCACATACAACCCTCGTGGGGCCAAAGCGAAAGAAATCCTTTCGATACCATATACACAGGATCATCCTTTCCTCTCTCGGGCGCACGCTATTTCAACAGCAGGATTTTCAAATTCCCCAAGCGAACTGTGTCCCTTACCCCTAAAAGTTTTGATCAGAATAAGGGGCTTTCTCAGTTGCCGAGACTCTGTCGCTGCAGTCACATTAGTCTTCTTTGAGCACATTCTATAGATGCCATAGAAGGGGTAAATAAGCATTGCGATAGTGCATTAAACGTATAACTATAACTTAGAAACCGACTTATAAGGAGAAAGACCCAGCCGTTGAGGAATTGATCACAGGAAATTTTAGTAGCTCAGTGACAGACGTAAACGTAGTGGAGTCGGTAAGAGCTGCTACTTACAGCACGGGCTTGCTGATTGACCTTAGCGAATCCTGCCTGTATTTCTCCAGAGGACGTCCGTTTACCCGTCCGGTGCGGGCCCTGCATACCTCAAACGCGCTAATGTACCTACTCCGATAGGTTGACCCGCCCAAGGTTCTAACCCATGTGGATCGCGGCAATTCTGCGCAGCATGGCCTGTCATGTCCCGGTTTCGCCCCATTGCCAAACCATATTTAACGGACAAAGGAGAAACCGTCGTGTCAAACGGTGCAATTATCAGTAATAGTCTCAGCAAAAATGATCTCCCCTGCAAGTTTCACCATCAACCTGGTGCTGTCTCTTATCATTGCTTTTGCCTCTCGTTTCCTTTGGAATTACCTTCGTTCACCCTTAAAATCATTCCCAGGGCCAGTCCCTGCCAGCTTTACCAATCTCTGGCGCATGCAAGACGTGTTCAGGGGTCGCTGTGACATTACGCACAATGCACTTCACCGAAAATATGGGCCAGCAGTCCGAATGGGACCGAACATTCTCAGTCTGTCGGATCCAGACTTGGTCGGTCAGGTTTTCACAACCAAGAACCCATGGATGAAGGTGAGCCAGCCCACAGATGATCATTATCCCGAGAGTGCGCATATCTAAATCAACTAACTGGTAGAGTGACATGTACAATGTGAACGACGTTGTCGTATCGGGAGTGCGAATCAAGAACCTCTTCTCGCACCAGGACGAGAAATGGCATTCCACCTTTATCCGCCCGGTTAAGGGGCTGTACTCCATGAGCAAGGTCCAGGACGTGGAGCCCGGGATGGACCAGACGATCAAATTCTTCTTTGAGAAACTGCGCGAAAGGTTCATTTACCCGGGCAAGGTTTGCGAGATGTCCGATTACCTCAACTTCTGTGAGTGTGATTTAAGAAAATCTTCCTGGAAAAATGGCTTATTCGAATGCTTGAATTTCTAGTTGCATGGGACTTGATGAGCCAGATCACCTTCTCCAAAGACCTCGGGATCTTGCAAGCTGGAAGTGACTACATGGGATTCCTGAAGAGGTCCAACAAAACTCTTGACTACTTCGCCTCTGTAAGCTCAAATATCAAGCCAACTATGTGGTTTCTCCGTTTCTGACTTGTATTGAGATCTGCCAAATCCCCCTTCTGGATTTGGTACTTGACAAGAACCCGGTCGTGCGCATAGGCCCACCTGGCTTCTCCTGGGCAAACATCTTCAGCCTGGAACAGTTTCAAAAACGTATGCAAGATGGATCCCCTCAGAGTCTTTACGCAGACTTTCTGGACAAGTTTCTGGAGGCCAAGGAAAAGTACCCCGATATCGTGAACGATAACATGGTGATCACTTATCTGCTCTCAAATGTGCTGGCCGGCAGTGACACTACCGCTAACACGATGTGTTCTGCCGTGTACCATATACTTAAGCACCCACAAGTTCACAAGAAGCTTTGCGAGGAACTCCGTAATGCTGACATTCAAATGCCGGCCAAATGGAAAGATCTCCAGAGCCTTAAGTACCTAGACGCGGTCATGCGCGAGGCGATGCGAGTTCACCCAGGCGTGGGCCTTATGATAGAGAGGATCGTTCCTAAAGGAGGGTTTGTTCTCCCAGACGGGCGATTCGTGCCCGAGAATACCATTGTGGGAATGAATCCATGGGTCATCAATAAGAACGAGTCTGTTTTTGGTGCCAACACCGAGGCCTTTATTCCGGAGCGCTGGCTCCAAAACCCCGGCGAAGCTGATGAGGTCTATCAATCTCGATTTTCCAAAATGAAGGGTACTGATTTTACTTTCGGAGCTGGTTCTCGAGCGTGCCTAGGAAGATACCTTGCCCAGCTAGAGAGCTATAAGCTTATTGCCACCCTTTTCTATACGTTTGATGTACGTTTTAATTCCCTTTGATTTTATTTGTGTTTGACAGGAAAGCTGATTTCACATCTAGATGGACCTTCTTAGCCAAAACCATGAATGGGAGGTTACCAATTCATGGTTCGTGAGACAGAAGAGTATTCCTGTTCACATTAAGGAACGGGAAAACAGTTTCGTTAATGTCTAGTGGTCACCTGTCGTTATTCAATGACTTTCTGTGGTACCTTGCAAGATTTCTGGACTTTGTGGTGCTTGCCTCTCCAATGAGATTGTTAGTTGCCTTGTTATGGTAATCGCCAATACATAGTTAGGGAGGGGACTTGGACTATGGCACGGCATTTGCTACCAAAAGGGGCGGATAACTGGGTTCCATAGACGCCGTACGCTATTGAAGCCCTTCCAAAAAAAGGGCCGAGTGTGGACCATCTTAGGTTTCTCTGAAAACCTGAATGATCGTCCGCACGAGTACATGGCTAAATTTCGATCATCAACTAATGCACAGTGCTGTTCCATAAGTCTGGACTCGTCATCCGTTTAGGCAGTAAGTACAGGGTTACAGACTTATGGAAAAGCACTATATACTACGTTAGCGTGTTATATGCCGTACTCCCTCTGTTGGTGGTGGCTCTACCCTAGAATATCGTTCCATCTCATTCTGTCATGTTTAAATCTTCATTATTGCACTGTTAAGTTAGCACTCCCTTCACCCAGTTAACGCACATATACGCACATTCGCTCTCACAAACCGTGTACTTAGAAGTTCGCTCGTTCTCTTTGTTTTCTTCTTTTCCAGCCCTCAGTTTCTCAATGGATTGGAATGTTCTCTTCCCAAGACTTGGCCTCTCACAGATAGTTGCATGCAACGCAGACAATGATACCCGTATTACAGTGAGGACCTTGAAAAATTACGTTTCTGATGTTCAGTCATGACGATCATTCACTCTGGCCTTTATTTTGGGGGCCAAAGACCAGCCGTTCTCCACTCACCCCGCTGAACAGAATGATAATGGTCGCTTAGGCATTTCGAGATTTTTAGGTGGGTCTAAAGGAATTGGGAGCCATGTCCGCCAAGGTTACTACTATGCGTTTCAAAGGTTCATGAACAGGGGTGTGCTTCGATTCTTGCCTATTTAGTATAACCGTCATTCACTAGCTATTATTTAGCGAGCTCGGCAAAAAATAGTGTAACTTTGGTATTGCGTTAGGACGTGATAGTGTCCTTATCTTTAGCTATCAAGACCATCGATGATCTGCTTCCTACCCAGTGACCTTGTCTCGGAGGCTTCGGGAGGTTGCTTGAAACTTTTACCACTCCTAGGCTACTACCTTGATGACTCACGCATGTTTACCACTGCAGATATAAATATTACTTGAGGACAGCGATTATCACAAGGCTTGTTTTGAATTGTCCCCTTCTCGTCCATCAAGGAGTGTTTGTCTCATTTAGCAGGAAGCGAAGAGGGAAAACGAAGAAATGGTGGCTAGTAGTAAAACAGCTGGTTTTACGACAAAATAACAGAGGGCAGAGGATGGAAAATCTCCGAGTTAAATACGGGTCATCTATATTGCTAAATATAAACAATCACTCCGTCATTGGAAATGGAAGCCGTTCCAACGAGTCCGGAGATCCAGGAAAAGAAGTAAATTGTAGAGACACAATCAAAAAATATCGAACATCGAAAATTCACATCACAACATAAAAGGAGACAAGAGGGCAGCGAAGATGGTCCCAAATGAAGTCACCACTGCCCCACGAGAAGCCGCGCCGGTATAAACTGGAGACGTTCCTTCCGGCGTCGTAGTAGGAGCCGCTGGAGCGCGAGATGCGGTGGTCCAGGGATAAGAGACGACCATGGGAGAGCTGCTGGAAACATAGGACGTACCGGTAGGCTGAGCACTTGTGAGAGTGTAGGGCACGGTGATGGTGACCGTCGAGCCAGTAGGGCCGCAGTGCTTGCAAAATGTCACGGTCGTGGTATAACCTTCGGGAACAGAAGTGGGGGCAATCTCCGGCTGTGTTTGTGTAGCCGTCATGGTGCAGGGCAGAGTGAGAGTAACTGTTGTCGGGGTCGGAGCACATTGTGTGCAGACGGTGACAGTGGTAGTCCATCCCTCAGGAATCGAAGCAGTAGTACTCGTCGGGCCCGAACCAGGTTGGGTCACGCCGGCAGTCTCGGTGGCAGTAGAAGGAGCAGGTCCATTTCCGGGGCAGTATGTCGTGGTAATTGTCATCCAGACTGTGGTGAAACCCGTGGGGCAGATGTCCGTGTATGAGGTTACAATCACCGTCGTGATGGTCACGGGCTCTGAAGTCGACGGAGTGGGTGTGACTGAAGGGGCGCTAGTGATGCCTGGAGCGCTGGGATTCACACCACCAGTCGGAATTTCACTGCCACTAGTGGTAGGGACACCGGGAGGAGTGGGAGAAGAAGCAGCAGGAACAGACTTGTTGGGAGTGGTGGTTCTGGATACGGGGACTGAGCTGTATGGGTGACCGGGAACTGATGGCTTCGAGCCCGAACCCGAAGGGCCAGAAGGCGAGGCACTTGATGGGATAGCAGGAACCGATGGTGTACTCGTGGGCGCCAAAGAAGACGAAAGGGGTGGAGTGACTGATTGGACAGGCGGCGGTGACGGAGGAGCACACTCCCCGAGGATGTGCTTCATATGCTGAGCGTAGGTGAAGCCGTCAATCGTATTATTTTCCGACGCAGTCGCTTCCCACAGCATGATTCCTCCAAAATGCTCAGGATATAGACCCATATATTCCTCCACCAGAGTCTTCGCCTCATCGGGAGTGATGTAGTATCCTGGGTTGGCGGCGTCTTCAGAGGCTGGGAGGCCGACAAACAGCTTGGTTTCAGGGTTGCGGCTGTTCCTGATCACGTCCACCCACTCATCAAAGTTGAAATTACCGCTTCCACTGACATAATTAGCGGCCGCACAGGCTGGAGTGTTGTAGAACTGGACCCAGAGGAAATCGAAAGCCGCATTTTCGATGGCATCCCCGAGTTGCGCATCGGGAATCGAGCACTGCGGCGCGCCAGAGATGTAGAATTTCTGGTCGGGATATGTGTCAAAAAGCTCACGAAGTCGGCTGATCATGGTAGCATATCCTGCGTTCGCGTCAGCATAATTGAAATATTTAGAAAAGCAAAGCGAACTTACCGGCTCCACCATTGTGTTCAATATCAAAATCAAATCCATCAACTGCGACGTTTCCGAATGGTCGAGGGAATAATGTCTCGCTGAGTTGATAAGGACCAAACGAGTACCATAGGAAGTCTGCAAACCAGGTTGCAATCTCATCCGTCAGAATAACCTCGTTAGTGGTATAGGCGCCGCCAATAGAGAGCATGATTGTCTTGCCCATGTCTTTGCAGGTGGGGATATCCTCCCAGATCTGGTGGCATCCCGAAAGTAGTTCCGAGTCTGGGAACAGCACACCGTCGCACTGATTGCCAAAGTTGTCCCCAGGCCAATCTAGAACAGCCTCTGGGAATGTGTTGACAAATCCCAGATTGATGATATCCATTGAGGTCTGTTCACAGAAATGACTGAGACGAGGTTGGTTGGCACCTTGACCCTAAACGTAAGGTTAGCTTAAGAGTCTGACCATCGCAGCAGTAGGGGGACTCACGTAGTAAACTGCAACATTGGTCTTCAAGCTGGGATCCAAGGCAAGAGCGACTGGCACAAGAGCCGACAGTGCAGCTGCCCCAGCCAGAACTTTGTTAAGAACCATCGTGGAGAGAAATATGAACGAGAAATATGAAGGGAAAAGAGTGACAAGAATAGAATGTGGTGATAACAAAGGAGTGTGGTTGTTGTAACTCAACGAGAGGACGCAGACAAACGTCTGCTTGGGCAGGCACTCAAAGGAAAGAGGGAGTACAGTTGTTTGCAAGTTTAAAGAGGAAACATCCGAAGAGAAGTAGGACGGGGGGTATATTAATAGCCTGGGGCTCTGCGCCTCACCCACCATTGCCGCTTAGTCTGCGGGTCCAAAATGGGATGTGTAGGCGTCAAATCGGAGCAGAGGAAGCCAGGTGTGGAAATTAGCCCAGCTTCCTAGTTTATGCATCCTGTTCCTCTGGTTAATGATGTAGTTTGCACCACCCCACCGTCCAGAATGACTAGTTGCAAGGCTTCCCCTTTTCCAAAGATGCTTGTAGCATCTGTTAATTACGAGCAAACAGCGGCATACTTATCGTTGCTGAAATTGGTGTCATGTTTTACAATACCTCTGTTCATGTAGCAGACTAAGATCACCCTACCAAGCTCAATCAATCGTTTATAAAGTATGTGCCAATGGTAATTTAGTGCAGTAGAGACATTCCAAACCAACCCAATATTGAGCCTCACATAGGCTAAAATGTCCTCGACGGAGGTTGTAGCGTTAAGGTCTGGGCGCTACGGTAGGGGCAGCAATTGGAGCACGCAATATGTATCGGTGCGTCCGGCCCAATAATGTAAGTCGTAGCCTTGTACCGGCACACCAAATACTCCACCATTCAAAGTGCGCTAGAGGTGATAGTTCGTGTAGAGCCACGGATGGGGCTTTGATTGTGCCACGGACAGTCTCCGTGCTTCCCGAAGGTGATATGGAAAGACACGTAGTCCTGGTGGCAGATTCAGGAATGTATGGTCCACATGGAAAGGAAGACAGTATATGTATTATTTGGAACGTGGGAAATCAATTGTCTGGGGCAGCGGACAGGTGCAGGGAAAGAGAACGAAAGAAAGGGTATGGAGAAGCGATTGGTTATCCGGGAGTTAGTAATCTCGGGAAGGCAGCCGGATCAACGCAGCTTGTTTTCTTCTCGCTTAACAGACAATCTAGACAGCTCGTTCAAAGCTTGGCAAAATGTCACCATTGCACCCAAATCAAGGAACCGTCCAATTGAAAGCCCCCCTAATAGCCGGGTACCTGGGCCGCTAGGGAATCACGGGCATTGGACTGACTGAACAGACTAAGAGATGGGTATGTGTGCCGGCTGTTCCTCGTTCCTTTGCGACTGTAACAAGACTTGCCCGAGAAAACAATAAGCGTGGGGTCAGCCTTGCACATAACCCACTCCCGGAAGTACCGAGTTGCCCGGATAGGAATGGTTCATGAACGATCCCACCGGCTATGTGGACACCCTAGCGCACGTTGAGGGTCCGGCATGGATAAAATGCCATCATCACTGCTCTACATCTTGGTATCGCAGTTTAGTCCCGGATGAGGCTCTACTTCACTCCTTGGCATTGTTTTGTAACTCTTGGCGGCATTGGCTTGAAGTTCAGATGAGAGATACAATTTTGCATATCCAAGAAAGAGAGCACAGAAAAATTCCAAATTGGAGATGAAAATCAATGGGTGCATCAGGCTGCAATTTCCTCAAGCACAATTTCCTCCTTCCTCCTTCGAATCATGACCTTGGCCATCGGATCAGCATTCATAGAAAGACCATACTTCCTAATCTGAGGAGCCGGACCATCGGCGGCCTTCAAATCGTACTTGAGCAGAATATGGCACAGAGCAACCTTGGCCTCGTTTGCAGCAAAGAATCGACCGGGGCACGCATGCTTCCCCAATCCAAATCCCATGTGCTCTGGCGACGGTGCCACCAACTGAGCAGAGGTCTCGTGGCCAGGAACCTTGCGCAAATTCAGAAATCGATGGGCGTCAAAGGTGTCCGGGTTCTGGTAAAATTCGGAGTTCCACATTCTCTCATTTGGCACTAGCAGATATGAATTCTTAGGGATCTTTGTTCCGTCACTCAGCTGAATGTTATCGCAGGCCAGACGTCGCATTGATGCTTGTGGACGTTAGTTTTGGGAGTAAGTAATATATTCCTTTGCTTACTGATACTGATCGGTTTGAGTCGCTGCGATTCCTTCAGCATACTGTCCATTAGCTGAAGCTTATAAAGGGCAGTCTTCTTCCAACCCTCTGCTGAGATGACAGAAATCACTTCATCCCTCATCTCTTGAATCAATTCCTCGCGCCCACACAGATCATATAGGGCCTGTGTTAGCATGTCAGACGTCGTGTGGATTGCTGCGACCGAAAACATCAACTGCCCAACGGTCGGATCATAGGGACGGCCCTTGGCACTTTCTTCCATCCATTCCATGGCATCGATGTGATGTCGGGGTTTCCTTCCATCTCTGAGGGCCGCTTCTTTTTCCATTCTTCTTTCTTCAAGTACCGGTGCGATTATATCTCTTGCTTCTTGCAATTCACTGTTGAGCCTGCGACACTCCTCGGAGAACCAAGCGACGACTGGTCGCAAGACCCTTGGCCACATCCTAAGTATCTCTGCCGCTCGGAATGAATCCACCGTATATTCCACTGTAATTCGTAGCCAGTCTGGATTGCGGCAGATCTTGTCGCCAAGGAAAACTTTGGAAGATAGCTGAGCCACGATCTTGAGTACGCTGGACTTGAGGGGGATGGGATGCCAGTCTGCGAGAAGTAATTAGTTTGTCCGCCATATAATTGAATAGAGAATCGTTTACCAGAATTGTCTGACCAGTTGCTTTCAAGAGCCACAGCCATTTCCTCCGTAAGAGGCTTTGTAACCTGGCCTTGTGTATTTTGTTAGTGCGAGTTCAGATACTGCAGAGGCAGTACACACCAAGGGCCTGGGTCAGCTTCATCCGCACTGCATCCTGAAAAATATTCTCGCTTGAGGAAGTTTGCTTAAATGGCTCGAATCCCGGGATATGGGTGTGGAACTCTTTCGCCACGGCCTTGCCAAAGCTCAGCGCGGGGTGGCTACGGATTTCGTTTGCGTACTTGGGCGACAGGATGATTCTGCATCCGTTATCCGATAAGAGGCGAAATATATTTGACTATGAGTTGCTAGCAAGGTTTTGGGTTAACGGTTTTTCGTCGTAAATACCTTTGCCAGACCGGCCTCGATCAAACCGCGTGCATTCGTGACGAACTGTGTTTTGGAGCTTTTATCCCCGATATCAAATTTTTTATTGGGATTAATGAGAGGGAAATTAGCCTTTGAAGGATAAAAGTAAAGAAACAATAGAGGAAGAAGCAGAATCCCGCAAAGGGCAAGTGAATCGGGTTGATCGAGAAGAAACATCGTCCAAATGAGTTGTATATTGGACAGGTCCAAACTGAAGATAGAAGAGGAGCATGATAAACGAGGGGAATGTCCTTCGTATTTCTAGAGGAATCGTGGCTCTCTCCTCATTTTCCAGGGCATAATTATACTCTATGCACGTTCATAACGTGGAGGTGAACGGGCGATCCGTCGGCCAGCTGCATGTCAATATAGGGCGGTTATTGGACGGCCGAGAATGATCAACGTTCTGAGGAGGAAATGTTGCACTGATGTTACACTCGTGTTGAGCAACAATATCCCCAATACATTCCCAGGAATAGTTCAGCGTTTGGGAAGCCAGGCATTCCATTAGGGATATTCTACGTGAACGGGCAAAGGTGTTCTTCGTATTGTTTGTACAAAATCATTGGATAATTCCTGCTAGGTTCCCCGCTGAGATGCACCGTGTCTCTCTGCAGGAGGTCATTTGTGATACTCGGCACATTAGTCCCGACTCCACCTTCCTGACGATTGGTCGACCAGTGCCCCAAGCAGGGATACAAGTGCCACTCTCCAAGATAATCAAGTCGCAAGACCTGACATAAATATAATAAGCTTTTGTCTCCGCCAAAGGCATTGGTAATAAGCATAATTTAATGCTTTGCATACGGCCTGAATAAGTGAGGGGCAAGACATTGAATGAACGACACTACGTCATTTAGTCGAAGGCCATCCATGTTCCCTTGGTTAAATAAGCAACAACAAAATAGCCTGACTGGTCTCCTGCTAGATTTTGTCGCCCAGTCGCGAATTATTTTGCAGGCACGGAGTGCGGTTACATTCCATCTCGTAAAGATGTCTCGACAGCCAGGGCTATCGCGAGACAGCGACACTGCATTCATAGTCATGAAGCTGTGCGCCCCGCTTTCCATAAGTCGCAGTGTAGACCCAGGGGAGGGCATGAAGGCACTTAAATCCATTCCGTACCTTTTTATCCTTACGTCCAAATTTTAAAACAGTCAAGGGAGACCCTGGTATAAAGTCACGTGACACAGTGTCTTAGGGCTGAGCGCGGTCCGAAAGAGAACTCGTGTTTGACGACAAACAGAGAATACGTTGTGACGTGCATCGTCCGCATTGCTTATACTGACCTGTTGCATCTGAGTTCATGATTATGACAATGATAACAGTTAATTTCTCGACAGAACTTTCCAGGGGTTCTGGTTGCTCTCCCTGTCGGACACCGCTATCCGAACCGTGCCTGGTGACCGTCAAGGACAGCCCTACCATGCCACACAAAGTAAAAAATGACAGAATTCCGGAGCGCCCTCCAGTGTTCATATTCTCCGAGTTTGAAACGAAGTGACGTGTAGCAAAAGGCAGATCCACAGGGATACGTGCAACACACCACACACATCCCTTAAAGCGATTGGCAGCTCCTCTAGTCTGGCATTCCGGTCGATCAGTCGGATCAATTACTTTCCAGCTCAGCGGACCAGTACTCGCTCGGGCCATGTTCGTAGCTTGGATTCTTTCCCATGCCCGCCCCTCGGAGGATGCATTCCAGCCCCTCCAGCCTACCTTATTCGCGTCGACGCGCTCCCTGAGCGAATGCTGCCATTAAATCCACATTTAGTCCTTCCAGACCCGTCCAGGTTTGCCTGTTATCTTTGAACTGTTCACTGGCTCGCTCACGTCTTTTTGAACGCATAATACCTCACTGGCGGCCGGTCCTCAGGCAGTGCCTAACGCTCCACACTTTCCACACTCGTCTACAACTAGGCCTGCGTGCCGCAATACTGGAGCAGCGGTGCCGCTGTCCAGCAGCTCGCCTGTGTGATCCATCAAGATCTACAACTATGGCTTCGGGATTCTCAGCCTCGCCGCGGAAAGAGGGCAGCTGGACCAAGTTGGTGATCTTTGTTGCGCTTTATGCCTTGCTCCTGGAATCAATTGTGGAATGGGTGCTTGTGCTCTACCTATATGGCAAAGGCTTTGTGGATTCAAAGATGACAGTGAGCGTCGTTCTGGCTTTGGTCGCGGTATGGTATCTCCATAATCCCCCAGTCCCAGGCCTGTCACTAACCTATCTCCAGTCTTTTCTCTCGATCCCAGTTGCTGGGTTACAAACGCTTGTTGCTTGGCAGTACAATAAGATCGGTGGATTTGGTACCCAGAAGTCGGTGCTGCACAATCTCTGCACCTATGTCTACCGTCTAGATCTCATGGCCTGGCTAGCAACAAGCGTATCCGGCCTCGTCATCGTCGCCCAGCAGGCCGACTGTCTTCCAGATGGCACCGACGAGAGCCCGTGGCGAGTTGGCCTTGGCTGTTCGTTCCATCGAGCTTCGGTGGTAGTCTCTGTTGCTTCGTTGTATGTCTTATACCCCGAAGTCAACGATGTACAAACTAATTGTTATCAGGGTAACTGTGTGCACTATCTACTGTGCAAGAGAGCTCTGTGAGCGACCATACGACATTTCACTCGTTGGGATTTACACACGACAGCCAACATTGCGAGATGACAGCATCTTTTCCGACCACAGCTGGGATAGCGATGAGACCCTCAAGAACGAGATCCTGAATCTTTGCCGCCAACATGACGGCACAATCAAGGGAGAGTGGTGGTCGCCGGATCCTCTGGCCGCCAAAGTGAACTGCCATCCAAGCATCCGCCAGCCTGCCCCGGTTCGTCTGCGGCCTCAGCTGCACCTCAACACAGATCCTGGCTCTGAGTGTGGCGAAATTGTTGCTTCTGGCACGACTGTATCGCCCGACGAGAACTTCCCGCATATTTCCCCTGGTGGTCAAAGTGCCGTTAGCGAAATGTACCCGATCTCGCGCACGTCCACCGTCATGATATCGCCAACCGCATCCGAATCTCGTGGCTTGATCTCTGGTCTATCTAGCGTGCCCAAGGTGCCGGCAATCCCAGAGCAGTACATCTCCAAGCACAAGAGGGGAAAGTCCTCCATCTCATCCTTGAGGCGGTTCCTGCCAAAAGCCTTTCCACTCTTCCTCCCCTTATCACTGGACCCTCAGATCCGCGCTCTAGCCGACCCCAACGCTGCTTCAGATGTCGAGAAACAAGTGGCCACGCCTTCCATTGCGCCGCACAGTCGTTCCGGATCCACGGTGCATCAAGCTACCCAGACATCCCCAGATACGCCCGCTACTCCAGCTCGAAACGATGCCGATCCAGAGACCCAGTTCTTAACCGCTGCCCCCGATAGCAGCGAACGAACCATGACCATGAACTCCGCCGATGCCCCAGAGGTCGTGCCCTCCGAGACAAAGCCAACCGTCAAACGATCACAAACAGCCTGTCTCGCAGCCCGCTCAATCCACCACCCCCACCACCCAAACTACGTCCCCGGACCCCCAACCAATTCCCAGTCCCAAACCCAACCCGCCTTCTCAGCACGAACCTACTCCTTATCCTGGAGACACCAGAATGGCACGGTCCAAATGGACCCATCCGTGACCCGCAGCAGCAGCCGTGCAACAACAGCCCTCACCCGACCACACCATCACCACCGCCCTCAACATTTCATGCGCGGGAGCAGCAGCGCCTACCCCTTCGACCAAACTGTGGTCCCGCGCCACACCCAGAGCCAGCACCACCCACCGCCGCACTACATGCCCGACCCGCGCTGGCGAGTGCAGTCCCAGCGCCATTACGATGCTAGCCGTGCTCTGCCAGTCCCCGGACCCATCCCCGTTTTCCCCGTGCCTGCTGCTGCAGGTGGTCCCCGCCGCACCGACGTCGAGGTCATCTACCCCAGCACCCGTAGACCGCGAAGCACCACATACGGCGCTATAGGGGGTCCCGGCCCGCTGAGCTGTATCATGGAGTCAACCTCTACGCCGCGCGCCTCGGCGGATGAGTCTCTGCTTTCGACTTCTGTCGATGCGATGCGCACTTATCGTGGTGCGAACCGCACCAGCTTGGGCTTTTACTAATATAATTGCGTGAGGGTTCGTGGAGGAGTCTGCCGGACAGACTTCTTGCAAGATGGTTTCGTTCTTGTTTTTGCTTGGATATGGTCAGCGGACTTGAACGATATGAATTTTTATTTGGGGAGCAAAAGCTTGGATGAGTTGGATGCATTGCTTGTTTTTCGGGGTTTTTTTTTCTTTATTTTTTACGCTTGACTGCCATTTCAGGTTACCATATTCGATAGTTTGAAATCAGATACCAGCATTGACTACACTACCTAGATCGGAAGTATGCCGTAAGAGACTATTGACGTCCAATGGTAGTCAATCTATTCCAGCAGCGAAGAAGCACAGTGCGCCAGAAGTCTGTCCGAGATACATGCAACCGTCTCAAGATCAAATTGAACAAACGCCAGGTCATCCACAGGCATAAACACCCAAAACTCCCACCCGTAGACACATTATAAACACACAAAACGACACAAACCACACAATGCTACGCCTTATTCTCGCCACTCCGAGACCGATGCTTAGAAGCGTACTTATACTGATACGCTTGACCCTGTTTCACATCTCCCCGATCCGCATCCCTCCTCCTGCTCTCTTTCTCTTTCTCTTTGCCGTCAGATAACGCACCAGGACCCTTCCCTAGTTCCTTCTCCCCCCAAGCCTGCAGCAGAGCTTTACCCATACGATCCCGTTCCTTGAGAAGTAACTGCACGCGACGCTCCCACTCGCGCTCGCGGCGGTCGACCGACATCGCAATGCGTTGGTCCACAGCTACGGCGGACTCGTCTTTCGCGGCGATAATGCATTCAAGGCGGTTGATTTCTGCCTTGAAGGTGCGGCGAAGCTCGGATTCTTGACCGGAGGATGTAACGCGCATAGCGCTTAGTTCGGCTTGGAGTTCGGCTTCGCGCTGCTCTGCTGCTGTGAGGAGGTTGCGCATCTTGCGCATAGACTCTGCGTGCGAGGAGCGGAGGGTTGTGATTGCGGTGGAGTGCGCAGTTTGTAGGCTGCGGAGCTGGGCTTGATGTGACGCTTCCTGGTCGGAAGCTGGACCTCCGTGCTGCTCGGGATTGTTGCCGTTGCGGGTTGCAGCAGGCGTCAAGGGAGGGCTGGGTGGCTGGGGGATTTTGTCTTCCTGGAGGCGGGCGACGGTTTCCAAAGATCCAGCATGTTCCTCTCTTGTCTGGGCGAGTTCGCGCTGGGTATTGCTGAGACTGGCGGTAAGCTCCTCCACTCTACTAGCGAGTCGCGAGTTCTCTGCCTCGATAGTCTTGATCAAGGTCTGCGATTCAGTCGTTTGATCCCGTAGCCGGCTGACTTCAGCATCGGCAGCTTTCTGGGCGGCCTTGGTCTCCTCGAGCTCCTGTTCGAGCTTCATGTTCTCCTGGTGTAGTTGTACGTCCGGTCCGTGGGAGAAGTTTTGTTTCATGGGAGATTCAGGTGGGCTATTCACACCCAAGTCCTTGATGAGATCGAGGATCTCAGTATAGGTGTTACGCTCCGCATCAGGCAGATCGGCAGCCGCTGCCTTGAGGGCACTTTCTTGAGCGGACATGCGGGACTGCACGCGGGTGAGGTCGGCTTCTAAAGTGTGGTTCTTCTCTTCCAAGGGTCGGTTTTTGTCCTCCAGTTCGGTGAAGCGTTCCTCAAGATCGTGGTATTCGGTGTCAATGCGGTCCACCTCCCTCTCCAGCCTCTCATTCTCCAAAGCTTGGTCATCCATTTGAGCCTTCAGCTCATCGATCTCAGTGTTTTTCTGCTGCAGCTGCACTTCCTTTGCTCGAGTAACCTCTCTCAATTTTGCAACTGTATCATCTAGAGTAACGTCTCGTTTTCGCAGTTGCTCTTGGGTCAGGTCGAGTTGTTGACGCAAGTGCGCAATAGTCTCCAAACGCTCGGCGTCCAGGGAGTCCTGCGAATCCCGGCTCTGCAGCTGTTGCTGCATCGTCCGTACTCGTTGTTGCAAAGCTGTCAAATCGGAGCCGTTGGTCGACCGTTGCAAAGGCTGTTCATCAGCTCTTTTGCTAAGTTCTACGTCCAGAAGCTCGGTCTTACGCTGCAGTTCGGTTTGCAGGTGCCGGATCTGCTCGCCAGCTGAGGCTGCCTCGAGTACTCGTCTGCGGTTCCTCTGCAGTTTCTCGTCACGATCCTGTAGAGCGTTTTCTAGTTCTGCGATCCGTTGACGTAGGCCCTCTTCTCGGTCACTCGCTGCCTGGCTCGATGTTGTTGATTGCTTCCGGACGGAGGGTGACCTCGGCTCCTCTTCGATGTCCTCGAGATGGGTTGAGTCCCTTCCCAAAGCGCTGCCGCCGTGTAGAAGATGCGACGGAGTCGACATATCGACTGGAGGACCGAACTCACTGTATGCACTAGAGTCTGCCTCATCTTCCATGTCGGGATGTTGTGAAGATTGTCGCAAGCTTGACTTGGCAGTGGCGGGTGCTTCCTCGTCCTCGCCCATGAGGTACTTTTCCATGTTCGCAGTGAAGTCCTCCGGTCCTCCGACGTCAGACAGATTATCACCCGCATCATCTTTCAACTCCGGCAGCGGCCGCGTGCCTGCGCCGAATTGGCCGCTGGGGAAACGACTGAAATCCAAGGTGTAGTCGGCGAGACGGGCATCCAAATCCGAGCCCGACGGGCTTCTAGGCGTTCCCGGACGTGATCCTTGCTGCAGCTCATTGTCGGAGTGATGCGCGTCCCCACCATCGCGATCTTGGCCGTTGTTTTCGTCGGCTCTGGGGACGCGCTGAGGGCTGTCAGAACGGAGAGGAGATTCGGCAGTGCGGCTTGAGGTGTTTTGGGGAGGAGACGATGGCATGAAAAGCGGCGTGGCGAGTGTGGAGTGGCCGATGGTGTCGTGGGAGGTCGGGAAGGGCGAGGTATAGCCGGTGTTGGCCATGATGGCGGACGCGTTTCAGGTCAGTGATGATGTAGGAAGGGCTGGCAGGGCGAGAGGGCGTGGAGGTAGATACGCGGTGAAGATGTCTAGCGGGGACCCATTCTCAGCGATTGGATGGTTATGAATAGTTATGGGAAGAGGAAATTATTGAGGAATCATGATTGAGGGTCAACAAAGAGAAGAAGATAACCGCGCGTGGGTGCCTTATCAGGCATCCATGTTTACTCCCTCTCTACGCGCAAATGTTCTCACTTCCCAACCTTCTTCTTTCATTTAGTCATGTATCTATCATATTACGCACTCGTCTTCCACTCTTCGAATCCCGGAGGCACGACCGACGGCTCAAACGAGCGCCCCGGTCTTTCCACCTCCCGCGCGGCACTCTCCTGTTCTATCGCCGCCTTCTTCACAGCACGCCCGCCCTTGGACGCAATAGCGTGCTGTTTCTTCGGGTCCATATCATGAAATCCACCCCGGCCGCGCGCCTTGCCACCCTTCTTTCCGCCCCGGTGGCCGATCTCTGATAGCTCTGCGCGCGGCCGATTGGCAAAATTGCCTGGGTTCGGGTGGTGATGGTGTTCAGGGTAGTGTGGGTGCGCTGCAGTGGCAACACTGCGTCTCCCGACATTTTCTAGACGGATAAGAAAACGCGACATCGTTGGGGCTGTGTGGCAAGGAATGGCTTTGAGAGAAGTTGTTCTTCGGCTGCGGTTCTTATAGTGTCGAGGGCTACTCGTTATTGCCTCCCCGCAAGCCATCAATGGGCCATTGAATGCCTAGATTGCTTCGGTGGCTTCTATGGGTCCGTTATTTCCGTTCATCATTTGCTAACAACCGGTCAGTTTCATTGAAAATCGCCATTGATAGGGTTGGCAAGACTGCTATTCGCCGGCGATGCAACCCGACGCCTCTATTTTGATGTCATTCTCCCACGCCACTATCCATGGTCCTAGTTTCTGTGGACAAGTTGATATCCGATGGCGATTGATCCGGAGCGCGCCAATATCGAATGATTATTCGTTCAGCATACCGGGGAATGAACTAACCAGTCAGTAATCCTGTAAACAGAGAGCCGTTTATAGATCCCCGCTATAACTAATTGCATGGATAGACTATATTATTGAAGAGAACTCGACCAATGTAAACTACTCCCTGTGCGATATTCCCACCATGTACTGTAAGGACTCCGTAAACGTGCTGTGTATCCCTTCGATTCCGGTTGCCATTCCTTCCCCGCCTCCGGCTTATCGCCAACTTTATTTAGCCTCCAACTGTCCCGCACCTCCTATCGTGCATTCGCTTTTTGTTTTCTATACATACACCTCTCTCCCCTAAATCAACTAATATGCCGCCTATTCCTGGCCGGCCATGGGAGTCCCGGAGAATCATCTGTTACCACCAAACAATCATCCCTGGCGGGGAATATTGCTCCATGCGCCCGCTGCTCCAAAACAACACGGGGATCACACATATCATTATCGCGGCATTCCACATCAACGAAGATCCAAACAAGATCACTCTAAACAATGATCCCCCCGAAGACACCTGCCACGACTCTCTATGGGCGGAAGTTCCCCATCTCCAAGAGGCCGGTGTGAAAGTCATGGGCATGTTAGGGGGCGCGGCGCCGGGCTCGTTCAAGCGCCTAGACGGCGACCAGGAGCAATTCGAGCGGTACTACGGTCCGCTACTGGTAGTCATTCGGCGCCATGGACTCGACGGCCTAGATCTCGACGTCGAAGAGGAGATGTCTCTGTCCGGCATCATCCGGCTGATCGATCGCCTGAAAGCTGATCTGGGCGACTCCTTTATCATCACCCTCGCGCCGGTCGCGGCAGCTTTACTAGGGTTAGGCAATCTCTCGGGGTTCGACTATCGCGAGCTCGAGCAGGCTCGCGCATCAAAGATTAGCTGGTACAACACTCAGTTCTACAATGGCTGGGGTCCCGCTGATGATCCACGTATGTACGCCGCGATGATTGCGCAGGGCTGGGCGCCGCGGCGGGTAGTGTTTGGGCTGTTGACGAATCCGGGTAATGGCTCTCAGGGTTACGTGCCGGGGGAGAAGCTCGGGCCGATTCTGGCGATGCTGATTGAGCAGTTCCCGACGTTTGGCGGGGTCATGGGTTGGGAGTATTTCAATGCCCTGCCGGGGAAACGGGAGAAACCGTGGCAGTGGGTGACGGAGATGTCTCTGAGTATGGGCATGAAAGACGTCGTTGTTGCCGCAAGACAGATACTGACGGAAGGGCCGATGGCGGATAGTCTGGCGAATCTCCTGCGAGATATGATGAACCAAGGGCAGGGGTCGTGATTGCCATAGATACCTAGGACCTAGGCACTATAAAAACCCCCGTGCCGACCTCCCGTTTCTCTTTCTTTCTTCCACCATCACACTGCCCTGTGGGAACCATAAATTCATCGATCTTTCCCAGTAATCGAACACCTTTTCCATCAGCACTTCGATCAGCAGCTTGGCTCGACGCCCCAACCATCCTCTCTACCTGTGCAGTTGGGGCTATCGGGCCATCGATTTCGTTGACCCCTTCAATTTGTCAGTTACTAGCCGCCACCTATCTGAGGATCCCAACCTGGTTGTAACTAAAAACACTGACGTTCAGGTCCGACATTCTCAAGACCCAAGTTGTTGCCATGATCTGTACGGTGTACCCGAGGTGGTCATATCCTTTGATGGAAACCACCTCTCCATTTATATTCAGCAACATTCGGAACCATCCACCTATGTCGTGTGATCCTCGCTTCTGTTAGCTAACTGCAGAGAGTCGCCTACTCCAAATCCCCCTCTCTCTCTCGCCCGTTTAGCCGGCCCAGAAGGGCGGCTGGCAACCAACCTACTGCCGTCAAATGTGATTTCGACCAAGGTCAGAAGCAAGAAACGACCGGTGTTTCAAAAACCTGGAGGAGAGCCGAAGAACCCATGAGAATGCTCTGGCCATCACCCGATTATCACTTGTATGGTTTGCGGCCGCGAAGCAAGAACGCTAGCGAACGGCTAAGCTAAAGGTGAAGCGGCCTTTCCGGCCCTCTCTGATTATCTGCCCTAGAGGTCTAGTAGACACTTGGATTGAAGAGTGGATGACGTTCTTCGGGGATGCAATGGCCTTCAAGGTCTACTATGGATACCCTAGTACGGTCCCAGCCGGCGACAGGCGTGCAGGGCAGGCCCTGAAGGGAGATATTCTTCCGTATGTCCTGTTTCCGGTCGTGGATAACCCAATACAAAAAATAGGTGAAGAAGGGCGGAATGACTGACGAGCCTTTTCCGGTCATTTGCGGTTATGACGGGCTGGCTTCCAAATCCAAGCCCAATGCCTGCAAGTTTAGTTATAGGGTATCTCTAGCGCGTCCAAAATTAGCATTTCCACTACTTTGAAAAGCAGAGAGTGTTTTCAACGACTTCTCCTTCACTCTACTAGCGTGGCATCTATCCACCGATGGCTGAACATAGTTACACCCCAGATTCCCAGTCATCACTTTGTTCTGATTGTGTAAAGTAGACGTGGATCTACCCGAGAATGAATGATGTCATAGTCGCCAGGGCAAAACAAACGACGACCTACGAGGACCCTTTCTGCAACTCTCACAGATCTGCGCCAAGACGGGCTCCGAGTGTAGTCCAGGCCTGCGATAACTATTGTAGATGTTCAGCAATTGGCTGAATTGTACAATGACATCCTTGCGGCGAGTCACGGCGGCAACCAGCTCGGCAACCCTCCGACTGATAGCCTATATTTTTCTGCGATGGGTACGGGCGGACAACCCCAAGTCATTGTTGAACACTGTTAATCCTACGCTCCAGATCCCTGGTCATCACTTTGTTCCGATTGTCTTCACCTCGTTACCGGTCTATCTCTCGACCCTTTTCTCGCTTCTTCGAGACGACGCGGTCCAGGATGGTCGCAAGGAGAAAACTCGCAAACGCCCTTCCAGTATGTCAACCCATGTCTGCAACTGGTGTTCTCATATTAACTTAAGTCTTGCAGAATTGCCATCCACATCTGCCCCAGCCAAACCCAGTGATTCCGCACTGAAAACCCTGTTGACGGGTCTGCCTTCAGCTCGATCCCCGGTTCTAACCTGGACGACTGCCCTGACCAACGTGCTATTGGCATTACTGACTCTGGACTTCTTACTTCGGGGATTGATTCTCTATCCATCTAACGCCGTGTCCTTTGCGCGCATCGGATATATCTCCCCAACCACAGCCAACTTGCTCCTTCGTGAGCCGGACCCAGCCCAATGGCCTGTGGTGATCTCCTATCAAGAAGAAACTGCCCAGAAATGGGTGGAAGAGGGCAAGATATACAAACTGGACAATAGCACCGACTTCACTGCTGCCGTGACGCTCAAGAAGCTGAAGCCAGCCACGCACTACCGCTACTCGCTGTCGAACAACAAGACTGGCTCATTCGTCACGTCCCCGAAACCAGGCTCTTCAGCAGCTACACGAATGAGCTTCGTTACCTCCAGTTGCCTAAAACCAAACTTTCCATACAACATCCTATCTCATCCGCTGCGCGTCCCCGGCATCGAGCAGATGAGCTCAGCCCTAAGCAAACTACCCACTCTCCTCCGGCCAGCATTCATGCTCTTCCTCGGTGACTTCATCTACATCGACGTACCCTTCCGCTTTGGCTCTTCCATGTCCCACTACCGCAGCGAGTACCGCCGCATATACTCCTCCCCATCCTGGACCAGCATCCCAGCAGCCAACCAACCCCGCGCCCTCGACCTGCCCTGGATCCACACGCTAGACGACCACGAGATTGAAAACGACTGGTCCGCTGGAAACAAGACCTCGCCGTATCCCGCCGCCGCAGACCCCTTCATCCACTACCATGTGCGCGCGAACCCGCCCATCCCGCGGAGTGCCTTCGCGCCGCCGGAAGAGGTAACATACTTCTCTTTCGTGCATGGTCCGGCCTCGTTCTTTATGCTGGATACGCGGACGTACCGCTCCGAGCCGGGACAGGAGAACTCTACCATTCTGGGCTCGGCGCAGCTCCAGTCTCTCATTGCATACCTGTCTACGCCGGAGCCGGCGGGTGTGCGCTGGAAGTTTGTCGCCTCTAGCGTTCCATTCACTAAGAACTGGCACGTCGGTACGGAAGATACATGGGGCGGGTTTCTGGGCGAGCGCCGCGCTGTCTTCCAGGCAATGTGGCGTGCAGAGCGCGAGCTTGGCATCCGCGTCGTTCTTCTGAGCGGCGACCGCCATGAGTTTGGGGCTACGCGCTTCCCAGATCCATCGCTGGATAACCTCGCTCTCTCGGATTTTGCGGAGGGCGCTGGGCTAGGCGTCCATGAGTTCAGCGTCGGTCCTCTGAGCATGTTCTACCTCCCCATTCGGTCGTATTACCAAACGGACGACCAGGATGTTGCGGTTAAGTATGTCCCCATCGGGAACAGTAAGTTCGGATTCATTGATATTGAAGATGGTCTTGATGAGTTGGGTTCGGAATCCGGTTCTGTGCGTGCCTCCGTGCTCACATACTCGCTTTACGTGGATGGGGATGTTGTCTGGAAGTATCAGCTTAGTGTGCCGCTTGATCGCGGTGCCGATGCCACTACTGCTATGTCTGCTTCACGGTTTCCGCCTGGTAGGGTGCTGGAGGATAATGTTTTGCGAGCGGGG